GAATCAAGGTTGAACCATCTGCCCCAGACATACAAGCACAGAATGGAGGAGCAGAGAGACCAGGAGGATCAGTGAAGGAAAAGTCAAGAGCCATCAGGCTGGATGCTAATCTACCTTTCAACCTTTGGCCAGAGATAGTCAGAGCAGTTGTCTATCTCCTCAACAGGATTCCACTCTACTCCAATGGATAGAAAACCCTATATGAGAAGTTCTTCACACCAGAAGCTCTTCAAAATAGAATCCTTACTCTATCCAGAAAGCCAGACCTATCTCACCTTAAGGTCTATGGATGTAAGGCATTTGCACTCTCTGATGATACCCATAGGAGGAAGTCAAGACTGCAGAGGCTGGATCCCAAGTCATAGATTGGATACTTGGTTGGATATCAGTCTTCTAACATCTCCAGGATCTGGATATCAACTCTAGAAAAGGTTATCAGCACCAGAAATATTGTGTTTGATGAGTACACTGTGTTCAATGGAAAGGAGGAAGAAATTATGGACAATCTTATGCATAGCACCACTGAGGAGATCGCTAGATAGGTGAAGACTGTGGAATTTCCATCTCCTCTATCAGGTAAAGAGGAGGCTCAGTCATTCTATAAGGATGAGACCATTGAAGATACTTCTCAGGACAACTAAGAAGAACCAGACCAACCAGGATACTACCAAGGAAGGAAAATTATAGGTCCTTACCCTACTCCACCTGATACTCTACCATCTATGGCACTCTTGGCACAACTTCTCTCAGGACCTAAGGAACAGGATCTATCACTCCAGGACATAGGCACAGCCAAAACAACACCATGGTGTGCTGTATTCATGGCAGGAACACAAGCAGGAAATGTTAGATTCTATAAAGGAAAGCCTATTGACAAGGCATACTTGAAGAGGTTGCTGGCTCAGGGGGTGAAACCACACAGGAACTAACTACCACCTCTACCCAAGCACCATTGGCAACTCAAGGACCATGAGCTCAGGGAACAGTTTGAGGAAGCAGAAAGAGCACATCTCAGATCTCATGTGCCTACACAATCCTGGACTGAAGTCCCAGGCAAGGGAGTGAAGAATACTGGTCACCAAATCCTAGATTGCATATGGGTATATATGTACAAGTTTGACAAGTACCACAGACTGGACAAATGTAAGGCCTGCTTGGTTGTAAGAGGAGATCAACAAAGGAACATTATCTCTCAAGATATCTATGCTACCATCCTAGCTGGTAGATCCTTCAGGATGATGATGGCTATTGCAGCATACTTTGACCTGGAACTCAAGCAATATGATATCACCAATGCCTTTGTGCATGCATCTATGGACAGAGAGGTCTATATACAGATGCCTCCAGGACATAGGAAACCAGGCATCCTCCTCAGACTCAACAAGGCCTTGTATGGACTCAGGATTTCTCTCCTACTGTGGCAGAGAGAATTGACAAAGACACTGGTGGAAATAGGATTCCACATAGTGAAATATGAGCCATGTTGTCTCATTAAAGATGGAATCATTTTGTTTTTCTATGTGGATGACATCATTGTTGCATTCCACAAGTCTAGGAAGAGGGAGGCTCAGGAATCTATCAGGAAACTCACAGAGAAATACACCATCACAGGAGGTAGTGATCTTCAGTGGTTCCTTGGTATGGAAGTCCTAAGAGACCATGAAGAGCGCATTCTCCTTCTTTCCCAAGCACAGTATGCTGAGAAGATCAGCCATCTGGTAGACAGAACAGATCTCAGGCATAATACCCTAATGGCAAATATTGAACTCAAGCCAAGGGAAGGTCTAGCAATACTATCTGAGATAATGTAATAAGCATCAGCAATGCTTTGGTTGAGGCCACATCTATGACAGCTCCAATACCCTGTTTCATGGTAGTGTGGAATAATCTATCACTCCCAGCAGATGCTACAAGTCAAATTCAGATAGGTAGGGTGTGGGAGTCAGCTGTCATTCCGCTAGTTAGAACCGATACAAGCTCTACTTCACTCAGTCCTAAAAGTCTTTCGCTCTCTATTTTAGCTCCTAGTATATATCATGGTTCCGATACATCAGCAACAGCTCCGATATATAGCCCAGCCTCTATCTATGCCACGATAGCCATGTCAGGTTTTGCTAATTCAACCATAAATATGATTACCAGATTCTTACCTGCCCGACGATTCCTAACACTGATGCCGGCAAACCTTAGCCTTACCAGTAGTGGTAGTCTATCAAATAGCCATCATGCTATTAGGTTTCTGTAAGCCATTTTAGTTCAGGCTGGTATAGTTTGCTTCCTCTAGCTCTTTGAATTGGTAGACTTGGAGACAAGAACTTTATAGACAGTATGCATTAATATATCATTCTTCCCCTACAGTGACACATTTCAAAGTTATATGCTATAAATTATAAATAGATTTATAAGTAAATCATGCCATAAGAATTCACATTTATTTCCACCTATTAAAACTCACCTCCACTACTAATCTTATCTCTATCATCCTAAAACTTAACACCGCTACATATCTTGTCACGCTTGCCAGAAGCGGCTCTCTAATCGCTAGATTCCACTAGGTCTGGAGAGAGTGCTGTGGACCTTTGGAATGAAATTCATCTGATAATTTTTGCCTTGAAGAACTTGATCGTAATCACCATATCTTCCACTCCTCTGTCTTCTATTCCGTCTAACATATAGCGCATTTCTTCTGTATCCCCTTTAGATTCAGTAGCCAAAGTGCGAGATTTTAGCTATAACAGAATAAACTTAATACACATCTTTAGTGTATAGATTATCAGAAGAGGTTGAAAGTCTGTCAATGTTGGAGTGGAAGGATACTAAATGTAGAAAAGAGCTTTTTATAGAGAAATTTGACTCTAAAATAGCAATAAGACTTAAACCTGTTTCGATTCTATTTAGGCACAGGTCCAAAACCGATGCCAGGGACCAAAGCTAAGTACCAGCCACCGCAGGGTAATAAAATGAACTTAGCCTAATAGTTTAAATTAGAGTTCAAGTCATAACTATTGCACAGTATTCCCAGATGTCTGGACTCGCTCCTATACGATTGATAGAATGGAAATAGGATCGAATACAGAATTATAGAAATGCAGCAATTATCTTATACAGTCCGATGAATTCTCTATTAATCAATTCATACAGAGAGTAGAGGAATTTCAAAGAAGAGACCAGCTAGATACACTTGAGAAGCTTACAGAAGAGAACTGCTCACTTCAGAGAAGCATCTTGAGCTACCGCAAACATTGGTACATAGCGATGGATATATTAGAAGTGTTATACGAAGTCTAGCTAAGAATGCAGAATGTATTAGAAAAATGTTTAAGAAAGAAAAGAGCGGTCGAACAAGCTTGGCTCCTATTTAGAGATAGGGACACAAAAGATTCTAGATATAGTTCTGTAAGATGGGTATAAACTAGCAAAACAATTACAGTATAGCAAGCCACCTATGTAATGGGTAGCCTATTGGTATACAAGGCCTCCTGTAGATATCCTGTGAGTGTTTTTAGGGAAGACATTGTAAGACTATATTGATTTAACAAAGAATATATCTAGTAATCTCTATATACCTAGAAATCTACTAGGCAGTAGTAGGCTACCACCCACTACTGTAGGCAGCAGTAGGCACTAGTAGGCAAGCAGTGATTAACAGTTCTTAAACTGTTATATCTTTACAATCAAGTTAGTCCTCTACTTTGTTCGACTCTAATACGCTCCCCTTACCTACAAAAATATTCTAGATAAATCTCTAGAGTGATGGAGGCTTTCTTACAGCATGCAATTTATTTTAGATAATGAAGTGCTGCTATAGAGATGTAGTCATTTCTATAATCTAATCAATACTGTAGAGCTTTTTTCTTCTTGTTTTCTTCTTGTTTTTTTATTGTTTTTTTATTGTTTTCTTCTTATTTTCTTTTTGTTTTCTTCTTGTTTTCTTCTTGTTTTCTTCTTGTTTTCTTCTTATTTTCTTCTTGTTTTCTTCTTATTTTCTTCTTGTTTTCTTCTTGTTTTCTTCTTGTTTTCTTCTTGTTTTCTTCTTGTTTTCTTCTTGTTTTCTTTTTAATCATACAGAGAGGGGGGAGGGGGTTTAGAGAGGCAGGTAAATAGAAAGAATATGAATGAATCTACAAAGTGGTTGCCCTACTAGAGGCTTTCATCTCTTTTGCTAGGGTCTCCGCTCTCTGCATGAATTCTATTAACCATGCCTGAAATTTCTCGATATACGCATGAATGCCCATAATGTATCTACATGATAGTTAGACAAGGGGGAGCCAGCGATTAGAGTTACTTACATTGTTTGCTCTTCAATCGATGCAAGTCGTTCTTCTAGCCTCTCTAATCTGCTCTCAAAGGTTTAGAGTATTGAGTTTTGTTCATGGTTATATTTTTGCTCATTCGTGATCTGTGTTTCAACTGTAGGCTTGGTCATAAAATACTGTTCGCTCGTGGTTGATAGGATCTCATTGAAAGGAGGCGGATTGCCGCAGACCATGGCTGGCTCTGCCTGCAGTGAATTATCGAATAACGTGAGCGGCAAGCGAGCTAATCAGGCAAGCGAGCTGATCACTAAATACAGTGCTCTACCTCCAAATCTAAATATCTCAACGTTATAACAAGCTATTGCAGCTTACAATAGCTCAAATTAATTCTCTACATCTACTGCATCTTTTTTGCATATATGCTTGTTGTGCCCTGGCTCACCACACATCTTACAGCATCGAATACCCCGTACACCAACACCTGCTTCCTCTCTCTCCTCACACCTCTCTGCTTCAAGCTGAGCCTCAGCATTCTTCTGAGCTACTATCGCCTCTGCTTCTGCCTGTGATAGGGTCCCTCCTTTTTGAATCCGTTTCTTCTTATGCTTTTTACATTCAGAAGCTGCCTGGCAGGCTAGCTCAAGTTTCGTGATCCTGGCAGCCATTAATACCTGTGAATGTGCTATCAATTCTGCCCCTTTTTAAAACTGCCTCACCATCTCAATAATCGATGCTGGTGAGGAGCTCCGGTGTCTTCGAATCCAGTTAAAGATAAGCATTGATTGAGCATCTATCTCAACTGCATTGCTTGGTGTTTTGGGTTGCCAGACAGGGCCTGGTAAAGCTGGTGATGGCATACGAGGCTTTACTTCAAGTTTTGATAGTACCACCTCTGGACTGTGTGGAACTAAACCAGTTGCTCTGAAGCTTGATATAATATTTTTCTCTGAAAAAGCCTTGTCAAAAACCCCAGAAAAGGCAGTTAAGAAGGCTTTTTTATCGATATGGTTGATGTAGCAGTTTGCCAAGATATTGATCTCCTTCTTGTATACTTGCTTTAAGGGAGCAAAACACCCTACATCAAGCAGCTGTAGGATATGGGAGGCATGTGGAGGCATGCAAATGGTGATAATCTTGTTCTTCTTATACAATTCCTGGAAAGCAAGTGACTTGTGGCTCTCATGGCCATCAAGAATCAGCAGCCTGTGACTGCCTACTGTCCGAGCCTGAGTATGCTCGATAAAGTGCTGTAACCAGGCTAAACCAAGCTCATTTATTGTCCAGCCATTGTCACTGACATCTATCCTCCAGCCCTTAGGATTGTGGTACCAGGCTTGGTCGTGGTGCTTTGCCTTGAAGATCAGAAAGGGTGGGAGTGGCCAGCCCCTGGCATTGATAGCAGCAATCAATGTTGCCCACTCACGGTCCCCAGGTTGAACCTGCAGTGGTTTCAGTCGCCTCTCAGATGCTGTTACCACCTTTACTGACCCTCCAACACCTATCTGGAAGCCAGTCTCATCGAAGTTGTAAGTATCTTCATCCAGGATGCTGTACTTAGCTTTGGTATTGTGTACAAGGTCAAACCAGGGACCAATAATAGCTGGATCGCTGCACTTGACTCTTTGGTGATCACAAAGTCTAGTTATCTGAGATTTGATCTCAGGTTTGTGGTGGACAAGGTTCCTAGCCCATTTGTCTCTAGCATTCCCACTACCACGTGTAGCTAGCAGCTGATTAGCCATATCATGTATGTCACCGAGCATAGAGGCAGATCCTCGTGCATCAAGCTTCCTTATATACTGGACTATTGTCTCCTCCTCGTGCTTGGTCAGCTTCGATGAGTTAGGATGGATATCACATCGAGCAGCTATTCCGGAGTGTCGGCTACTAAGCGTGCTTTGAGGAATGCCATAGAGAGTAGCAGCACGTCGCTGGCTTAATGACACATCAGATTTCATAGCTTCGATGGCAAGGATAATCCTATCCTCACGAGGGAGCGATTCAAGATCTGGTTGTTGAGACATTGGGATGAGTGATTGAGAGAGGTGTAACCTTGGCAGAGTGATCAGCTCACTTGCCTGATCAGCTCGCTTGCCGCTCACGTTACCATCGGATATCCGAGAAAGTTTTCTTCATGTGGCCAAGCAAAGTCAGTACCATTGATCGGATTGGACAGCAGGTCCAGGAATTGCTGCGTATTCTGCTCGGCGGCAAAGGATTGTATTATATCATCCGTTCTACAGGAGAGGTAGTTATTAAGAGGCTGGACATGAAGTTGAGTGTTGAAGGTATTCTGGAAAGACATGATGGGTTCGATTTTGTGATGTTAATGGGGCAAGTGGTAGGAGGCTTTTAAGCGATAACGTTGAGACACAAAAAGAAATAGGAAAAAAACACCAACATTGGAACAATTTTTCCGCTTGGAATTACGGCTCCAAACTCGAAATACTGCTTCATTGCAACAAGATGCACCTACGTTTCAATTTGCAGCCTCCTGCAGGCTGTACAGCAAGAGTTATTCACTGAGGAAGACCTGAGTTCTGCCCCTCTGCACCGGCATCGACTGCAACCCCAGCTCAAGTGCTGCAGCACAGCCCTCCTTCTACGCCACTTACCGCTGGCATGCTGCATAGCTGCCACGCCTCGTACTTCCAAGGGGCGCAATACCAGCCACACATTATGTGAACACGTTGCCTATATTGTGGCGCACAGCGGAGAAAGAGAGTCAAAGTATGCGATGGTTGCGGAAGAGCACAGGATGACTATTATGGGGTGCAGACTCCAGAGTTCGAAGGTGTAAGTTCCCAAGCGATGGCTACAGGAACCAAACTTATGGCAACTTGGGACTTGAGAACAGTCCTACCCTAGGGCAGTTTTCGGTAGACTAACGACGGGTTTCAGCATCACGGAGATTGAGTGCAAATGGAGGTGCGCTGGGCCGTCTTGCATATAGCTGAAGGATTTCCACGGAGGCCACGGCACGAGCCTGGCTGCCCCTTTTCCTGGCCAGTGCAACTCCCGTCCAGGTTAGCTTTAGGAAGGCACGAAGGTTATCCAAGTTGCCAGAGTCGGGATCTGATTACGTTGGGGCACCAACGTTTTGAGGCTCACAACGCCAGAGACTCCCTGGAGCCAGTCACAAGATTTCAATCCCTGCGCCGCCTGCTTGCTCAGTGGGACAAGGACAAGGACGAGGCGGTACCTCACCGGTCGGACAGCATGCGGGAACGTATTTCCCTGTCTATCACAACTACGATTCTCCAACGGCGAATCCAGCTGGACGGGGAGCCTTGGCGATGGGAGGGAGAGACAGCAAATGATCAGGCTGCTGAGACAGGCTGCGCCGCATGCGCCACAATGACCCCCCGCAGCAATTCAACGACTCCTCGGGTTGAAGTATATCTTTCTGCTCCAGCCTCGATTGTTCCAAGCCTAGCGTTCTTCTGCTTTGTTTCTATCGCACACACTCAACTTTGCTTAGTTTCACGCCTTAGTTGTATTTGTTCGCTCCCCTTTCTAGGCTGTTAAAGATGGCAAGGAGCCCTGAAGAGAAGAGTACTTCAATGCAAGAGAAGGACCGTCAGGCCGCGCTAACTCGTCGGGGTCGCAGTGGAAGGTCTCGACCGAGACGTGGCGATCGAATCTGTGCAAGGTGTCGCTCCCTCGACTTCCCTCGGATCTTTGAGAGGAGAAGTAAAAAGATGTCCAGCCTGAAGCTTTGGGAAGCAACTGTTCACCCGCTAGGTGCTGTTCGAAAGAGTATGTCGTATTCACCATGTCCGCTCTGTCGCTTATTTGCTGTGCTTTATCCCCAGAAGCACAGGACGGCGGGGCAGACGTGTGTGCTCAAAGCGTTCTCTGCCCTCCAGCATCATTTTAGGCGCTCGCACAGGAGGAAAGATATACACGATACAACCATTCTTTCACTGGGTTCTCCCGGCTCAGTGATTTGGAAGCCAAATCGTCAACGCGATTTTGGTATCATATATCCTGCAAACCAAGGTGGACTACATCATGAGAGTATATACGGAAAAGAGATTGATCCATGTCGTGTAGACTACGAGGCTTTGAAATCTTGGATCCGACACTGCAGAGCGAATCATGGAGGTTACTGTAAGGGTCAGCTATCAGCAATCGCCTTCACTATTCCCGGTTTCCGACTGATCGATTGTCAAACGCGACAGGTATCGAAGCATACAGAAGAGGTGGAATATGTTGCCTTGAGCTATGTGTGGGGGAATGGGTCGCACGCTAGTACGCGTGCGTTACCAAACCCTGCACAGAGAGTCATCGAGGACGCAATGATTGCAACTAAGGAGCTTGGATTCCGGTACCTATGGGTCGACCGCTATTGTATCTCTCAGTTAGATACTTCTGAGAGCAGGACACAAATCGCGAATATGGATCGAATCTACGCAGGCGCCGTATTTACAATAGCAGCCGCAGCGGGAGAAGGTCCAAATTACGGTCTACCTGGAGTTTCTCATAGACAGCGACACGTACAGCCACGTGCACGTTTTGAAAAGCTGCACTTAGTTGCGTCACCACCACCACCAAGGGACGTCATAAGAGCCTCGAAATGGGCCTCTCGCGGTTGGACGTTCCAAGAGTCAAAGCTGTCCCGGCGCACACTATTTTTCACCGACGATCAAGTGATCTTCGAATGTGGTTCTATGACATGCGAAGAGTCAATCTGCGTGCCTTTTTCCGTATTGAATACGAGGCCGCACAAACGTACGGGCGGAGAATTCAGGGATACACGTATATTCTCTCCAAATGGGCCTGGGGCGTCTTTCATCAATATCCAAGACAGCATTACCGAATATACCTCGCGCATGCTGACCAAGGAGTCCGACAACCTTAATGCAATACTCGGCGTTTTCAACGCATTTCGAAATCGGCGTTCTAAACAAGGGACCTTCTCGGAGGAGCCCACCTCGAAGGTTGACTTTCGGCACCAGGCTGCTCAGATGCACCATTTATGGGGCCTACCGATCTTGCCACGCGAAGCTATGGGAAACCTCATCCGATCATATGCACCGTTGGACGTTCACTTTTGTACGATGCTGGCATGGCGATCAGAAACTACATCCACACGCTCTTGTGATTTTCCCAGCTGGTCTTGGGCTGGCTGGAAACTACCCAAGAAGACTCACTTGCGCTGGCGGACGCAGCCCGATTTCGTACAGTTTCTCTTCGCACAATCGTTTTCATATCCAAGTCCAATCCGCCCTGTGAAATTTTGGCTGGATCTTGGCGCAAGAGGAATCATCGCAGTTGACGATCTCGAGAAACAACCTGATATTTCAGAGACTCTCAGGAAGGCCTCACAGTTTCTGATTGTACAGGGCCATATTCGAAAGTTTAGGTTCCGTCTAACCAAAAACGACAAGTTTCCATTGGAGCCTATTACTTCCGGTGAACTAATGCAGTTCTGGCCAGATAAGGAGATGAGCTCAGATGAGTTACGAGAATTTGCTGGGGGAGAATGGAATGCTCTCAACATTAGCTGGTCATTTGACGCTGTTTTTTGGTTGGTCTTGAAGCGACTGGGACCTATTTACGAAAGAATTGGTATCCTTGGAGGAACCGCGGCTGGCCTGCACCGGGGAGCTACTTATCGCTGGGTGCAATCGTTTGAGGATGGCAAGCTTATTCTGCTACGTTGATTAGAATATGAGATTTACGGAATACACGAAATCGGAATCAATCATGTCGGGAGGGGCAGCGTCTCCGCCAACAGAAGCAATCTGGCATATATATCTCGAGCCCGCCTGATTGGAAAATATTTTCCAGAACCGAAAACCCGCATCATGGACCGGCACAGCAGCCGTTGTCGCCGACATCTTCGCAGAGGTCTTTTCGATAAGTAGTAAGTAGTGATCTTTAGCACCGACCTTTCGTACAAGCATTGACTCGCGCAGAGCAATTTCGTAGCTCATCAGAGAAACTTTGTCGACCCTTGTCGCTCAGCCTACGTGGAGCTTTTTCAAAAGCATCCCGAGGCAGAGTATTACCACCGTCACAAACTGCCGGTTCTCTAGTCCTCCAAACTACAAGGTTTCAATTACGAGCAATGAGACTGAAAGTTTGGTAGATGATGTGGTGCTTCCGCAGGACTTGACGCCCATCACGCAGCCTGTTGCAATATCTTTATCTATCAACGAATCTTCGCCAGTTGGACTTACGCGGCTTGAGACGGAGAAAGAAGCTCTTAGCGAGCCAGTTGCAAAAAGAGAGCCATACCCTACAGTATCAGTGATTCTTCTCCAGCTGAAGGTTCACAGCCTGGGGATGATTCCCACACTGAATGAAGGTATAGACAAGTTATGATTGCATCTAACTGTTGTTGCCAGCCGAACAAAGCGACTAGAATATTCATCAGTAATAAAGCCTCTCTCGAGAGCACTGTCACGAAAGGAGGAAAGCGAAAGTCGAAACGGTCGCAGTTGTCGTTGATTAAATTCTACCGTCATTATTGACGATGGTTCAAAATTATCTCGGACGGAAACAAGTCCGACCGTACCTTTTCCTCCAAATAAAAATACCACGTCATCGAAACAGTTCAAGCTGAGACAACAGATATCTTGTCTTTCTTCGGTATCCTTAGTTTGGTTGAGATGACACTACTGGCCTGAGAATACCTGTGTCTGTTCTGGAACTATTGTTGTACATTACCCTTTTCTACTAAGACCATTGTTCCGAGATGCCGCTGGTAACTATTTCAAGCGGGCATGCGGATTTAATTGGAATGAGTTCCACTTCGCGACTAAGTAATACGCTTTGCAGATGACCGGCATACGACCCCTGGACTACACCGGTATTTTCCCAGCGAGGTGAAATCTCATCTAAGCGCTAGGCTTGAGGTTCAAGTACCCGCCCAATACGGCGGCCAGCGGAACCTCTCTAGGCACCAATGAGGCTTTGACTGCAATGGTTCTCACAACTTGGTGTAACCGGTCAAGAATGTCCTGGAGAAGTCGGCGCAGCAACCACCTTCGAAGTCTCTCAAAGTCAGTGACAAGGTGGCGGATCCGGCGGTCTCGGTGTGTTACGTATAAACGTGGCTGAGTTGGCTGCACTAGGAAAGGGGATGTGCACACGAATTGTGTCGAAGCTGGCTCGACGCTGACACGCGTTGGCTGACTAAACAAGCGCCGGGCCGGCTGGGTCTTAGCACTGCTCCCAATCCAGGGTCGGGTTTACTATATTCCGAGCTTGTGCGATCCGCACAGCCCTACTGTAGATCTTACAGTAAATTACCCGCGGAGTCATCTCGCATTAGCCAGGATCGGGGATTCGCTTCCGCTGGAAGTACCCATTGATGTGACGGCCCTGCATAAATTTGCCCGCGATAGCGCGAACAAGGCTGATGATAACTTCTAAGCATCAGAGGGAGGTTCTAAGGCTAGGATAAGGCCGTTTTACAAAAATCTGGAGCGAAGAAGACTTAACGTTGGCGCTGTAAGAAGGAAAGTCTGTTACGCTAGAAAAGAGGGTGCTTTACAAATCAGGCATGGAGGCGACAATGCAAACATAATTTTGGTGAGGAAGTCGATCATAGACATTCAGAATTAGCTACAGCAAATTATTTCCATAGAATTGTAAAGTCTATCCAATCGTAATGGAACAACCGCCATGGCGGAACACTAGCAGCACTTTCTACCACAACAACGCCAACAACAACCCTACCGCTTAGATACCCTCGGAATAGATACTAAGACTCTTTAGGTTCTTATATAACTGTTCCACGGGCGAGCACCATACACGGGCGAGCGCCGTACCCCACCAATTTTGCCCACCTGTTCAAATGTACAATCCAACCACCTTGTGGAATAATAGATAAATATTAATAGAGTAGATCAAGTAGTATCTTAAGTATCTTTTTTACATGTACGTGAGTTATGCCCAGGCTCTCTACACCTTGTGTAGCATGCCAGAGCCTGGTGGCTGAGACCTGATCGTACACCACCTTGACGCTGTTCATGAGCAATCTGCTCCTCAACCTTTTGTTGAGCTAGTATATCCTCTCCTGCTCCCTTTGTTAAGACTCCATGCTTCTAGATCCGCTTTTTCTTATGCTGCCTCCACTTTTTCTTATACTGCCTCCGCTTTACAGCTGCCTCATTGGCTCTCACAAGGCTAGCAATTCGATCGTACATCAGCTCAGCTGAGAGCATCATCACTTCAGCTCCCTTCTTGAGCTGATTAATCACCTCAATAATTGAGGCTGGTGATGAGCTCTTGTGCTGCCGAATGTGGTCACATATTAGCGTTGATTGAGTCTCAAGCTCACATATGTTGCTTGGTGTTCGAGCCTCCCAGAGAGCCTCTACTCAAGCAGCTGGAGGAGTAAGTATGTGGAGCTACATATCTAGCTTTGACAGAACAATATCCGGCTGGAGAGGAACTAGATCTGTACCTCAAAAGGCTGAGCAGATATTGGCTGATGTAAATGATTGATCAAAGGCTGCCTTAAAAGCTGGCAAAAACTCAAGCTTCATAATGTGGTTGATGTGGTGGCAGATCAGAGCCTCAATCTCATGGCTATACATGTATTTCAATGGTGAGAAGCAGCCAATATCAAGAGGCTGGAGCAGATGTGATGAGTGGGCTGGTATGCAGAGCGTATAGATATTGTTCTCCTTGTAGAATTCTTGAAACTCAAGGGAGTGGTGGCTTTCGTGGCCATCAAGGATGACCAGGCCACGAGCACCTACAACATGAGTCTTAGTATAAGCATTGAAGTGCTTTAGCCACTCAAGCCCTAGCTCATTGTTTGTCCAGCTGTTGTCACTAACTGCAATTGCCCAGTCACGTAGGATATCAGCTTCTTTGTACCAGGCAGAGAAATGGTGTTGGCCAGCAAAGATGATGAATGGTGGGATAGCCCAGCCAGCTGCATTGATTCCTTGGATAACCGTCACCCACTCGTGATTGCCTGGCTGGATAGCCTTTGGCCGGCCTCTCCTCTCTGACCCTGTCACGACAAGCTGAGTCATGATCTTGCCCATCATAAAGCCAGCCTCGTCGAAGTTGTAGATGTCCTCATCACAGATGCCGTACTTGGCCTTTGCTCTACCAGCTCAAATCAACTCTTAATTAACACAGGATCCTCGCATAGAGCCCTCTGCCTATCGTACGCCCGATTGAAATGCGTCGTGAGGCTGTCTGTACGCTTGACAAAAGTAGACGGTCAGTTGACTCCTACGCGTCCTCCACCACGTGCAGCTAGCAACTTGTTGGCCATATCACGTACAGCAGCTAGGCTAGGTGCAAAACCACGTTGATCTAGATCCAACCCGTGAAGAGGTCTAGATGCAAAAAGGTGCCGGCCAGGTCCTCGACTTTACTGATTGGGTTCACGGAAATCATTGCTGATCTAGGGATGCGGCGCCAGATCCTATGACGGCCGCCGGTTAGTAATGCAGGAGATCTGGAGCCAACGCCGGAGAAATGACGACACACATAATCTCCTGCATAGCCCGATATTTTGTTCGAAAGCCTAACTGCCTTGTCGTTTTGAGTTCCTAGGTCTGATGTCAATAGGAGTCCTTTTGAAACTTCTCGACGAGAAAGCGATGCCTTGATTACTTCACTTCCCCAATGCATTGCTTCCCTGTTGATAGCATTCAAATCAATGAGCGCGAGCCGCACAGGGGCGGTTGCAGATTTCGCCCTGACTTCTGGCACCTTGTTCATGGCTTCGACCAGACTCTGTAAACAAGTGTGAGATGTATGTAATATTAAAAGTGACTGATCAGGATCTCACCGTGAAGACGCTCACAAAGGCGGAACCGCTACGACTCTGCTTACTCAGATGCTTGCTGGCTAAGGCACCGAACAACCTATAATCATCATCTCGAGGAAGTGGTGACGGTGCGCTTGACAACCCTTTCTGAGACGCGAACATGTTCGCCTAGAACCTAGTGTCTTCGTGATAAACAGTACTGCTCGCACTAGACCATACACGGAACGCAAGACATGGAATGGCCTCTTGCGCTTTAGAGTACGGACTGGTGCATAACTTAATGGAACAGGATCGTTAATGATAGTTTTGGGGGTCTCGGGAGTGCTGCTCGTACGCAACCCTGCCGCTGTTCTTAATTGAAGGTTTAGCGGAATAGGCAGAACATCTTCAACAACGACGAGAGTTGCGGCTGGGGAAGCACTTATTGAGATGGGGTATGGTCTTCTTGGATGATCTAAGAGGCTGGCACATTGCATTTCAGTGGCTCGCTTTTTCAGTCTCCTATACATTCGTCTGGTACGTTCACACTTCGCCGTAGCTGCTCGCCCATCTTTGAGATTTGCATCCTCTTCTGCATCACTTCGATAAAGGTGGATGCCTAGGGTTCTAGTCACTTGGTCGATAGCTTCGCGAATACCTGTGTAGGTCCTTGAGGGTCATCCCATGGAGTCCGGTAGAATACTGCATCATACTCAGGGAATGCCAGCCTTCCATATAAGCGGAGGTGGTCGTCAAACTGTTTAGTGGCTGTGCAGGAGCTTAGTTCAAGGCCGAAATATGCGTTGAAAACTACGGTGAATGCGCCTGGTGAACGCTTGTACCATCTGTTCAGGATACAGAGGAAAGTGCGTTGTTCGCTTGTCTACTATGAAGTGCGAGCCACATCGGACTTTGAGCGTTTGCCTAGTTCTTCTTCGCCTTGTATAGTACCCGGAGAGAACTCTGCGGGAAGTTGTTAATTCCTGGTTGACGAGACAGCAGAAGTCTTACCGTAGCTACGCTTACAAACGCGGAATTCTCGCGACCGCCTTTAATCTTCATGCTCAGATGCGAGTTGGCTAAAGCAGAGAACAGCCTATATTTATCGTGCTGAGGGAGTAAGGCAGGCGACGTTGTCTTTTGTGATCGAAAAAGGGATGCCTAGAACCCTATGTCCTTATCGCATATAGTAACGCTTTCGTCTGACCAGACTCGAAACGCGAGATATGGGAATAGTCTCTAGCGAGTCGCAGTGCGTATTAGTCCAGGGCACGACAATATGGGGTCATCTATACTGGTCTTGCACGTGTGTGTAGAGCTGGGCGCATGTACTATTGGCGCCATTTCTAGCTAAAGGGTGAAGGAGGCTGGCGAAAAATCTTCGATCTGTACGTGTGTAATCGTACGGGGAAGTCGTCTAACCTAGAGTTGACTGGGCGGATAGTCTATATATTGAGCACGTTGCAGTTCTGACACTCGCTTTTTCAGTTTCTAGTCACGCTGTCTCGTCCGAGTAGACTTTGCCTTTGCTGCTTGCCCATCGACGGAGTTCGCAGAATCTTCTTCGTCGCTTCAATAAAGGTAAACGCCTAGAGCTCTAGCGACTTGGCTAATAGCACTGTGAATGTTTGTGTAGATTCCTTGGGGGTCATCTGTGAGGAAGTGAACAATAAGTGATTGGCCCAGTATATTATCTTCGGTAAGGTGCAGATAATCTACAGAAGTTCTCCCTTATCCTGCCCAGTTAACTAAGCGAGCACGTAACCTAACTTCTAATACTCTCCTATCTGCGTCTAATCGAAATCTCTGAGCCTCCAGTCTCGTTAAACCCAAAATCCTCAAAAGGGAAAAATGGGAAGAGTGCTAGATGTGAGGGCCACTTTATTTCTTCTCCAATAAAATCCATTCGTGGTCCAAGAACCTAAACCGGATGTCCTCATCTGTGAGCTTGTCGATCTCAGTCTTCTGTCCTTGTCCTCCTCCTGCCTTGTTGTTCAGGCTTAGACCGGCGAAGCTTCGCAAGAATTCGAACGTCCACGGAATACACATTGCTTGTCCTCCCAAACCTTCAGTAGGACGGACGTAGACGTCCGCGTTTTCCATCTTCATCTTAACAATCCAGTCCCTCTGTCTCTGGTTAAGAGCCTTAACCTTCCTTTCGGTGTGCCAGATACCCTTCTCACCTTCCTTAATGTAGGGGTTGTTGGGGTCAATATCGTAGATTAGTATGCGATTCTTGCGGTCCTCGTGCTTTGCGATGATTCCCGCCCATGCGTGGTAGCGGTATTGTTGTTGGCCGGAAGTCGCATTATCCATAGGACTCGTAAAGAAGGCAGCATAGAAATGACAGTCCTTGTCCTTCTGGAACTTAGAGAGAACATCGTAGCAGTCCCAATCAGGGGCTCCTGGGCTGTCCTTCCACTTCTCCTTGTCTGGTCCATCGAGGTAGCTGACTGGGTTTGGATGGAAGCATAAGCCCTTGATCTTCCGGGTTTCCGTTACATATCTGTTGAGGAATTCGAGATAGTCCTGCATAGCGTGTCCGTCCGCGTTCGGTTGGGGGATCGCCTGTTCGGTAGCGGTAATGGTCATCTTCAGATAGGTATACCGTATGTTGAAGCAGTTGGAATTGGCTGAAACTTGGATGACAGGTGTAGATTTGCGTGCTCTTTTGAACGGTCCAAAAGTTTCACACCTATGATGTCATGCCGTGAAGTTATGTTGGTTTGAAGTTGTCCCTTGCGCCGGTCGCCGACTTGGGAGAGTGAGAGTGGGGTTTCACAACCACACCACTTCCGACGCGAATAACTCAACAACCACAACATGCATTGAAAATTGGAGAAGTGCATTCGATTCGCGTCGTCTTTCTCTACGTTATGTCAATCAGGGAGCTTCAAGTATGGAGAGCACCTCCCATGTCCGCCGTCAAACCGCGCCCTACCCCCCCGCTTGGTCACCGAGGCCGCGTTCCAACGCTCGTGGTGCGCCATCCCCACTACCTACCCCGACTGCAACACGCTCATCAAGCTGCCCGCCCTAGATGACGGGGAAGCCCTCACCATCTGCATCTCCGATAACAGCTAGAGCACCGGTTAGTTCGCTCGCTCGCTCATCCGACGGCAGCAACGTGTGCGAGCGAGATGCGCCGTTGGTCGCCGCCGATGGTGAGCTCTTCTACTTTGTTAGCCATTGCACCTGTCAGTCACAGCCTCAGTCAATTCGCCATGGCCGCGCCAGGAGCCGAACGCAACGTCGACAGGATATATAGATTATGACAGGTCCATTGAAGGCAGCGGCGGCCATCCAGTCTCAAACCAGTGAGAACCGTGCATTACGCGAGGCCGTGCATTACGCAATTAGTCACGGTAAACGAGATGGGTTCCGCCAAGCAGAGGGGACCATGTGGTTTGCAAACCTGCAATGCGTGTCGCACTGTGTAGGCAGTTGTACGTTTTGTCGAAAACAGTTTTTCATGCGATGCTAATGGACAGGACTGTTGGTGCGACAGATACCCTAGGGTAGACGAGGGGAGTTGCTGCTGGCATACCAATCCTGTCCATTTGAATCTACCTAGGGTACCAAAACTTGGCCGGTTTTGGGCGCCACCCATGAAAAGGATTTCTCTATTTCCTGGCTGCTCGATCCTTGAATTGAATACATATTTACAAAAGTCTCCGGGTCGTCATAATTGAATGTGACAGCATCGAGCTCGTCGTCCAACCCTCCTCGCCGAGCACGATCGGCACATATGTGGTGCTATGTGAGTGATGTCCTCGCCCTAACTTATCCCCACCGCTATCGTAGTGACGAATCTCCTGGGCTGTAGAAGCACTAGCCCTTCCCCTTGACTATCCTCTCCTCCTCCCGCGCCACCTACTTTTCCTTGGACGGCCCCTCACAGTACTAATACAGCTCTTCTCCGGCGAGGTGATCTTTCGCCACGAAAGACGGCCTCCATCCATGTATTGTATGCACCCGTAGAGAGGGTAACTGCTTGTCCTTACCCTAGTAATGCCTTAAGGGAGGGATGCGTAAATAGAGGAGTGATTCGAAGGGGAGAGGTTGGAAGACTGGCCCTGATGATCGCGGGGCTTTATATACCGATCTTCCTACGCTGCGTGCCTCCCTACTTCCCTCATCTGCACTTCCCTGGTACGGCCAAACATGGCTGTAGGTGAAACAGCGGCATTCCCCTCATTACGGAGACGTTTGTGGGTGGGAAGAGGCTGACCCACATTCCCGAGTTTTTGTGACTGACTCTGGCCAAGATCTAGACAGGAGTCGACCACGAGACGATTTCCAGACCGCCATGGCTTCAACCCTTCTCAACTCCTAGACCCTTTCTCTTTCCTCATCTTTCCCTTCCTGTTCCCAACACTCTTAAATAGCGATAGAGCACGTACATGGTTAAGCATGCTATGCTTGATCTTATTTCTCTCAACTCTGTACTTCGTGGTATCACCGTTTGCGCAATTACAAGATTGGCACGAGCGAACAGTCCTCAATAACACTCTCGAGAGCTGGATTGAAGTCGAAGAAGAGGTAGCTTTGCATAGGCTCCTTGCCAATATATCCCCAGGGGGACGCAATGTCCCAGATGCAGCCAGAGGCAGCGTGATTGCGAGTCCCAGTCGGGTACACCCGCCCTATTACTTTCAATGTGGGCACATCTCCATCCTATATCTTCTGCAATCTAGATACTTGCTAAGGTCCAATCAGGGGTGCGAGACGCAGCAATCACCACAGCAACTCTGCTTGACATCTACCTCGACGACCCACCATCACCTCTCTCGTCCAACATATCAGCCATCTTGGACGACTACGCGACTCTCCAGCTTCAACTGCAGCGCACCGCGAACCGCTCCGGTACCTTCGCCGACCTCTCTGGCCTGGGGGAGCCCAAATTCCACGCCAACGGCAGCCCCTTCAACGACGACTGGGGCCGGCCCCAACGCGATGGTCCCGCTCTGCGCGCAATCACAATGATGAAGTACATTCGCGCATATAATGCCTCTTATCCCTCCCTCTGGACCATCGCCAATGGGCGCACGTGGTTCGACCGTTTCTATTCCCCGTCCTTGCCACCGAACAGCATCATCAAGGCGGATCTCGAGTACGTGGCGAGGTACTGGGATGCGAGTGGTTTCGATCTCTGGGAGGAAGCGCAAGGGCGGCATTTCTTCACGGCAATGGTGCAGCTCAAGGCGTTGCGGGAGGGCGCTGGGCTCGCACGAGCGTTTGGAGATGAAGGCGCGGCGGCGTGGTATCTGGCGCAGGCGCAACCTCTAGAGGGTCTCGTGAGGAGCTTCTGGGATGGGAATAAGGGATATCTGGTAGCTACGCTCGCGTCTCAGCGTAGCGGACTGGATTGTGCGATTCTACTCGGCTCTCTGCACGGCTATCCATCGAGCGGGTTTGCGAGCCAGCCCATCTACCCGCCTTACTCGGACGAGGTTCTCGCGTCGCTGCTTGCGTTTACAAAAGACCAGGCATTTCGATTCCCCATCAACAGCGCAGAACCGTCCGAGGATTCACGATCGATGAGGGGCGTTGGTCTGGGTCGCTATCCCGAAGACGTATACGATGGCTATGGCATCGATCCTCAAGGCGGACATCCCTGGTTCCTGTGTACGTCTTCGCCGGCGCAGGTCCTGTACCGAACGGCGTCGTATCTCGCATCCCAACCAAACTTTACGATCACGTCCCTTGGATTACCGTTTTATACCGCACTTCTAGGTCCCTCCTCTCCCGTCACACTCCAGCCAGATGTTCCTTACCAGTCCACCGGCCTGGAGTTCCGGAGTATACTGCAGCGGCTACGCAGCACGGGCGACGAGTTCCTCGAGGTGGTGCGGAGGCATGCGAGCCGCGAGGGCAGTATGAGCGAGGAGTTTGATCGGGTGACGGGGTTTGAAAGGGGCGCGAGGGACCTGACGTGGAGTTATGGGGCGTTTTTGGATGCTGCGAGGGCTAGGAGGGAGATGCTGCTGGCATGACGAGGAGGATTTTTGTTCACTTGGGGAAAAGATATCTTGACACGAGTTGTCGTTTCTCAAGGTCACAGTCAGTGGAATTGAACGACCAGTAACACGGCCATCTATAGATTCCACTTACCCAGTGCAGCAGATCCTGCACAATCGCCGGTCTGCCATAGTACGCCAAAGTTTTTTTCTACCCAACTGTTAAAAGGCACAGAAAGGTATTCACAAAATAGGAAATGTATGGGTCGGATTATGTAATTCCCAAACCGGCTAGCGTACGCCCGGAACGTACAGCATCCGGGTTCCAAGGTTGCTTTGTTATACATACGACCCCAGACGGCCGAACAAGTCCGACGAGAGTGGGTCGAGGAGAATACAAGTACAGACTAAAAAGCGGATTGCTCCGTACCGTGGTAGACAAGAGCATATACAGCTGCCCCCTTCTTCTTTCTCTCTTCTACGACTAGTCTGCGAAACGCTGTATGAGGTCCCCTTCTGCATTGATATTTCGCTCATCCATCATCTCTGCACGGAGTGTGTTTTTGAGAGGAAACTTGCCGCCACCGCCTCTCGGACGATTAGCTAAACTCCGGATTTTTGCATCTGCAAAAGGCCAGGCAGTACGATATTCGAGTTGTACTAAAATATCAACACCTCCTCCGCAAAGTCTTTTCCCACAGCAGCCGAGCATGGCAGAACAAGTCCCTTCAACCTCGCCTTCCGAACCCCAAGGCCCTTCAGCCGCCTCAGCCTCCGCCCCATCAACGGCATCAAACACTGACCAACAAGCCCAACCCTCAGACCCCCCTCTCCCCAAACTCTCGCCCTCGGACTTCCGCACCTACAACCGCATGGCAGACCACATGCAACACTTCCACTCGCACTTCCTCTCGACCTACACGACGCTCCTCTCGGCATGCCAGGTGGGGAAGCGACCGCAAGGGATGTCATTGCGGCAATTCCTCTCGCTGGCCTCGACTTTCGTCTCCCAACTGACCATGCACCACAACATTGAGGAGCAGCACATTTTCCCGCTATTAGCTACGCGGATGCCGGCCTTCAAGAAGGAATTGAGTCTGGTGGGGCAGCATAGGCAGATCCATGAGGGGTTGGACAAGCTCGAGGCGTATCTGGACGAGTGCAGGAGTGGGGAGAGGGAGCTGAGGCTGGGCGAGGTCGGGGCGTTGTTGGAGGGGTTCGGGGACGTGTTGATGAGGCATTTGGAGGAGGAGGTGGAGCAGTTGGGGGCGGAGAGGATGAGGCGGTATTGGAGTTTGGAGGAGATGAGGAGGTTGCCGATGTAGGTGGAGAGAGGGACATGGAAGTGTGTGTGGCGTTGAATAGGATATAGATACCCCAATGTGCGTCTCTCAGGTATTTAATCTCAGAGGCTTTAGCGTTTCCGTGACCGCCCGAACTTATCGTGCCATTTGCGCGCAGAGGGTTTCGCTGCTGGAGTTTCGGACTGGGTGGCTGCGACTCCTAATCCCTTCAAGCGGATCGTCGTGGAGGAAGGCAACTCGTAGACACCGTCAATGGCAGTGAGTTCGGCGAGAGCACGCCATGCCTCAGGGAGGGCATCCTTCCAGGCGTCGAGGAAGTCGGCCGTGAGGTAGTCTGGGCCGTCGCGTTTCGCATCCAGAAGCGTCTTGGCTACGAACTGCACGGTTTTGGCACGATCAAGACAAGACCACACGGGGTCATGGTCATGCTCATCGGCCGCAAGGTAGTGAAGGACGGCCCTGACGAGCGATTCCGGATGGCCCTCCTCAGCGACCGGGTCTACAACGTCTCTGGTCAGGAATTGGCCGTCCAGTTTGACACCTTCAGCCAGTGCAGCGGCGTTGACAGACTTCCAGAGCTGCGCCAGGGTGCTCGCCGAAGGCCGATAGGAACTCCCATGATGCTCAAAAGCCATGACGGTTCGCCAGGCGTGCTCGCACTCGGCATCGGAGAAGGGCAGATGGGGGAAGATGTCTGCTTTGCGCCGGCGGTTGGCAGAGGCGTAGACGTCGCCATCGACGGCGTCGTAGAAGGGGAGGGTCTGCTGGAGAAGGGCTATCGGAGAGGCATCGGAGGGATGCAGCTCGAGGGTTGCAGCGCAGGAGGCGACGGCGCGCGTCGTGGGGACGGGACTCTCTTGGTTGCCATGGGCCTCGTCGGTGGGGCGTGTGACAAACAGCGAATTCGACGTCTGGACCTGGCGCAACTGGAAGGTTTTGTGGGGGGTGCAGAGCACGGCATATGCGGGCTTCTGGCTATTGTTCGGGAGCTGTGACTTTATGGACAAGCTGTGTACGCGTGTGAATGAAGGACGCGTCGGAGGGGAAAGCGGAGGGGAGCGTACATGGGCGGGTTGGGAGCGTCGAGGAGCTCAACCAAGTCCTGCGGCAGCTCCAGCAGTCGGAATTGCTGAAGCTCGTGGGCGATGGAGAAGGGCACGGCGCCCTGGAGTTGTTGTGTCGCCATCTTTGTTCGAGGTGTTGAAGAAGATTTTGAAGATACAAATTTCCAAATGCGGACAAGGTGAGGTGCTGAGGCGCGGGGTCCTGCCGGGTGGTTTTGTTTGGCCCAAAAGCTCTCGCGTCCGAGTCCGAGTCCCACACCAAACGCGACGACGCAGAGTTATCATATCTCTGGACTCGGACTCTCTATCTACACAGTATACACAGTACAACAAACACACTACGAGCCGTCGTCGCACTTGTGGCACGCTGCTGACGTTGTGGCGCCCCGTTGCGGGCTGATAATTTGGCGCCCGCCAGCTTCCAGGGCTGCTCCTTCCGCGTGTTTGCGCTGCCTTGTTTATTTACTCGCTGCACCTCACCCATTGATACATCACCTCAACACCTTCTTCGAGTCCGCTTCCACCTCTCCCACACGCACTTCACAAGTCTCCCAGTCTCCCGCAAATGGTCTCATAATCTGCTGCTTTGCACACCCGCTTGCCTTCGCCCGCACCATGCCCTAGTCATTGGCAATCCCCTCTCACCTCCGCTGTTTCTTGTACCCCCGTCTCGTCACTCGTTACCCCAGGCTCAATCCGGCCACCACCCACCATGGTGACAATCACCCCGGAGCCTGCTGCCCTCTCCGCCAGCGACCTCTCGCTCTTCTATACCACAGACGACCTTCTCAGCAACTCCCCCGTGCTCATCTTCTACGGCCCCACCGCTACCTCAACCCATGCGACCCATTCGCGCATCCAGGCCCATGTCTTTACCCCGGCCGGCCTCCAGCATTTCGCTCGCCTCATCGTCTCCCCCACCGCCTCCTTCTACAATGCCGTGACCTGCCTGCCGCGCGAGGAGCAGGGCGACGAGATATGCCGTGGCCTCGCCTTCAGTCTGTACAAGTACTATGTTGAGCTTCCGACCCAGGTTAAAAATGTGTGGGAGGCACAGTACAGTAGCATGGCCCGCCTGCCCTCGGCCCCGAAGCTCTTCTCCGAATCCCATGCCGCCATGGTTGCTGCCCGAATGGTCAAGGTCGAGAACGTGGCCGACATCATAACAGATGTGCGGCACGCTTTGGGCGAGCAGACGCTCTCGTGGCTCGATCTGGATGTTGTACTTCCCCAGGGCGCAATTCAAACCCTCGAGAAACCCCGGGACTCTGCTCAGTTTGACGACGGCGACGACGACCAGCCGGAAAAGCGATATGGACAGTATGCCCCGGTAGTGAAGCTCTTTGGGGAATCCTCCTTCATCCCAACTTCCAAGCTGCGACGGGCTCCTTCGAGACCCACTGCTGTGAACAAAACCCAGACCTTTTCCAGGACCCAAAAAGAGGCCCTCCGGCGCGAAATGTGTGAACTGCTGGATACAGAAGAGAACTATGTCAGCAAGCTGTATGACCTCGTCCATAGCGTGGCCGTCGACTTCCGGGAAAAGGCAAAGCGCAAGGCGTCATCAAGCACCAGTCCTAGCGAACAAGCTCTGAAGGCATTGTTCCCGCCCAGCCTGGACCAAATCCTCGAGGTAAACACCAATTTCATGGAGACCATACGTGCTATTCTGGAAGAGACGGAGAATGACGCCATTCAAGACATTGAGTCGACTATAGACGATCTCTTCATTCCGCCTCTTCGTGGACAGACCGATCCACCCGATGTCACCGGAGCTGTTGCGCTGGCCAAGGCTCTGGCCGAATGGTTCCCCAAGTTCGCCGACTGCTACACTGACTACATCGCGGCACATGCTGAATTCCCTCAGCTGCTCAAGGTATTTATGAAGGACACGGGCTCTAGCTTCTCCAAGAGGGTGCATGAAACCGGTGAGCAGCGCCTCATGTCCATGCTCATTGAGCCTGTCCAGCGACTCCCACGCTACAACCTCTACATTGACAACATTGTCAAACAGTTACCTCTGCGCCATCCGGCTCTGAGGGTGTTCCTGAAAGCACGGGACATCATCTCCGAGATCTGCTCCAGGGATGGCCCCTCGGCGCAGCAAGCAAGGGTTGTGGATCGTCTTCGAAAAATGGTCTTCTCATGGCCGCTGGCCTTCAGTCCCCAGGGCCGCTTCATCAACGCCATTGATTTTGTCGAGCTCTCTGCACCATATCATGGAGACCTCAGCGGCCCTGGAACCACGTCTGGAGTTCTGTTGCTCTTCTCAGATGTCTTGATCATCATCCATAAGCCCAGGGGTTGCGCCATCACCGCGAGAAGCCTGATGGCGGACATGGACAACGTTAGAATGCCTGAGCCTGGAGCAGGCCCTACGGATCTCATCTTCCACCAGCAGTTGAAGCTGTCAGATGTATTTGTGAGCGAGCATTCGGAGGGTAATATTCTCCAGCTTCTCTCGCCGACCCCATCTTCAATCCAGCCAGGACGTCCACGAAGCCGGGATCGGTTGAACATGGGCATTCGTATGTTCTATTTACAGGGACCTTACGAAGGCAGGGCACAGAGATGTGTCGAAGATATTGTAAAGGCCAGGGTGGAAGGTCGGTACCCTGAGTCCGAGCGAGAGGGCGCTAGATGGGAAGTCCGATGTGCGCCGGGCGACTTGAACTTGTTCTCTGCAGTATCGGAAGACACCGCGGGCCAGGTTCTGGAGGGTCGGAGAGAACCAGCCAAGATCCAGGTCTTGGTCGACCCTGCTAAGCATGTCCAACCCGCCCAGATGGGCCATCACGGCATCGAGATGACCATCTCTATTTCCCTCATTGAGGATGGCTTCTGCTTGGTCGAAACCTCCGGCATCAACGGTTACACGACGAGAGACAAGCTGAAGCCTACTGAGTTCCTCCCAGTCCTCACAAAGCGGCTGGGAAACTTCTTCCAACTCCGCAACAACATCAGAAATCCAGACTTGACGGATGCCTATGTTTTCCGCAATCAGCAAATACTCAAATCCCTTGTTTTACGCGTTGACGAGGCTGACGACGGACATGACGGGAAGACCCGGTCGGCTTCCCCGGTGAAGATGCTATCCAGCCTCTTTGGTGGTAGTGTCAGCAGAGAAGGAGGCTCGCGAAGGCTTCAACGAAATCCGGCGTCCTTGTCAGACATTACGCGGCATGTACCTCCTCTTCCACCAGCTCCGGCTCGCACACATAGCCGCGATGGTGAACACTCCCGCCCCACATCTTCAAGCAAGACGGTTTCTTTCAATGCAAACTCCCTTCTCTCTGATCCGCTGGTGAAGTTGGAGGAGACAATGTCTACATTCATTTTAGCATTGCATGCTCGAAAGGGCAACATCGTTGGCAGATCGGTCCGAGCACGGAATGTCGCCGATGAAGCCGCTGTCAACGAGGTGTACAACGCTCTTCTCGAGAACCCCGCCAACTTGGAGGTCGCCGCGCAAGCGTCGGTAGATGTCCTCTTCGCTTCGTTTGAGAAGTTCATCAAGGTCGCATGGAGGGAAAAGATGGGTCCTGTCATTTCTCTTACCAACCTCACCTCATTACAGCAAAAGTCGGACAGCATGTATCCTGGAGAGTTTGAGGAATTCTTCCGGTTGATGTTCAACGATATGGCCCCGCAAAATCAGCGTTCCCTCCGGCAAATCATCAAACTGTTGGCCGAATTGCTCGACGGCACCGGTAACGACGGTGACCGCGGTATCCTGACCGCTGCATTTGCGGAGATGCTTGTTTTGGAAGGCAATCCTACCGACTTCATCTCACTGATGGACCGCTTCATACAAGACATCGATTCTCTGTTCGCTTTGCAGCCATCCGGCCTAAGCTCGCCGAGATATGGCTCCGTAGACTCCAAGGGCCGTTCTACAGCTGCTGGTTCCCTGAACTCCAATACCTCTCTACGAAAGCGGTTCGGTTTTGGTACATTGACCAGGGAGAACAGCAAGTCGGAGAGCGAATCCAAGGTTGGCTCGCTATGGAGGACGCTGAGCAAAAACACGTACGGCACAGACAGCCAGCCGGGAAGTATGTCCAAGGCTGGCCATACCTCGCTGGGCAGGTCTCAATCGATAGATGCGGCCATGCATGCCCATTCGCCCAAGCGGCCCACTTCTCGCGAGCGTCCCACGATCCTGGGGGCCTTTGCTTTCGAGAATGGCTCGAGCCAGCATGGCAAATCATTCTTGGGGTCGACGCTGAGTTCCATTGGAGAGGTATCAAGCGCTGCTGGTCCTCCCCGCAAGAAGCGTCGCTCCTCGCTAAGTGACTTGAAGAGCCTGCAGAATGCTGACGATGAGCCTAAGTGGACACCACAGACTCCCCGAGCGGAACGACCTAAGAGGCAGTCGAGCGCTTCGCCCCGAACCCCTCACACACCTACAACACCTTCGCAAGCCAAAGAGAAAGCAGAGCCGAGCACGCCTGCTCCAGCGAAACCGGCCGCGATTCCCAGCACGCCTCTTCATCTCAGAAGCTCCGCCATCCCTGCTCCTTCGCGCCTGGCGTCTCCCTTTCGCAGGGAGAACTCTCCAGCGCATACCTTGGAGCGTACTGGTAGCCTTCGTCCTAGAGCACTCACTCTCAAGGGCGAAAACAAAGATGAGATCACCATCAAGTCGCAAAGTCCTAGGAAGAAGCGTACCGATTCCATCTCTACCATTCCCCTGCTGAAGCCCAGTACGCCAGTTTTGGCAGAGCGGCCCACCTCCAATACTTTGAGAAACCCACCTGCTACCCCACGGTCGCCCACCAAACCCAATGCCTCCATTATCCCCACCGCGACATCGACATCTTCGCCTAGGAAGTTGAAGATGCAGTCGCCTCAGAAGCTTCGAGAACGCCTTCAAAATCAGCAGCGAGACATTGAGAGCGCGTCGAAGGCGCTGCAGAACGAGCTCAGTGCAATAGGCCAGGAGCTTGGTGTTAGAGGCACTACTCGCCTGGCAGCACCAGCAGCCACGCCTACGTCCTCGAGCGGTAGGTCTGTTGAGGCTCGTATTGCGGCGCTGGAGAAGCACCTCAAGACTACCCTGGAGCAGCTGCAGTCTAGTACGAATACCATCAGCAATGACCTGGCCAGCTCGTTGCAGGTATCGGAAGCGAGGGCCAAACACTTGGATCAACTATATCGCGATTTGAATGCTGAGAATGAGGCATTGTATGCGCGGTTCAACGAAGAGTTGGAGAAGGTGGAGCGGAGCGTGCGAAAAGGCAGAGGCATGGAGGAAGTGGATCGACGGATGAGAGCGAGTGAGGAAGAGTGTGCGAGGTTGAGAAAGGAGAATGCGAGACTGAGGAGGGAGGTTGCAGGATTGAGGGCGCAGATTAGGGAGTAGGGAGTGTGCGTTGGAGAGGCTTTGTTTGCTTGCGTTTGGAGCTCAGCATGTTTACGGCGTTCAAGCGGCATTCACGTTGGATCATGGGCATTGCTCGGGGTGGAAGGCGTGCTGGCTGCTTCCGGCATGGTGTTATGGTGGATACTCTGGTACTCGGTTTTCCTCTTCGTTATTCACATGTTGTCCTTGGCTTTCGGTCAGGAGCCCAAGGACTCGCGCGTTGCATTCACACGGCTGAACATGTCTTTGGGAAGCATTTGATAGAATGGGAGGCAGGACGGGTCCCTACCTGATAGGGATGTCATTAGCTCTTCACGAATGGAGGAACAATCAATCGCTAGTCATTCGCATTAACCATCCTTTTTCATTCGCGCGTCATTGCTGCAATGTAGTGAGTCTACGCTACGACATTCGACCTCGCTGAAGCAATCCTTCCGTTGCCATACACCGATTAATGCCCATGCCCATCATCCTCCCCGCCACCCCTCTCCTCCGGATCCAACTTGATCAACGTATCGATCCTCATGATAGCCACACACGCCTCGACGGCGCTCTTCAACTGCTTCACCTTGCTCATGCTGGGCTCCAACACGCCCGCCTTGAGACAATCATGCACTTTCCCGTTCGTCAGATCGAGCCCGTAATTCTTGTACCCTTTGCTGCGGGCGAGGCGCTTGGCGTCGTCCGAGGCCGAAGGGTCCGAGGGCGTGCGTTGGGATAAGGCGTGCCGGGAGCGGAGCTGGGCGACCAGGTCGGTGGCGTCCTTTGCGGCGTTTGTGGCGAGGGTTTTGGGGATGGCGAGGAGCGAGATGGCGAAGGCGGCGATGGCGAGTTGTTCGCGGGAGCCCTGGGATGGCATGTTAGCGGCTTTGATAAGACGACGTGGAGCATGTGGGTAGGGAGGATAGGTAGAGCACGCACCACGGACGTTGCCCACTCCTCGAGGTAGATGTGTAGGGCGGTCTCGACGGCACCACCGCCGGGGACGATGCGCCCGCTCTCCAGAGTCCGCTTTACGGCGGACAGGGAGTCGTGCACCGAGCGCTCCATCTCGTCCAGAGCGTAGTCGTTGGCTCCGCGGAGGATGATGGATGCCGAGGAGTAGGCCTTGGGCTTCTTCACCAGGATGCACTCGTCGTCCGAGATGCGCTCCTGAATCACCTCCTCTGCGAAACCCAGCAGTGACGGCTCGAACTTCTCGTCGCCGTTCAGATCCGACAGCGTGCTGACGAGCGTGGCGCCCGTCGCCTTTGCTATCCGTCGCAAGTCCTCCTTCTTGCATCTCCTCACTGCCATGGCGCCCTTTTCGACAAAGTACTTCAGACACAGGTCATCGATGCCCTTGGTCGTCATGACGACGTTGGCTCCCGCCTTGAGAATCATCTCAATCCGCTCGATGACAATGCCAGCTTCTCTTTCCCGGATCTTCTCCAGCTGTGCAGGGTCGTCAATGGTGATGTGGACGCCCAGCTTCATCCGCTCCTTCTGCAGGTTGATGTCCAGGCATGCAATCTTCGCGTCTGTGATGCGCGTCTTCATGGCCTGAGATGCGACGGTGCAATTCAGGGCGTACCCCTCGACTAATATCGACTCGGTGGCCGCCTTGCCGTGGGCCTTGAGGATGTTGACCGCCTTGACGGGGTACTTGACTTCGCCCTTCTGATTCACCGTCTTGACAGACTGCATGGCGTCGACGACCATGTTGGCGAAGAAATCCGAGTCGGCGCCAATGATCTTGCTCGACATGGACGTCTTCGCGATGTTAACCAAGCTATCTCTTCCCAAGTGCTCCACCTTGACGCTGATGTTCTCGTTCATATATCTCACCGCCTCGCGCAGCGCCAACCGGTAGCCCGTGATGATGGTCGTGGGGTGTATCTTGTTCTTCATGAGATCGTTGGCCCTCCTCAACAGCTCCGCCGCTATTATAACCACCGACGTCGTCCCATCCCCAACCTCCTTGTCCTGCTGCTGCGCCAAATCGACGAGGATCTTTCCGGCCGGGTGCTCGATGTCGAGCAAGCTGAGGATCGTAGCGCCGTCGTTGGTCACCGTCACGTCGCCGATATCGTCCACCATCATCTTGTCGAGGCCCGACGGCCCAAACGACGACTTGACGACATTGGCAATCGCCTGCGTCGCCAGCACGTTCTGGTCACGGATATCCTGTCCGCTGATTTTCTGGCCGCCTAGGACTGCAGGAACGGTATTAGCTCTGATATTTTATTATACGGCAACAAGCTTCGGATCGTCGAATGGAAACCTACACAGGGTGCCTCCGCTGCGCGGCTGTTCAAAGATTCCCGCCATATCGTCTGACTTGGAGCTGTTTGCTGCGTCGTTTTGGAGCTGCCTCTATTCGTCGGACACACGCGCCGCCTTGTCCAGAAATTTGGCAGACATTCGAGTTACGCGCCAAGCAACGGGGAACCCAACCGGGGCAAACAGCTCGGGAAGCCGAGTTTCTCCGCGCCGAAAATCCAGGTCCCCGCCACCGACCCCCCTGTAAAACTGCTGCCCCTCTTCTTCCAGATTTGGAGTTGTTTATACGACCGCCCTTTCGTTGTGACTGTTCTCTCCATAGCCGTACTGAGGCTGAGGCATTGCACTCGCTTGGAAATCAACAGGTGAGTCAATGAATCGACAATTTGACTCGATAACTGACTCATCTTAATTCTAGCATATATCAAAAGATCCCTTTTGTCCGTCCCTTGCGATCCAATTCAGCAACCACACGCGACTCCTCAGCATGGCGGACGTCGACGGCAAGATGAAAGATCTCTCCATATCGGAGACGGGCAAGAAGAAGGACGCACAGCCCAAGAAGGCTCCCAAGAAGCCCCAGCAGCAGAAGAAGAAGATCGAGGGCGCTGCTCTCATCGGAAGTATGTGAATCGCGGTCCAAAGATGTGTTTCAATCACACTTACAAAGTCGAAAAGTTGACGTGGCCAAGGAGGATGACTTGGCGGAGTGGTACCAGCAGGTGATTACCAAGGGCGAGATGATCAGTTTCAGTGATATTTCTGGTTGTTATATCCTCGGTCAGTTTCAAGCTACTCTGTGGAACGCAATCGGAGTCTTAACTAATGGCGCCCAGAGCCGAACTCGTACGCGATCTGGGATGCGATCCGGGAATGGTTCGACAAGAAGATCAAGACCATTGGCACGCGTAACGCATACTTTCCGCTGTTCATCAGCAAGAGCAATCTCGAGCGCGAGAAGGAGCACATTGAAGGGTTCGCTGCCGAGGTCGCATGGGTGACGCAGGGCGGATCAACAAAGTTGGAGGTGCCCCTCGCGGTCCGCCCTACCAGCGAAACCGCAATGTACCCGCACTTCAAGAAGAAGATCCAGTCGCATCGGGATCTGCCCCTGAAGCTGAACCAGTGGAACAATGTTGTGCGATGGGAGTTCAAGCATCCCATGCCGTATGTAGAAGACTTGTGGGCCGCTCGGGCTTAGCTAACAATTTCAGGTTCATCCGGAGTCGAGAGTTCCTCTGGCAGGAAGGTCACACTGCCCATCTTACCAAAGAAGAGGCCGGCGCGGAAGTTCGACAGGTCCTGGACTGGTACTCGGATGTCTATCAGGAGCTGCTTGCGGTTCCTGTTGTCAAGGGTGTGAAGACGGAGAATGAGAAGTTCCCCGGCGCCGACTACACCACCACCATTGAAGGATTCATCCCGGCCACTGGCAGAGGTATCCAGGCTGCAACGTCGCATTGCTTGGGTCAGCACTTCTCCAAAATGTTCGACATCACTGTGGAAGATCCCAGCGTGAAGGAGAGCGGCAAGTCGGAGAAGATCTACGTGTGGCAGAACTCCTGGGGTTTGACAACGCGGTCCATTGGTGTCATGATCCTTACCCATGGTGACAACAGAGGCCTCGTCATTCCCCCGCGAGTTGCCGAAAAGCAGGTTGTCCTCATTCCTGTCGGCATCACTGCTAAAACCACTCCCGAGGCGAAGGAGAATCTCTATAAGAGCTTGCGCGAGATTGCGGGTGATCTCGCGTCGGTAGGCCTACGCGTCGAACTGGACCTTCGGGAAGGCTACTCTCCTGGCTGGAAGTTCAACGACTGGGAGTTGAAGGGTGTCCCTCTCCGCATCGAGTATGGTCCCAAGGACGCCGAGAAGGGCCAAGTGACCACCTCGCGGCGCGACATCAACGACAAGGACGCCGCACGAGGCGAAGTCAGAATCCACGACCTCAAGACCGCCATTCCGGAGCTGCTGGAGAGGATCCAGGCCGACATGTTCGCCAAGGCCGATAAGGCCTACCGCGAGCACCGCGTCCAGATCACCAACTGGGATGACTTTGTGCCCACGCTGAATGGCAAGAATGTCCTCCTGGTGCCTCACTGCCACGGCGGCAAGTGCGAGGATGAGATCAAGGAGAAGAGCGCGCGGACCGCGATTGGCGATGACACGACCGAGGATGCGAAGGCCCCGGCTATGGGAGCGAAGAGTCTGTGTATCCCTTATGAGCAGCCGGAGGGGATCAAGGAAGGGGAGACGAAGTGCATCAATCCCACTTGCGAGGCTCCTGCAAAGTCTTGGGTGATGTTTGGAAGGAGTTATTAGGTGCGCTTCGATGAGGTTTTGAGGGAAATAGAAGGAACAGGGCTGGATCGGATGATTGTTGAGGCGGTGGGTGTGGGGGGTGATGATACCGTATTTCGTGTGACATGTCTATATCGATTAGCGAGATGCTCCATCCAGCGGCCAGTGTGACAATTGAAAGAGAATATGAGAATATGAGTGCATATCATGAGTTCATGAGTTGAGCAAGAAGTTTGAAAATGCAAGCCGCTAAATGTGTCGTCAAGTCACTCGCGCTGTATGCTGTCGTACCAGAATGCTCTCAGATGGGAGATGAATATGAAACAAACAGCAACAAGACCCTCCACCTCGTCTCTAGAAACCCATGTTGCTATCTCATCCACATAGCCAGAATGATGCTTCATAACTCGTTTCAAATGTAAATCCGTCTCGATCCAACCTTGGGGAGTGTATGGATCTCGCTCGGGTTCCTGTCCCTACCGTCGTCATCATCTACGCAATCTCATCCGTCATACCCGCCAGCACGCCCGCCCCAATGATACCTCCATCCAGCGCCTCTCGGAGAACGACCTTCTTCCCTTGGTTCTGCGGCGAGGCCCTCGTCACGAGCGCGTCGATCCAGCGCTGGCAGGTAGACAGCCAGTCCGGGTAGTGGGAAATGGTGCCGCCGGCGTAGGCGATGACGAGTTCTTCCCTGTCGCTGTCGGACTCGTCCTGGGCTGCTTGGTCTTCGTGGTCTGGTTTTGGTGCATCGGTTTGGAAATCGGAAGTGGTGGTGCCGCTGTTTGCGGATCGTTTATGTGTTTGTTCTCCGTTGAGTTGGGTCTGGTTGTTGTCGATGTGGATGTCGTTGACGCAGGCGAGGAGGCCGACGCAGGCGGCTGCTATGAGTGCCGAGGAGCGCTGCTGGACGGCTTGTGCGATATCCCGGAGGAGTTGCACGCGAGCGGGGATCCAGAACGTTGATGTCCGGTTTGGAGAGGGGTACATGTTCTCCAGCTCGGCCGTCAACGAAGTGTCGTCTGCACGAGCGACCACCTCGGACAGGAAGCGCGTCGCTATCGCGTTCCTAGTCTTCAGCGATGCCGGTACTTGCCCTTCTGATGAAACCAGATGCACAAACACGAGTCTCACAATCTCCCCCAAATACCGGCCCGCAGTCATATACTCAAAGGGCTGGAACCCGGGCGCCTCGCTGTTCCCGTCGAGCTCCAGGTCCCATTTCGTCTTGAGTGCCATGTCGTTCAGGGGTTTGTCGGTGCCGCGGATGGTCCATTCCGTGTTGATGACGACGGTGTCGACGGCGTCGGGGTTGGCCAGGCTGGATCGCTTGGCTGGGTGCAGGGCGGCGAGGGGCATGGGGACCGTCGCGTTGGTGCCGGTGCCGACGATGAGGCCCATGGCTACGCGGCTGTTGGGAGCGGCTTTGACGGCGTAGGCGAGCGAGGCGAATGTGGCGACGGTGTCGTTGGTGATTGCTGCGATTCGGAGGCGGGGGAGTTGGGTCGGAGAGTGGCCGTTGGTGATGGTTGGGTTCGAGAGGTGGCGCGAGTAACCTGCTAGGAGCATCTTGCCTAGGTTGAGATTCGAGGTGATGGCGAAGCCTTTGCCCATGGGGAGGAGCGTGGCTTCCGAGAGGCGGGTTTGGCTGGGAGTCTGGTCAGGTTTTTGTTAAGGGGGATGGTGGATAGGTACAGGCACTCACGCCATGGGGAAGCTGAAGGTGATGCCTAGGAGAAGTTCATCTCCAAAGGGGGATTCCGAGGCAGGTGATGCATTCAAGGCGTCCGTGATGACCTCCGCTATGCAGTCACCGATCCAGGCAAAGAGATCCTCAGCCTGGTCCATCTTCATATGCTCCTCAATGGGCCAGCTCTTGTCATGACTCTTTCTGATCTTCGATGCTGGAGCTTCGCCATTCTGGGTTCCCGTGCCTAATAACTCTCCTAGCAGCTCGATAAATCCCACTCTTAGATTCGTGCCACCAACGTCGATACTCAGAAATCGACCCTTCTCTTTCCCCGTAGGCAATGCAGTAACAGGCGTCACCAGGAAATGCTCCGTCGACGATTTGGCCAAATCCCGATATGTCTCCGAAAATCGGCTTGCTAGCTCCAGCAGGTCGTCCTCGTTGATGAAGCCCGTCAGTGATGCCAAGGCGTCCTCGACATGTGTATTGCGCCCCTCTGCTATCTCTTTGCTGTCCATAATGATATATGAGCGGGACCCGGCCGCTCCTGTCTCTCAGGCCAAGTACAATTCTGCGTAGGTAAATTTTCTTATGCGGTTCCGACAGCCTCAAGGCTCCGGGCGAATCCTGCCTGACTCAGATGTTTCAGTCCGATACTAGAAGACAGTGCAGACTTAAGATGCCGAGAAGGCGATGCAGGTGTGTCAAGGACATTCACCAGGAGAAAAAGGGAGTGTGCTAGGACGGATACACTTGTCCGTCACACCACAGCCTTGAGGACTCTTGAATTCGAGTCCCACATCTGGGGCTGCCCCTTGCATTGCTTAGTGATGCTGGAGTTGTACCCTGCGGTTTGCCGGCGGGAGGTGAACAGGCACTAGCCATTTGTAGCTTAGCGGTCTCGCAGACGGAGTGATGTGACGCGGGGGCCAGGGCAGCATCTGATGGGGCTCTGTGCTCGTGCAAACAACAGCTCCATTTCGTTTCATCATTTCCGGTCCATCTGACTGTGCCGCCTTGTGCGCGCGCCCGACCAAAGATAGGGAAAAGCGATCGGGCAATAATCTCTCTCTCCATCCCTTGAGACCGTTTCGCCCTCATCAGCCCCGTTGGGAGGAGCACCATCATCAGTCCAGCCACCTCTGTCGCCATAGCTGTGTCATATCACACAGAATATAAGATCGCCCAAAGGAGGCGACCCCTTTGCAATGAATGCAAAAACTCCCCTCCTGCCGCGCACCGAGCAGGAGACGCAATCACGGGTCCAGGCGATGCATTCGCGGAGACGATTCGGGAGGTTCCATGCTGCCGCTATAGGCCTCCTGCTTGGCTTGTTCTGGCTCGCGACGACCTGGCAATGTACCGATCCGAATCATAATCACGGCGGCGGGGAAGAGACGGCAACCAAGGTGCCGTTGGAGATACATATCATGTGGGTTTGCAGAAAAGCGGGAACCTGGAAGGGTGCAGGATACTGATAGCTCTCTAGGTCAAAGTGCCCCGACGCGCGCGACTGTCTGAAGAAACTCATCATCCCTACCATGGCCAACGTTGCTGAAAAAGTCGATTTTAGATTGTCTTTTATCGGAAAGTTCGTGCTACCCTCCCCTCTTGTCTTACACCAATGTATATATATCGTGCAAACAGCCGAGACATATACACTTAGACGTGAGAACCCGTCGCTAACTATAGCACCTGCAGGGCGACGGATGAGGACGACGGTGTCCAATGTAAACACGGTCAGACCGAATGTCTGGGGAACATCCTCGAGCTGTGCGCTGCCGCCGAATACCCCGAGCCGAAGCGGTACCTCGGTTTCACCATGTGCCTATCGCGAGCGTACCAGGAGATACCCAAGCGAGAATTGGTGCAGGATTGCGCTCTCGAGCATGGGATCGATTTCGACCGGCTGAACCACTGTGTGAGCAAGGATGATGGAGCATACGGAATGGGCCTGCTGAGGGAGAGCGTCAAGAGGAGCGCCGAGCTGAACGTGACCACCAGCTGCACGGTGCGATTGAATGACCAAGTGAGGTGTATCTATGATGGGGGGAGGTTCAGGAACTGCGAAGGTGGATCCAGGCCCGAAGACCTGATTCGCGATATCAACAAGCTCTATAACGAGGCTAGAGGGTGGACGGAATGAAGAACCGAGCAAGCTGTTATACGTCGACTGGCCATGGCTTTGCATTGCCACTCCTTGCCGAACTGGAGGACTGCACGTTCCTTGCCTCCTCCTCGACTTCGGCATCTTCCCGAATCCGAGTCGTCTTCGAACACCATATCATTCGTTGTCCCCATTCCAAGAGGGAACGCCAGCGTAGCCTCAATCAGCTCGCAGCACTATATCAGAAACGACCCTTGGATACATCGACACTGCACACACTCTCAGCATTAACCTGAGTTGGAGTGGGACCTTTATGATCCTCAGATGTCGCATTTGGCAAAACGCTACAGACCCACGGTGTGATGATACCCATGTTGGAATTACGTTCGCTCAACAAGACGGACTGGCAAAGGTGTAGGATATGGAATTCGTATTCTCAGTAATCGTGTTGAACAACCATCCAAACGCCAGCCATGCAATCCAGACTCCATGCTAAATAAGCCTAAACGGGTGCCATCTCTCTCTTATGCAAGGCGAAAGTACGCATCCCATTGCCCATTACTGGAATTCTCCAAACTCGCCGTCATCAAACCCCAAGTCCTGCGGCGACTGCTCAAACGTCTGCCTACTCCTCCGCCGCTCCTCCTTGACGCTCTTCGCGCTCGGCGGCGGCGGTAGAAACGGCGCTGCTCCGCCTCCCGGCCCAGGCGGTGGCTTAATACTAAACAAAGCATCCTGTTCACTCTTTGCTTGCCCGGCCGCCGAAGTACCGCTGTCAGGTCTTGACCGCCGTCCCTTTAGTCCCCCCAAATTTATCGATATCGTCTCGCCCTCCTTGAGACTGAAATCTCTCCGCGGCTCCTCCTTGGTTTCCGCCCTTTCCCCTCCTCGCCCGACGCCCTTCCCACTAATCCTACCACTGTCGTCCTTGGTTTCGAACCCCAACACCCTCCTCGCATCCTGCAGCGCGATACTGAAATCGAACGCTTCCGCCCGCTCCTCAAAGCCCATGCCCAGCACCGCCTTGCGCCCCTCGCCCACGACCGTGACGGCGAAGAAGCGCGACGAATCGAGCGCCTGCTCGACGACGGCGGGCGAGGTATACGGTGCGGCGGCGAACAATGCGCCTGTGGAAGGGTCTTCGAGCAGCAATGTCGTCGTGACTTTCTCATCGTTGTCGTCGGAATTGGGACTCGGGATCGACGTCTCGACGATGCGGAGGCGGGCGGTGAAGATTTGTCGAGCGGAGGGGTTGTTGGCGTCGGTCCACGCGGAGGCTTGGTAGCCCCTTGTCGAGGTTAAGGGCGGGATTTGGTAGATGTGGACTTTGGGCGCGAGGTATAGGATGCGTTGGATGGCGGTGGGGGGGAGCGGGGCGCCGGTTAGGGGGTCGGTGTTCATGGTGGTTTGGGTTGGGGGGAGTGGCCCGGCGAGAGAGATGGAGATGTTGCTCTTGCTGCGGCCTTGGAGGTGGAGTGTGATAGGAGGTCGAATTGCGGTTCTCGTGTCGAGGTTGTGTTTACTACCTCTGATCCGTGGAGTTTGGGACCGAATGCGGGGGGTTCACACCGCTCAAGGACGCCTCAGGGCGGTCGGAGATGATATGGAGGCTCGGAAAACGCGTCAACAGTAGCGGGAGAGGCGTGGTGAAGGGAAGGAGAGGGATTGGTAAAGTTTCATCGATTGGAACGCGGTGCTTTCCGGCCGTTATAGGAGCTTCATGTCTGATGTGCTGGCAAGTCGATTATGCAGGGCCCCGCCTAAAAGTAGATCTCCTCCAGGGCTGCCCCGCCGTGGAGTCACGTGAGTATATCTTCCTGTGGGTAATTCTGGGGATACTGGGGAGGTGATTGGAAAGTAGGGACTTGGACGGGAGCGCCGATGTTCGGGGGAGAAGCGGTGAAGGAGGGGTGGGGAATTGGTTGTGAAGGGTGAATGTTTGTTGACAGTTTGTTCGCCTGTACGGCGTCCCCACTTTGGCGTCCGTCAACATCATGTTGAAATAGAAAATCGTCTATATGTCTATCTTCTATCTGTGTATGTACCGTGGTGTAATATAGTTTTGCTGAACGCTCCAATGCTTGCGTAATCTATTTGACCGTAGGCTGTCCCGCGTCTCCAACTGGAGCCAGTCCAGCTTCGCCAGCCTTGTATGCCTCGAAGCCATCTTGAGCAGCTTGCTTAACCGTGATCCTTCCCTCGACAATCTCCTTGCACTTGTCGAGAATGTCTCCCCAGTGCTCGAAGACGGTGAAGGGCACATTCTCCTTCACGCAATAGGTGATCAGGTCGTGCCCCTTTTTGGCAAAGAGCAGATCCGTCTCCCGAGCAGCAGAAAGATCCGAAACACCGTCACCAGCGTAAAACATCGTCGGCCGGATCTCTTCAGGAAGTGACGAGTATTTGCGCAGCTCAATCGACTTGTCATGCCCGAACCCGCTCTCCGGATTGCGGAACTCGATCTCCCATCCGCCTTCCTCGTCGATGCGCTTCCCCGGTCGAGCCCTGACGAAGTTTCCGAGGACCTGGATCTTTTCCGCGTCCGGGCCCACGAGCGCCCTCAGGAGGGCCTGGATGATGGGTTCCATTCCCGAGGAGAGCACGACGACGGGGATGTTGTGCTGCATGCTCCATTCGAAGAAGGCCTTGAAACCGGGATCCAGCTTGATGTTGGACACGAGGTAGTCTATGCACTCGTTGTACGGCTTCTTGATGCTGTCCATCATTTCCCGGAAGGAGTCGCGGAAAGTAATCTTGCCCGTGAGCGTGTCCAGGTTCCCTTGCCGCCTCTTGTCACGGCCGTAGCCGATGTTGTCGGTCATGAAGTCATTGCCTGTGACCTATTAGTATGTAACAGGACCTTTGAAGCGTATAGGACTCTATGTTTTAATTAAAACCGAACGTAGACCTACTGTCCTGCAGCGTAATTGTGCCGTCAAAATCGCTGAAGAAAATGAACTTGAGAATTTATGAGCACCCTTCATGTCATCATATATGTTCCCATTTGCCCTACTTTGGGGTTGGTCTTCATCGCAGGAAGATCCGATCCAGCTTGCGATCCCATCTTTGCTTGATGTTTGCAAGAACGAAGAGCACAGAATAGATAACCAAGGATTCAGCGAAAGACTCAGCAACCGGCCCCTCCGAAAGCAAAAGATGTGTTTATCAGAGGCAGATGTTGTTGTTGGAAATATTTCATCGGCCAGCCGAAAGGGGAATTCCCGGGAGTCGGAAAAAGGCAGGCTGGCTTGGCGTTCTGCTTGAGCTCCCACCCGTTCGTCATTTTGTTGGTGCTTCAAGTCCATAGGTCTCCGTTCGGTTTTTGTCGGCACGCCGAATGTGAGCAGCGCTCCATAAGAATGAGACCGCTGCTCCAGCATGCGTCACGCTCTTTTCTTACGGGATTGGTGCCAGTAGCACCGCGTCGAGCCCATAATGCCGCAAAGCATGCCGCTTCGATGAATTGGTCGGTATGCTGGAGCTGTCAATTCCGAGCCTCTTCTACACCTTCCACCCGGGAATCGAGAATCCAATTGAGTCCGAACGATGCATTCAACAGACAGTACCGTCGCCGATTATTCTCCTCGCAACCCCCGCAAGCGAAAGATGGCTCGTCCGAAACATCTGAGCCTATTCCTATGCCCCCTCCACCTCCGCCTACTGAAGAAAGAAAGCCTGCAGATGGCAGAGTAGAAGACCCATTGCCGTCAGAGCCTGGTGAGGCAATTGCGATGACACCTCCCACGCCTCCTCTTAAGCCGTCCGCCGAAAACCCAAGCCAGTCCGACGTGCCCCCAAAGGCGAAGCAACCGAAAGTTGAAGATAATATAGCGAGGGTGCCTGCCGAGGACCTGCCTTCACATCACGCTGAACAGCGATGGAACTTTGAGAAACGCATATCTGAGTTTATGGACGAGCTGTTACCGAGACTTGCGGTGGTGACCCAGAAAGTGAATACATATACGGGGACAGACTACTCCAGCATCGCGGCCCTGAAGAGGGAAATCAAGGATCAAGGTACCAATTCTGAGAGTTTGGCATCGTTCCGCTAGCATCTAACAGCTCGTAGAAAATCTCGTGAAAGCTCGGCGACAGGCTATCGAAGAAGCGAAACAGGCACTGGACGCAGCTCACGCCCAGCAAGCAGCATCGCAAAAAGAGGTTGTTGCCCTGTTGGAGCGGAAACACTCATGGTCGGCAACGGACCTCGAGCGGTACATGGCCTTGATCCGGTCAGAGCATGTCAATGATCAAGCCATCCGTGAAGCGAAGGAGGCCGTGGCATCGGCTGAGAATGCCCTCGAGGAAGCGCGATCACAGCTGGAAAAGCGAGAGCGGGCACAGTACCACGAGGAGCAGATCTGGAGTGACACGATTCGGCGGAACAGCACCTGGGTTACCTTTGGTCTCATGGGGCTCAACATTGTCCTGCTCTTGGCGTCGTTGATTGTCATTGAGCCCTGGAGGAGGAGAAGAATGGTCAGGGAAATCAAAGCTGCGTTAGAGGAGGCCCAAAAGCCAGTCATTACTGCCGCGCCGGCAGTCCTCCCGACCACGGCAGCAATTGAAGCAGACATCGACAAGGCTGTAGAGCCCGTAGGACCTCTGGCAGAGGAGGGAGAAGCCCAGCCTACTCCGCCCGGGTCCGTTGTTACCAATGAGGTTCTTCCGTCAGCGGTCGAAATCTCAGAAACTACGCCAAACGAAGCAGAGGCCTTCCTTGCACCCAACCCAGTCATTGAACCCCCAACTCCGCCTGCAGTCGATATAGTCGAAGAGGCGGTGTCCTCTGACGTACCTGCCGAAACCGCCCAAAGCAAGCCCAATCTGCAGAAGATCACCGCGAGACTTGAAGCCCTCGTGAGCGAGGAACCGATTTCCGTCCGGAAGAAAGACCTAACCGCCGCAATCTGCGTCAGTGCCGCCGCCGGATATGTCTGCGCAATGGTTGTGTTCTGGTTCAGTAGCAGGTAACAATGACTTACCCGCCGTTACGGAATCCGACTCCCAACTGAGGCCTCACTACTGCATTCACCCGAGCGGCCCCAGTGTATTATTCTACCGCTGTACATATTATTTACTTGTACATACCCAATCATAGACGATCTCAGCAGCCACTTCATAAGTCCCATCAGCCACATATGGTTGCCGATGACAACTAAGGGCCTTCAAACGGAACGACTGTCACTCTCCTCTTCCAGTGGCGGTCTTACCTACTTCTAATCTGACGCACAGGATGAGCTTCTAGTCGGGTCTATCCGTTAGTATCTCCTCTCCCTCCTAGAGCTGAACACACAATGCCGATGCAGGGAGAGGCGAGCTTATCTCACCAAATGCCCACAGCCTCGTCAACGTCGCCCCCAGCCGATATTGTGTACCATGTCCTAGGGATCGCGGTGGCGCCGGCGGAGTGGTCTGGTTAGTTTGACTGGACTATCCGCTCGTTCTCTTGAGATTGGGATTTGGAGTTGACTGTTACAGTTCATGACAAGTTCCACGGTAGTGTGACGGACTAGGGACGCAGATCTGTTATTGCTAGGAAAGAGAAACGTTTTCGGTCTTTACCGAGCCACAACTGCATGGAGTACTTTCAGATGTCCGTCTTCCTCAATTGTTATCACGAAAGGTTAGTCTAGTGGTGTCAACCATATGAACTACCTCCACCAAGCTTCGAGGGAGAGCGGTGAAAATCTCGCAAAGTCCTCCGTTCGGTCGCTAACGCTGCCCATTGTGCTGGCATCTGCAGGCCACTACCGACTGCCGTCATTGTTTAGCTATGATGGCTATCCATTTATTCTATCGTTCAATCAGAGTTGCAGGTTGGCATACGTTCTCTTGGGCGGAATTTTCCTTACACTCTGTTGACTTGAGCTTATCTATTAACGGCAAGTGGGGTCGAATACAAGAGAGCTGAGCTAAAGAGCAGCAAGATCGAATCACCGTCGGACTGTCTAGGTTTGTGACTAGATGGGGAAATAGCTAAAATGCTGACATGCATAGAGCAATTTCTGATTGGCCGCAGATGGTGATAGGTCTAGGAATAACACCACGGTTAGAGCTCAGCCTCAGCCCTGCCCCCACAGAATTGGAGACGGTGAGATGCGGACTAGGCGAAGGCCGTAGTCGCTTGGCAGCTCGTTCTAGACAGAGGAACTGGAAGAGAAGGGTCTACATATGTATGGGGGAGCCGACGTACCCATCCCGATCTTTGTCATTCAATGGAGAGTGTAGTCATCAGCTCCGTCCGACGCCTCAGCCCCATCATCCCAGCCTTATCCTTGCACTTAAGATCTATCCTGTTTCTGTCGTCTTGTACGAGAGTATCTAACTGTGATCATTCTCATATATAGTCAACGTCGCATTTTCCTCTTTCTATTGCTGGCCGGCCAGCTTCGACATTTCGTCAGTGTTGGCGTGGAGGAGAATACACGGACGCTCCATCGCAAGTTAAGGTGTGCTGGCACGCAGAATATCCAAGATGGTATATCAGGATATCAAACTTCCTCTTTGTAAGCAGCTCTCTGGGCAAATGCCTACTGTGCAAACTAACACTTACCCAAGCGAGCTTCATAGCTCTTGACTGGACCCTCATGACCGTCGCCTTGGTCCCAATAATTATCCGCGTTTCTCTTCGATCTAGGAATCGGGGGATCGTCTCTTTGGCCGCTAATATATCTGACGGCTTCATCTTGTTGGCCTGGCTCTCAGGGATGGTTCTCGTTGCCATCAATACCTGGAAGAACAGTCTCCGGATGAAATACCTTTCCTACCCGAAAGGATCCCTCTACTACGGCGTTCCCCAACACCTCTCCGGACACTTACTATACGTCTCGTGGATCAGCCTCTTCTTCATATACATTTCCTTATGGGCCAGCAAAGCCGCGTTGCTCGCTTTCTACTACAGCATCTTCTCTCTGCAGGGTCGTCGCGCCCGCCTCACCCTCCTCGGAGCCTGCATCTTCACAGCCGCTACTTTCCTCTTGCACATGGGTATCATCGCCTTCTGGTGCACGCCTATCTCAGCGAACTGGGCCCCTCCACCGGGCGGCCACTTATGTTCCGCCGTCCACTCCATCGAATCCGTCACCATCTCCACCTTCACCAACATCGCGACCGACATCGTCATCCTCAGCATTCCCATCTCCACCCTCCTCGCAACCCAACTAGGCAGCAAAGAGATCGCTGGCCTCGCCTTCATCTTCCTCATGGGCAGCGTCTCCATCCTCGCGGCACTGGTACGCTTCGTGACGCTCAAGTTGGTGCAGAGCGTGCCGAAAGCGAGTATCACGCATACGATCGATGTGTGGGCGCTCGTGGAGATTGTGAGTTCGGTTATTGCGGTTTGCTTGCCGAGTCTGAGGGTTTTTGTTCGGAGGAGGAGGAGGGGTCAGGGGCGGGAGGAGATGGTCGAGGCTGGACTCGGCGTGGGAGAAGGGAGGCATAGGAAGTTGGGGAGTATGGACGGCGGTGTGGATGCCGATGTGGTGACCATCGTGTGTTATGGAGAGGAGAAGGGGAAGGTGAGAGGAATGGGAGCAGATATAGGTGCAGGGTTAGGAGAGGAGGGGTGGCGGTAAGCACCGTTAGTGAAGTATGTGGAGGGGATTGTTTTCTGGTGGGATTTTGGTCACCCTTCTCCATCCTTTGTACATGATTATCTTACGACTGTTTTCTTTGACTATTTCCGATTGAGCAAGCGCGGCGTTGGTGGTTGCTGGCTGTTGATATATAGGGATGGGAATAGTGTGTAGAACTGTTTGCACAGCATAGAGTTGAGCGAAAGTCGTGTATTGTAAAAAGTACAGTACGATCAGGCCCAAGTGCCGTATTCCCGTACCGAAAGTCTTGACTACGTATTTCTCAATCTTTTATATTTACTTCGAGCATGTCGCTTAGGTACATCGTGATCACTCAATTCCGTATTCCCTCTCAACGCACCAAATATAGCAACCCTTGGGAACTTCACAAACCCACCACGCCGGTCTCTCACTACGCGCTCCATCTCCCTCACCGTTCTCGTTTCCTTCTCCAGACCTTCGCTCCGATACGATTCCCAGAAGCATGGGTATGTGGCGTTGCTAGCGCTCGCGGTAGTGCGATGCTCGACGCTGATTCGTGGAATATCAAGTGTATGCATATGGTGATCTTGATGCATAAAAGTTTCCGAGGTTGGAGGGGTTGGAGGGGCGAGCTGCTGTTTTACAGACATGTGCTTATGGCAGGGTGACCAAGGGTAACATTATATATGTTGCGCCTTCCTGGAGGAATGGTGGACGCGTCCTGGTGGTGGTCGTTTTGCAGTGATGGACTGAGAACGCTTTCGCTGGTCATGTGTATTGGGGTCAAGTTCTGGAGGAAAGAGAAGGAAAAGGAAGAAGAATAGCGGATTAGGAAAAGAGGATTGGATTCGAGGCAAAGGGCTAAAAAAAGAGAAGAAGAGTATGCCGAGCATAGCAAAAGTGCTGTCATGAAGAGTCGAAGTGGACAAGGCGATTATGGACTCCCCCTACAGACATCCCGAACCTCCCGACTAGACTACGCAACCCATCCACCAATTCAGATTACTCTAATCTGAGGCAATCGGATTTGACTTGTCGACCAAGAAACATAGGAGCATTCGCAGCCGGAATTCTGGGGTAGGAGTTTCCGAAGCTCCAAATGTGCCGCCTGAATCATAACTCAACTTGAATCTATCAAGGCCGAAAGGAACCTGTGCGAGCAAAAAAAATCGGGAGGCAAAGTTCAACAACTTCGCGTGTCTGGAAAATGAACATGTCGAAGCTGATCCGAGGTCATCTATGAACGGCGTACAAAAGTTGAGACCCTGGCTATCCCAAGCTTGTACGTATACCTGGCCCATTCACGAAATCGATCCACAGGCGTGCGATCGATGCTTCGAAGAACAAGTCAAGGCTCTTGATATTGGTCAACTGGTGAATGTCTTCGCACGTGAACACGCGCGAGACTCGCATCTGGGCGCCTCAGAGCTTGGCACGAGCGTCACATTTCTTCGCTGCTTCCATTCGATCATCTCCACATCATTCCAACGGAACCTCTTGGTGCCTCAGTCTCTTCACCACCATTCACCCTTCACGCCCTGCAATGGCTCAGATGCTGCCAGTAGGGTATATCTCGGAGCTCGTCAATTCCTGTAATTTGATGTCATCCCACACATCGACGGCCCTGGGATGGATATCCTTCAATTCTCCACCGGAAGGTTTCAAGGGCATCGAGACCATGATTGTATCCTATCAGGAGAGGTCCGCGCATTGAAGCTCCACATGTCAGCGACGGTATGGTACAAGGTCAAGGGAGGAATGTGTTGCTACCAGATGGCCAAATATGTAACACAACAACGACACAAGGGGCCAGTATCCCGTGTTCAATGCACAACCTTCGTCCGTAGGAACCGGTGGAGCAGGCAATTAGCAACTTTTCTAAGAAATTTGCGGCCGCATAATACAGTCTATCGAGTTCACTTCGCTCAGAGGATCTATTACGAGTATTTCCTGCATGGCGGGCAGAAGATATGTACCAGGCCCTGACGCAAGGCCATGGCTATCTACACAACTCTGCACCAACCTCGAGAATTCGCTTAACTTCGCTCAACTTGTGGCGCCTCACTCACTAACTGGAACTGAGCCAGAACCGCGTATGAGACCGCATTGCCGCATGAGAAATGACACGGTTTTCCTGGCTGAAATCCCAGTGTTTGGCCGGCCACATATTTCAATTGACATCTGGCGAACTCCAATACTATTGGGACAACGCATTCGGCTTGTTCGGCATAGGAGATTGCTCGCTATTCAGTGCCATGGACGCGGTTATAGGGAAAGAGATATACAGCGCTCTGGGGGTAACATACATTGCATGCACCAGCCAAGTCGCAAGCTGACTATCATTCAAGGCGTCATCCAGAACTCATTCGAGGTATGCTTCGCATACCTGGATTTTACTTCGGACCCAGGCGTCAAAATACTCACGTCTCACGTTATTTAAACGGCTCATGCTCGATGTACCGGTTTTCTGATCTGTAAAAGGGCTAAGTCCCTGCCCTTCATCATCGCTAGCAACTTGAGCATCATGATACTCATCATGTGTGATCGGGCTCTCTAGGACGGCTTATTACCAACGCTAATGTGTCAATTCATACGGACTCGCACTGTCTCTTGTTCTTCACATCGCCGCCATGCAAAGGACAACCTGCTCGTCTTCCCATGTCCCGGTGGATCTCTTTTGACAACGCATCGTTCTGTCACTGCAGTAGCTGCCTGTAGGTTGCAGCATGTAAGAGTACTATAATTCGTCACATATACCTCTCAAAATTACTCCCGGCTTCGCTTCGATCATCACGAATCCACTCCGCAATGTAGCCGCTTAAGCTGTTCGCACAAGTGGCGCATATCTACCATCGACGTAAGCCGGGCCGCTCAAGAGCTGCAAACTGCAGCAGGGGCATACCTGGGTGCAGAACGGGGAGACTTATTGCATGGTCAGTATGCTAAGTCTTGCAGACTAGGGACGGTGACAAGGGCTCCTTATTGCCCTGCCGTGGCTTGAAAGCCTCCCTGGAAAGGCACTGCATGCCAAATGCCTTGCATGATTGCAACCCTACTCAAGGATAATATCTCGCCTCCGCAGCTTTCCAATTTGTTATGGTGTTGTTCCTTCCTTGTGAAGGCTCAGTCGATTTTGGAAGTACCCCGGCTTCTGTTCGTGTAACAGGACTCCGCTGGCCTCAACAAAACTCAGCCACCGGACTTCTTTCTTGACTGTGGTGCGTCCGCCATAGTCGGTCATGCACCCTCGATTTCAGGACGGCCGCATAATCGTGCGCTTACGTTCGACAATTCGGCATCCGCAACTTCTATTCACTTGGCGCTACGGAAGGCTACAGCTGCCGAAGACCCTGGTGTTTCTTCCTCATACCCCACAATCCAGGAAACTGCGAAGGATTCAAGCTGCGGGGTTATGCTTGCGAACGGGATCTCTCGATCAGGCAGCGCCAATAAGGCGGGGAAGATCATGCGGAAATCTTCTCGAACGCGTGTATTGCTATGGTCTCAAGGGCCGGCACTCCAAGACCCTTCGCCATTATCTGACTCAACTATCGACGACGTTGCGTGCGATGCATTTGCACTATCCGACTCCGCATCCTGCAGACTTTGCGTTATGTGATCGACGACAGAAGAGCCGCCTGACTCGGATGGCAGGAAGACATGCCTGTTATTGGCGATTGCGGGCATCGTCTCTCAATGCGTTTCGTTGAAGTCACCATTGAGGTATTGCTATAAGTCTGTCCGTTATTATGACCGCGTCTTCTCGATGTACCTGGTCAGATTTGGAAATTCTGGACTCAAGTCCCACAACCACCCCTTTCAAGAGCCTGTTTTTAGCACCCGGCCAAGATGTGCAGGCTGGAACGTTTAGGGTTAACATCCGCGTCAGAAACGGGACGTCGTCTGCAGACAATGAGAACACCTGACGCCACTCGTGCAACAACAGTTGCTCTCACAACCAACACACAAAGTCCCCACAACTAGGTCTGGACAAGTGTTTCTTTAGGGCAGGCTCAGCATTTTCAGTTGAAAGGAATTTCGGCGCTTCTCCGCTACATGTCATACTGCCTTCCAGGACTACTGTCCCGATCAGATATGGTAGTGCCCCGGCCATCGCAAAGCTAAGGACCTACAATTCAAACACCTGGAAAGCGTCTTGGAACTATGTAATCAGTCATAATGACTTTGGCGCCTCATTGGGAATGTTACTTCTGCTTCTCTTCCTGGTACAGAGGTTTCGCTTCCGCTTTGCAAATAAAGGGCCAGGCTGCGTCTCTTCTGGCGCGCATGGCCTGATGAACTACTGCAGCTGCGCCGCGTCAAACACCCTGGCCGCATGGCTACGAGCCCCTGCAGATTCAGGTCCTTGACCAGGTTGCGAACCCTAGATGGCAGACGAGGCCTGATTTATCTTGAACCAGGGTGGGGGTCTGTCGAAGTGAGCTGGGCCTGAACAGTGAGAGTCAGTCCATACCAACCATCTACGATAGTGTCTCCTCGTTCAGGGTGTCTCAGTTCCATGTCCATAGCTGACGAAAGTGGAGGTTACCTTGCCCCAAACGCAGAATAAGGTTTCTTGATTGCCATGGAGCGCAACCGACCAGAGTGAACCACGAGGCGATCACTACCGCGTGGATAACATCGACACGCCACGTTCTTTCGACTCTGGTACGAGCGCTGGGTTGGCTTGTCTTCCAATTCTCAACTCCCGACTACTAGCCCTACTGGATTCCGGAACTGGATTAAATGCGAAGCCATTGACATCAGTATGCAATATGTGTGATGGAGGTCCGCACTTGTCCCCTTTCTGGCGAAAACGATGCGCCGAAAGCGGATCTCCTGATCGGAACGGGCCTCAGCCGCGATGAAAGGACACATCAACACGAAGAGGCTTTCTCAGTCCTGTGTCGTTCAACTCGCAGGGGATTTGGAATTTAGTCTGCCAACATGGCTGGTTGTCGTGAGAAGTAGACGCATAGCAGAACACTGCTATAGCTGCCGCTTCCGCATGGCTCTATGTACCCGAGACTGTTGTTTAGCCTAATCTTGACAACCAGGTCTCCCCAAGACACAGATCACCAGGACCCCTCCCTCGCCCTCGAGCTGGCCCCAACCTCCCATTATTATTGTTCTTGAATAACAACCAATGACCGGGTTTGACATTTCGAGGCCGAGAGGTACTTGCAGGTACAAACTGTACAAACGAGAACCCACGGTAGCCGACGAGGACGCATGTATGTACCCCCAGCGACCCACCCCGACCTCGACTTACCCCACAATGTCCAAGTGCAGATCCAGATCCTCTGGCCGTTTTCCTCTGCTTTCGGGCGATTACTATATACCCATGGCTAGCTCAAGTCGCGTGTGATGTGCCATAGCGGCTGGCGGTATGACGCTCGCAAGACCCTTTCCTGTAGTCAACGGACCTTAACCCTCCAGAGCTATATCTACATGCGGACCGTTGGCACATCTAGTACGCGAGTCAATCCTTACCGACGCCTTGCCGTGTCCGACATCGCCCTCGAAACGCCTCCTGAACAGGAATGGCGTATTCGCAACCTGTATATGAAGTAACTGATTCAATGTACTCCGTAAACGTTGGCGCATTGTCTCACCTCAACCCAGTTCCAATTCTAGAAGGTCACAAGTAGGCCGACGCGTTGACGATCACTGTGCAGTAACGGATCTGGTCTCCGTTCGCAGCATTCTGATATATCTACCGCGCTTTCGGATCGCATTTCCTTAATTGATCGCCAATCACAGCGCCCGCACGTGGAAGACTTTTAGCTCCCACTTCACATTTAATATCGGAACCTATGAAGGAATAGACAAGCCGACAGCACGCAACATGGTGGACTCCCACAGTGTGCTTCTTCTGAACAAGACTGGTCGCATTATTCTCCGCGCACCTGCGTCCGTGCCGCAGTGCAGCGCCGAAGGATTGTGGGGTCGCATGTCTCTCCCCGGGTTTGGACTCACCATTCATATATCTCCATATTAAATCCATTCAATCCGCTGCCTGCAACGCTGGTGTGGAGCAACAAAACTGCGGAGGATACCACCCACACAGGCGGATGTCGTTTGGTAGTCTCCATCATCGGTAGCTGGACCCAGCTCTGCCGTACTGCTGTGTCACCATTGGAATCTGTGCTGACCTGGATTGTCCTGGTCCCTCTGGCTTGCGCCATGGGCGGCGGAGCGGAGAGTAGGGGAGGATTTCCGACCACCTCCCTTATTCGCGCTGTATGGAGGGCTCGAAGCGGTCCCTCTTCGTACCCGCGACGAAGGACCAGCTGGCCGACACTCTCCTCGTGCATGAGCCACCATTCATGTTGTGGGGCGTTGCTGTGCCTTCTGCAAGATGGTGAGGGGCCTCGAGACCAAGGAGACGCACCTTAACTGCGACGCATTAAGATGAAACTGGGTATTTTCCGCAACACCTGTGGACGGCTTTTGACGGCGTGCTTCTACTACCATGAACCGCAGGTTTTCCAATCCATATGCCCATGGTGTATGTTGGCAGCACGCGGACGGATGGTGACTCCGACTTACGGAGTATAGTAATCCTTCTTCGCGTGATGGGAGTCGCTGCACATGTCTTGCTCAAGGCCTTACAGAGCACTCTGGTCTGGAGTCGCTGTCGGTGGCATGTTGATGTACACACGCCGAAAGTCTTTTACATCGTCTGGCGTATCGCTGTTCTAGCCACCCCTCCAACCTTAACCTAACAGCTTCCATGCATACATGAGCACACCCTCCGGGCAGCCCTACGTGGGTCGACCCGCCAACGAGCGACTTGATCAGCAATGCCGCTGTTGTCCCTCCCTAATCCTTTTCCCTGGTTCTGTCGCTGCGGCCACACTGAGCTGATGTTGCCGATGGGCAGCTTGAAACGCTGATATTGTTGGTTGAGACCTCATAATGTGCTATCAACACCTCCAGTGCATCAGTACGAATAGTTGGAACCTCATGTTTCGGCTCAGAAGCGTACCGTTTGACACCTTTTGGGCGGATGCTGCCCGACATCACGCAGTATCGGTCCTCCATCTATGTATGCAAACAGTGCCGGCGTTGGGTACCCAACTCCCACCCGTCACACTTCGAGAAGTCTGGTAGCGGGCGTGCCACACATGTCAGAGCGTACCAAGTACCAGTGTTTGAACAGCGTCGCGTCTCACACGCTCAATTGGACAGAGAAGAATTGAGAGATCCCGTTGCTCCGAATTCCGAAGCCGAAGAATCTCCCCGGCTTACCGTGGACGGTTGTCCTCGGACTGATTTGTTAACCATTGTTGAGCAGGCTTCATTCTATATTGCATCCGCATCCGGAAGCGAATCCAGGAATCCGATATCCATCTGTGCATTGATAAAGCCCCATCGGCATCTTAATTCCACACAGACAAGCCACCGGTGTTTAGGATTCAGAAGCAGCTTCGAGGCGGTGTATTGGTAGTAACAAGGAGCAGTACCGTGCAAAACCGACGCGGATTACACGTTTCTGTCGTGTAATTGAGAGGCGCAACGCAATATCGGGCACCTGTCAGAGCAGTCAGACGTCATCTCGGTGCCAATATGGCCGAACGGATGGATGGCGTGGATGGCGGCGGTTGGCACCGAAGCCTTACTGTAAGCACATGTAGCGCCTGTGCAGCATCGGAGTCGGATGGCCGCGGCTCTTACGACTGGGTTTGAGTCACCCGTTTCGACGGTTTGGTATGGTGAGGGAACATGTGCAAGATTCGCAGCAGCACAACAGCAACGGGAAGTCCAGTACCTACCGCTCAGCCGCGCCAGACATTTCGGGTCTGCGGCCGTCCGGCGGGTACGCCTTTGAAGGTTGCTTGCGATGATGTGGTTTGTCCTTGCAGTGTATCCGTCTGGACTCTGGACGTATCGGTAGGTGACGGGGACACAACATCCAGCGGTTTGTTGCATTTTGGGAAGGCTGCAGAGCGAAAAGCCGTTGCCAAACGGCGCTGTCGGGAGACGTTACACATACGCGTCTGCGCGCGCTTAGAGACATGCTGTATCTATGTGGGTCTGCCGAAGATTGAAATCCTGTTCGTCTCCCTATCAGGGATGGGAGAGTACATATCATTGACCAGACACGTCTGAGATGTGTACAGGAGATGTGGAGGAGGTAGGCCACGGTACCCATTGGTACCACTGGCACAGCAACAGTCACAAGTCTCTGATAAGACTTCTTGAACCATAAGACTCTACATCCAGTAGTCTAGTCTAGGGAATTATAACTCCTCGTTGCTAAGAGGCCCCCGGCCTCTTCCCGTCTCAGAGAAAAGGCTGGAGACGTGCTACCCCGGCGCGCTCCGAACCTGATCCGCAAAAGCCATGTTCACCTGTGGATCTGAAACATGCCAGACCACACTCGGAGAGGGGAAGAAGTGCTGGAGCAGTGAGTCTGTGCAGCAGCAGTGGTGGTGTTCATGGTGCTGGGAAGGCTGGTCTAAAGCGGCGGCAACCCTGGATTATAGTACCGAGTCTTGTGAAACGGTAAAGGGGGTGTGCTGTGTGTGATGCGGAGGGGAAGGGGGATTTTGAGGGTCCCTCTGATGGAACGGCATATTTGAAGGGTTCTTGGGGTGTTGCGCGAAGAGAGAGAGTGGGTGCGGAAGGTGAATACGGGAGTTTTGTTGCTCGCTATCGGAGGAGAGAAGAATCGGGAGGAGACAAGATTAAGAGCAGTTTAGAGTGCTCTAGTTTGTAATGTTACTTGTGTATTCCTGGAATTTTTCTGTTTCGCTGCAACTTTTTGGCTGATGTTCCTTTTGGTACGCTAGATAGATGAGTATGTGTAGTCCCAAGAAGCAGCGGTGAGCCTGGCTGCAGATCGAATAGAAAAAGGGGGGGGTATTGTATATCAACAAGATATGTATTGCGCGCGAGAGACAAGAAAGTCCAAAAACCACATAGCACGTATGGAAGATATTGTTAAGAAGGAAGATAACAAGGGGTATTGGGCATGTTTGGGGTATGTAAAGGAACCGAGAATCCGCAAAACGCCGGTAACAAAAGCAGACTATAAGCAGGGCTGCCAGTGTAGGATAGCAGTGAAGAGGTTGGATCTGATATGCGAGGAAAACCAGACACCCCAAAACCACCGACGAAGCCCAACCAATTAGTCAGGCCAAAACCGACAAACCGATCGACGTCCCGAATGTTTTAAAGCGAAAGCGCGAAGAAGAGAAAGTGCCCAGCCAAGAACGCCGCCTAGCCAAGTCCTGCATGTGGCAGAGCTGAGAGATGGAGTGTGGTGGGGAGGGCGATGTCTAGTCGAGTTCCGTCCGGCCGCGCGACTAAGCGGAGACTGACAATATGAATTATACCTGCCCAAGACATGCGGGGCCCAACAACGCCAACACCGATACACCAACGCCCGAAAAGGAAAATAGGGTGCGATGGGGGGAATCAGAGGAAGGACGGCAAGGACGGGACGATTTTATAAGAGTAATATGTGGAATGCAATATGCTTGCGCGAGAAGATAGAGGATGGATGGATGGCTACATGCACTAGAGGGCGAGGCCCGTGCCGTCACCGCTCCACCGATAGAGCGACAACATCTCGCGACGCCGCAGCTGCGCAAACTCGGCATGGTCATCCATGCCTCTGCCGCGGACCTGTTGCAAGGCCGAGCGCATGACTTTCCGGAAATTTCGCTGCAAAAAGAATGTTTGGTAAGCATGACTCCATCTCATTTCGGGACTAGGAGGGAAGTGTGAGAGAAGCTCCCGAGAGCCAGGTGCCAAGAGGGCGTGTCGATGCTGATAGCCGGGTCCCCAGCCTTCGGAGAGATTATGCGGAGAATTTGGTCGCCGTTGAAACAAAGGCTGAATGCGGATGAAGAAGGAACGAAGACTCACCTGATACTCGGTGTTGAGAGTGACGATGCAGGCTTCATGCGCCCGCACGATCGTCTCGCAAGCCTTGACGACGTTGGGGTTGGCTTCGCCCTGAAGTTTATCGGCTATCAAAAGCAACAGGAAGCTTCCTTGGAGGAGATAGATGCCGAAAAAGAAGGGCATGAAGCTGAGGTCGGGATCGAGCTCCAGAATGTCGTTGAGCGCCTCTGCCGCGGACACTGCGTGGCCCGTGGCATCAATGAACGATTGCGACGAGATCCACAGATCGTTATCGTCCAGGAGCGAAATGGGATCCCATTTGCCGTTGAGAAGGATGTGAAGGGTGTGCATCAGATGCGTCCCATATGCCACAACAATCTTGGCCCTCATCAACGACTCTTGCGCCCTGGAGGTGGACGAGTTCACAGATCGCACAGATGGCGTGCCAGGATGCAGTGATTCGTGTGCGGCCTCTGCGCTGGCTTCATTGGTAGCCCTCAACTTTAGCTCTTGCAGCGTCTCACCATAGGCTTCCAGCTGACGGGTGATCTCCGCTGCGTGATCATCCCAATCGGAGCCGTTACGGAATCGGCCGAATCGAGGATGTTGACGGGCGTGGTTCAGGTCGACGATCTCCCCGAGTATGGTCATGAGAGGTAGGAAAAATCCGAATATACTGTGTCCGGTGCACTCGTAAGAGGGACCTCGTCGTCGTAGAGGGGCGTGTGAATCTGAAAACGTTTGAGCGGAGTCCCCATTGTAAAATTCGCCTGCTTGCCAGAGGGAGTCATCTACCGGTTGAAGCAGACCGTCACATTCTAGGTCCAGAAGTGACAGTGGTCTGTTATAGCACAAAGCTAGGTGGCGATCTACGGTGTACAGCAGCCACCATATCCTTCTGCGCTCTTCGCGTTGCTCCTCGGTGAGATTGATCGGAGTGCTCTGACCATTCGGTTGCGTTCCGTGCATGTGTTCCATCTCGACCTCTCCCGGCGCGTCCTCGTCGCCATGTTCCGGCGGTGGTGTCATTGGGACCTCCTTGCCTAGTTTCAATTCTCTCGCTAACGACCATGCAGCGTTCCACCAGCGCAGTGATGCGGCTTTGTACTCGCTTGCGGATATGACAATTGCCAAATGCATGTATGTAGCGACGTCGTCCAAGCCACCGGGTGCGCCCGGCAACCCGATTTCAGCGTCCTGTGCGGGCATACCGAAGCTAGTCAATGTACCGCCTCCCACGACTGGATGATTGAAAGTGGGGCTGGCATCTTCTCCAGGTGAGGCGTGTACAAGCGGCTTAAGGAGGCTAATGGTCAGGTTGATGAGCTTCTCCGACAACTGGCTCCGAGCAGATGGCGAGGATGCAAGATACGGAGACTCACTCGTGAGGCAACCGATCCAGAGCATGCTGGCGAGCAATGCCGGACTGCAGACGCGGGGACTGTTTTGCCTCAGGAACGAGCGCTTCCGGAAAACGTAGCCCAGAACGTACGGGGATACGGGCTGCATGAAGGCTGCTGAGGAACTCTGAAAGTAAAGCTCCAATAGCTCACACGCCAACGAGATCGGCATGATGTTGGTGAGATGAGGAATCAGCGGCTGCAGAACTGGGTACTTCAATTGTTGTTGAGAGGCACTGGTGTGATGTGCGGTCTGGTACATGGAGGTCGAGGGCGACGGCAGAGACATCCAACCAGGGGACCCGGAGACTGGAGATTGGCCAATGAAGCCAGGCAAAGGTGACTCTGCACTCGGGATCCTGAAGGCGGCTGGTGGAGCCTGCGCGCTCTGTGGGCTCATCATGGAGTAAGGGCTGTCAGAGTATTCTGGGAGACCGTTGGGTTGAATGATTGGGTGCAACCCGTGCTGCATCATGGGATGCGGGGAATGTTGCATGAGGTTGCGGTTGAAGTCGTCCATGGGCGCGTACTCCGGTATAGGGGCGTGCATCGTTAGACCTTGAGTCTGTAATCGTGGAGGTTGCATCGGGCCCATGCCGTCGTTGGACACGCCCATTTGGTGGTGGACACCGTGTTCAGGGATGGCCTCAATAGCTCCAAGGCTCATGGTCCGCGAGATTGGCGTGACGTTCTGGTACATGGACGACCCATCCATGGCGCGAGTCGTTGACATGCTTGCAGACCGGTTGGGTGGGGGCAGGCTGGGAGGCGGGAGATCTGGCAAAGGTCGCTGTTCAGTAGGTTCGACGCGATTCTGTGCCGGCTCAGCCGCCTTGTGGTCCTGGGAAAGGCCGTTGCTTCGCGACTGAGGGCTACCGGATGCCGAGTCGCCAGACGGTGCAGCAGTGCCATTTGCTGCAGCTGCTGCAGCCGCTGCCGCCGCCGCTTGTTGCTGGGCAATGTCCTTCCTCGAAGCTTTTCCGCGTTTCTTGCGCTCTCGTACATATTCGCACGTGAGACCAAATTCTGGAGTTGGGTTAGCGTTGGGTTTGCTCTGGAACGGCGCCACAGCTGTCACTGTTCGCTTGGTGGAGCTTCTTGGGACGACATACCCATACAATGTGCACAGGGCGCCTTGCCGTCGCACTTGGTCCGCAACTGATTGCACTGATCACACGCCCGACTGATGCGGCGTCGTACAGGGCCTGAAGTTGCAGCCCGTCCCGCCCGCTCGTGGAGCATTGCTGTGCGCTGGTCTCGAGGGGCTGCGGCCAAGGGACCGTTGGCATAGGGTAGGCGGTGAGGCTTGACCATGGGTTTGCCGCTGGGGAGAACATGGCGATTGTGATGGAATTGCAGCGCGGCGTATTGAGAGGTATGTGCCAGTGTGTCGAGCGGCGACGGCCCCATGTGCTGCGCAGCGAGATGCTGATGTTGGTCTACCATTGTTGATGTAGGAAGGTGATGGCTGAAGGCAGGCGGGTATTGGTGGAGCCCGGTGGAAAGCATCTTGCTAGTGTCCGCTGTGGCCCCAGCCACAACTGCACTTGATGGCCAAAGTGGAATGCTCAAAGCCGGCGGATAGGAAAATGGCTCCCAGGGCGAGCGATGATGGAGTAATCCGGGCCGGCTGGATGAGGACTGCGTACGTTCGTTTCTGGGGAGGGGGAAGGGCGGCGTCCCGTCGATGGCTATGTCAAGATGGCTGGGATGCACTCTCGAGGTTGACAGGATGGATCAGGATGGATCAGGCTGCTCAGCACCGGGCTGGGAGGCGGTCGGCAAGAGAAAGTGTGCAAGGCAGAGGCGGTGGAGGAGGAGGAGTGGCAGTACAGTGAGGTGAGCGAAATGATGGTCGACCGCAGGTGCCTGGATACAATATAATAGCTGCTGGCGCGGAAGCACCTCTGGTCTTACCCTTCTTAGTCCAGGCCGCGGGGTATAGCACAGCTTTTGGATGCACAGGGTGGCCAATACCGGAGGGCATGCGAGGGTTATGGGAAGGGCATGGAGCGAGCATGGGGAGCGCTGGTCCCATCTCCGGGCCTAGCTGCGTCGCGCGTCAGAGAGAGCCCTGGGCCCCATCCAAGGGTGGGATGAGGAGACTCTCATCTGCTGCTGCAGAGCAGTGACCACTACACAGCAGTCGTCGTCCAGGGCGGAAAGGAACAGTGACCGTGTCCAGGTTCGTGTCCAGATGTCTTGTTGCTGTTGCTCTGCGGTACAGTACGCACCCGTCACGGCCCTGCGCAACCCCCGTTGCCGTCGTCGACCAGGCCTGCCAGAGGCGCAGAAGATGCAGAAGAGATGCAGATGCAGGCTTCTGAAGATGGCTTCCCCCGGGCTTCTGCAGCAGCCCTCCAGCATCCGCCAACATCCATGTTGTGCCCTGGGCGCACTTCTCCCCCTGGCGCAGAGCAACGCTTCCACGTTGAGCACAGTCCACAAAGCCGCTGGATCGTCGGTGCCGTGAAGAGCTTGAGCGTGTGCGGATGCACCCCAAAATGCTCGCCGCGGGTCCGTCAGGCCCTCAATCAAAAATGATATTGGTTGATCGGTGCGATCCTGGCCCTATATGCGACCGTCTTAAGAGGCGTCCCCGTACCGATGCCGGCTCGACATGTACCCTTTCGTACCCACGAACCACCCCCTCCCGCCACCGGCCCACCATCTCCTGGGCGATCAGGAAACAAGAGGCGTCGTGATTGGCGTGCGCCGCCCGTCCGCCAGCAAAACGGCCAGCCGAAGGGGGAGTGGTTGAGGCCTCAAGAGCACGCGGTCGTCCGCCAAGTTCCTAGACCTCCATCGCCCACCGTCGTCGTCCGCCCTGTACTCTCGCTATACCTCCCCCTGGGCAAAGTAACTCAGCACGAAGGAAGAAGTCGTCGAGGACTCCCTCATGCTTTGGCTTGAATCCGTTCCCATAATTGCAGCCGGCGATGCGGCTTGCCAGCGAGCAAGAGGTTCCCGTGGCCCGCCTCCGTCTGCCGGTCATACTGCATCCCAGCATCTCATCCCTTCCCACTCGCCATTGTGCCGTCGGCCATGAATCCCTTCTGCTTGCTTGTGGTTGCTTGCGCGCCGCTGATCTCAGCCTGTTCATCCAGAATTCTACCAGAAGCAGCCGGTGAAGCATGAATCAATGCCTACGAGGCGCCGAAGGGAATCCGTCTCAGGGCCTTCCAAAACGCTTCCAGAGCATCGAGCCTCTACGCTCGTAGATCCGGCGCCCGGACGGGGTTACCCCAGAAACAAATCGCTTACGTCAACTGCCATGAAAGGTCCGTGAGTGCTCTGGCGCATGATAATGTCCTCCATTATCGAGCTCGGTAATGCTTGTTAAGGAGACCTTCTCCACAGTAATGAGGAGGAGACTGCGTCTGTCATCGTGGTGGGGAGACTGACTGGATGCGACTCTGCATCTGGAGCGGAGGAGCCTTGGGGCGTGCGAGCTCTGGTCTATAACACGCCTGTTAAGACATGAGGTCCAAGAATGAGAGGTCACGGTACGGCCAAGTCAGCGTGCCTGGTCCAGTCTGCCCGGTGTTGGCCTATGATAGTTGCGAGTGGCGGCGCTATCTGCAGACGCTGTGCGCTAAAGGAAGACCATCTCCCTTCGTCCTTGTCGGCCTTGCCTGCTCCAGCATCCCTCCTTTGCAAGAGAAGCGTCGCGACTGTTGTCACTAATGAATACATTGTTTGGCGAGTATGTACCGTTGAGGCCACTCCTGACATGACTTGCTAGTTCTCCGAGCTTCACTAGACTGTGTAGACGCCAGCGGGTATGGATGGTTCTGACCGACTAGCCTATTATGTCTTGACTCGCCAGCGAGTCGAGTGATGCTCATCCTGGATAGCTTCTGTGAGGCCAGCGGATCGCTCCGCATTTCAACGGTCAGGTCCTTACCTCATTGATTACTTCACAGCGGTTTGGGTGGCTTGGCATCCTCTAGCTGCAGGAACGCTGAGATGGACTTTCGACTGACGAGAACGCTGGTAATCACAGTGCTTTGGCCGGCGCATCCCTCCGGGCAGTTCAAAGCAAAGCCGCTCTAATAATGACCTGCTGAACTAGGAAGACCCATCTTCGTCAGACCCTGAGAATGGGAACAGTTCCAGTCCAATTTCCCAAGGAAGCTTCTAATCCGAGAGAGCCATGGCCAGGATGGTCGTATTCGCAATAGCATAACTTGTGAAGACATCTGATGAATGAGGAGGCCTATGCTGACGAAGGTATCGATTATGGCTGGGTAGATAGGTACGACTGTCCGTCGTCCTTCTGTTGAGAGATGCCCAGGTGAACGACTAGGGCGGTTTTGGCTCCACACCCTTTCGGGAACGGGTGGTATTCTCCGCGAGCGCCAGCGCAGCCGCAGAAGCACGCGACTTGGAAGAACGGTTCGTGGTCTGCATCGTGACTCCTGCTTGCCATGCATTCAATAGACCCGTTCTTCGGTAAAGCGGCAGATGAACCGGGCAGCAGATTTCGCGAATACCTGGCAGCCACTCAGAGCCTCCTCACACCCTCCACAGCGACCAGCCTGTCGAATCCCACACACAGCCTGGCGCGGTCATCCCAGTCCGAGGATCGCTGCCGCGCCCTAACAGTCAGTTGCCGCTTACCTGAAATTGTTAGCGGAGGGAGAGAGCGTCGCCGAAAGCGTAACGGGGTGGCAGGACTGCACGTGGAATTGCGAAGCTACCAGATTAGATCAAAAGCGTGCATGGAATGAGCACCAATGGTAATTTTGGAATTTTGGCCTTTGTCGCAACTCGTTTCTGCCTCGATTCTGCAGCTTTATGCAATGGGCGCCACCTGTGCAGCGGTCAATTACGGAGACTTGTTGTCCCCCCGTAACCCAAATCTCACCCCGTATTGGCAAATGGGCGACGATTTTGTCTCTGTCAAGCCAACAGACATAACATCGCCACTCTGCCACCAAGGTCGCACAGTGACGCGTTTCTCTTGGGGGTCATGTCTCGTGGTCTCCGTCCAATCCTGAGACGATGGATGGCGTTGAGTGGCTACTTTTGTGAGGTACTCCGTACAGAGTGCCGAGGCGACTACCCTTGATCTTCGATATGAAGTGTGGGTCCACCTTGACTTCTGTTCACAAACTCTGAATAGCGAGCCAGGAGCCTGGACTGGTGGACATTGGACCGAACAATAGAGACGAGACTCGGAGACGAGCCCAGCTCGCGGTTCTGGTGGCCAGACCGCCTCCTGGTTTTCCGATAGCAGAGGCCTGACCACTCCAGCAGAAAACTCGAAGCCGTTCGCGGAACCATGTGCGATTGTCGACAAAAGGGTCCGACTTACAATGTTTCGTCCGCATATCGGGATTCTCACATTTCGGAAGGTGCAAATAGTCCGAGGACGAAACCAGCAAGAAACTCCCTGCCCAGGGGAAGGAACAGAGCAAACACGAGGGCAGTGACGGCTCCCCGAGCCTGAGCAAGATTCGGTTGATTGACCCCTAGATATTGCGATGCAGCAACCTGCATCAAAAGTGCGGAGTAGTGGGTGGCAGGCCACCAGCTGAGCCTCCGCAGAGTTAGCTGGGGAGACGTCCACAGTACACCATGCCTAGTGATTGTCTGACCACATGTGAGATCATCCCATTGCCACATCCCGTCTTGGGCGCCACCTGCGAGGCGTTGTAGAATCTGATCATGTCGGGGCAGATAGAAAACAAGAACCGGATGGGGACGAGGGATGGAGAGGGTACGTGTACGCCGCTGATGCGGGAGCTCGCTGCTCATCCTTCTCCTTCCTTCTTGGTTAGGAGAGTGCTCTTGCACCCTTTCTTTTAGGAGTACCGAGTATGGTGGCGCAGGAGATAAGGTTTGTCAAATGAATCCTCGCTGAGATCCCAGAGTAATCTGCTCAATTGTCAACCACCTCGACATAGACGAGGTCACACAGTGGCGTTTTGCCATCCATCGCTAAGGGTCCAGTGTCCGAGCCCGAGCTGAAAGCATGGACGGAAGCCATGGTCAAGACCATGTGCTTGCCCGCGGACCCGTCTCTTGGAATTGGGCTTCCACACCTCCATGAGCAGAGTACATGACTGCTGAACAGTGACGATCTGGGGGTTGGCCGTGTCTATTCTGGGTTCTGTACTTGAAATGAGGGTCTGCCCACAGACACTAGGTCAATGATCTTGCCACACACAGCGAGCTCGAGGGCCGGTATGCTAATCTGAATGGTAGACAACCGAACGCAGAGGCCAGCAGCCAGGGACCGGGGGCGCGTCTACTACCCCGCGTGAGCAGCGCGTCGAATTTGTTTGTACTCAGCTACAGCCCATCGCGAGGGCGGGACGGTGGTCACGTTCGGCATCTGCGAGGTGCGAGAGGTGAGAGGCCAAAGTCGGGTGTTGATGCTGTTGTTGTAGACGTTCGAAGAAAAGATACACTGGAAGCACGCCTGCCAAGCAGACTAGGACGTCTTAGGAAAGGTGTTTGGCGCTAATCTCTGATGTCACCAGCTGGGAAACCTTGAACCGACGTCCTCGAGTCCATCCGCAAGGACAGGACAGGACGAGCACAGCACAAGTCAGCCCAGGAACTTGGAACCCTCTAGCCACAGCCGGCGTCTGCTTCCTTTCGTTCAACTATCTCAGAGGTCGCGTTCCAAATCGCCGTCATGTCGCTGGAAACCATCACCACTATCTCGCCCATCACCAACAAGCCTATCCTCACCCGCACCGGCCTCTCCGAAGAGGATCTGCAGTCCATTCCCGAGAAGGCTGCACGTGCCTTTGAGAGTTTCCGCCGAACTACCCTCGCGGAGAGGCAGGGGATCGTCAAGAAGGCCTTGCAACTGCTGGCCGAACGCCAGGATGAGCTGGGCAAGGAGATCACAGAGCAAATGGGTCGCCCCATAGCGTACACGCCCAAAGAAATCTCCACGGCCGTAATGCGGGGCGAGTACCTCCTCAAAATCAGCGGGGACGCTCTCAAAGACACAGAAGGCGAGCCAGAGAAGGGCTTTCAGCGCTACATCCGAAAAGTCCCTGTAGGGCCAGTGCTGATTCTCTTTCCGTGGAACGTACGTTTTCGGGGGCGACAAAATAGATTTTCATTTATTTCGCGTGCTAACGGCCCCTGCAGTATCCGTACCTCACCCTGGTGAACTCGATCGTACCAGCCTTGCTCGCTGGAAACTCGGTCATTCTCAAGCCCTCTCCCCAGACGCCTACCAGTGCCGAGCAGATGCAGCGTGTCTTTATTGATGCAGGGCTTCCTGAAGGAGTCATCCAGGTCTTCCACTCTGGATCTTTAACCCAGATTGAGACATTGGTCCGTTCCCCACAAATTCAACTGGTATGCTTCACCGGCTCGGTTGCCAACGGCCTAGCGGTGCAGAATGCCGCGAGCGACCGTGTAACGGCGCGTATAGGACTGGAGCTTGGTGGTAAGGACCCCGCATACGTCCGATCCGACGTGGACGTGAAGTGGGCTGCGGAAGAGATCGTCGATGGTGCTGTCTTCAATTCTGGCCAGAGCTGCTGCAGTGTTGAGCGCGTCTACGTGGACGAAAAGATCCACGACGACTTCGTCTCAGCCATGCAGGAAGTGCTCAAAGGCTACGTCTTGGGAGACCCTTTTGATAAGAAGACGCATGTTGGACCCGTGGTATCGAAACGATCCACAGAGACCATTCGTGCTCATATCAAGGATGCCCTCGACAAAGGGGCCAAGGATGCCACGCCAGAGAATGAGTCCTTCCGGTCTCCACCTGCAGATGGGAACTATGTGGCACCCACTCTTTTGACCAACGTGAACCATGATATGATTGTCATGACCGAGGAGACCTTTGGCCCCGTGATCCCCGTGATGAAGGTAAAGGATGACGCCGAGGCGATCAGGCTTATGAACGATAGCCAGTTTGGGTTGACGGCGAGCATATGGACGAAGGATGTTGCCAAGGGCCGTGAACTCATTGACGACCTCGAGGCAGGGACTGTGTTTGTGAACCGCTGTGACTACCCTGCGCCGGTAAGCTGAAATTTGTTGAGCTCGACCACTTCATCTGACGTGCTTAGGATCTTGCCTGGGTGGGATGGAAGAACTCCGGAAAGGGACAGACCCTGAGCAAATTTGGTTTCGACCAATTCGTCAAGCTGAAGAGCTACCACGTCAAGAACTACCCACAGTAGACGACTGCATATGCCATGCCGTGCCCGGTTACAGCTAGGATTTCCAAGCATGCCTGTTCGAGAATAGTTAGCAGTTGACGTTGCGCTGAAATGACATGGTTCACCTCACCTTCAAAAGTTGCACGGCAACGCCAACGTCAGACAGACACATATCGACAGTTCGTAATCCAGCTCGTCAACGACTACGGAGTAGGCGTGTTTCATATACCGCAGCGCAATATTTCTGACCATCCAGCTTCGGCAAGATACCGTTTGCATGCGTCTAGAACTCGCGCGTTTTATGGTGCCTGACCGAGGAACGCAAAGCCCCATGCAAGGTCGGTAGCACAATGAGGTACACTCCCAACGAGAATACTCGACGCGTGTTAAGTATTACACCTCCAATACTTCCGCCAACGACATCAAAGTCGCCCCTGTAGCGTCGTTGTCATCTCCGTGAAACGCTCAGTAAGAGAGGATTATCGTGGAGATGATGTGGTCAACTTCGTCCGGGTATCAGGAGTTTGAGCCGACCAGCTTTCTACGGCAATTTTTGTCTATCTCATTCCAGAGCGCCCTTCTTGTTATCCCAAGAATGTGTCACCCTTCCTCCTTCGCGCGCAAGGAATGAGTGAACATCGCGTGGCGACGGACATTTTCCCGTCTCTATGGCACCGCTTAGGGAGTGCACACCTCCTCATCTCCTTTTAATACAGCTGGAGCCCTCTTAAGGAGTTTTCTTCTCTCCAATTTCATCATTTTGTTCATCACCGACGGTCGCGGCAGCCGACGGTATTATACTCAGCATTTGTTGTCCTTTCTTTGCATTGGCTCGTGTCTGCATATTCTTTTCTCTCCTTTAGCGTGCCGTGTCTTTCCGGTTCGATATACCCTGTCGTAATAGACTTTGTTAGCTGGACACATATATCCTCTCGGACCAAGCAACAATGGGATTTAAAGACAGCATGGTCAAGCTGCGGAAGGCGATGTTGTGCGGTGGGGGCGAGGGCAGTAGGCACTCGCTGCAGATTGTAGGTGGCAGTGTGAACGCCTTGGAGGCAAAGTTACTGATTGTGTGTGTGGATGAAGGGGCTACCGACGGATGTACGTCGAGGGGCCTGGCCTCTGTCTGGCCTGTCTAAGGAACAGTGAGTGATTTCCCGTTTCCGGGCATCTCCTCTACTCTGCTTCTAAACCCCACTAACTTCTATCCCAGAAAAGCACTGATCCGAGAGAAGGCGTCCTCGGACGCACACCTCATCTCTCTAAGCTCCTTCCCTCCCCTCGACGCGGCCAACCACCACCACAGCCCCTCTGCAACGTCCTCCCCGGCGCACTCGTTCCCGGCCTCCCTCGTCTCGTCCCGCTGTCCCTCGACGACGCTGCTCAACTCGGCCTCGTCCAACCTCCCTACCTCGCTGCCTACGCCTCCGAGAAGGGAGTTCTCCGACTCGATACTGCCGGTCAGGATGCCTGCGTCGGCGCATGCGAGCAGTGGCATCGGCGCTGGTGCTGGTACTGGGAATAGGATGAAGGGGCTCTGGGAGCGGACGAGGAGGTTGAGCAGTAGTCTTGGTGGCAGTACGCACGGTCACAACCATGGCCATGGGGATGCTGCGGGCCACGAGGGGCGAAAGGGAGGAAAAGGTGGAACGGCGGCAAGCGACGAGGAAGGCGTCGTGCTTCTGAATCTGGACCTAGCGTTCAAGGAGAACGGGCTGGATTCCGAGAGGGCGAGTGCGAAGAGTGTCGAGGGGTTCGAGGTGCAGGATTGTGTCGGCGGTGCGCGGGAGGCGGCTGTTGCTGTTTCTGCAAAAGGAAATGTCAGAGAATTGGAGGTTGCTGTTAAGGGGTACGGGAAGGAAAATGGGGGGATAAAGGAGGTTCCGAGTCCTATTGAGGATCCCTTTGCCAGCAGGTCTAGCCTCGCAGGGGGGAGGGCTAGTAGCAGCGACGAGGACGATTGCGTGGCTGGTGCTGGCCAGGTGATTGTTGGCGAGCGAGTGCCGCTGGTTGCGTCGCACTGAGTTTGTCAGCCGTATTCGAGAGAGGGGGTGTAATTGTGCGCACAAGTGCGCTTCTTTGAAGCACCACATCTTCTTGAGTGGGGGGGGGGGGGGGGGGGGAGGAGTAATGTAGAACGCTCAGAAAAGTTGGAACAAGGGGATCTAGGAGAAGAAAATGGAAAGACGAATTCGATTTCCGCTTTGTAGTTTCTTTTCCGCCTTCCTAACGCCAGTCGAGACTGAACTTCCGCTTTTTAATGGGACATAAAATAACGCCGTAAATGCAATGGTATCAATGTTGACTCCGTCCCCCTGTCCGATCCCTTACGCTTTTCTAAGCATTCCCGTTCAAACATGCATGTATTTTAAGTAATATTCCCGTAAAACTTTCCTCCCACATTGCCTCATCTATACTGGCCCACTCCTCCCCACCACCCTCGCGTCCCCAAAGTCCTCTGGCCGGAATTCCCTCAACTCGTCCTCGTGGATTTCCTGGCTACCATCCACCTTACCCACAAAACTGGGCGGCCTAATCTCCTCCTTTTGCTGAATCGCCCTCCTCTTGTCCAAGGCAAGCCCCGTATAACTCCTGGGCAAGTATCGTCCCGGATGCCAGACGGCAAAGACGACCAAGGTGGCTAGGATGGGCAGCGCATCAAAGACCCAAAAGCACCACTCATGGCTCTGCAGATACTTCAGCCCTGTATCCTTGTCGTGCGGAATCTCCACCGTGCGGTAGATGGCGCGAAGCGTGATGAAGGCGGCGGCCGTGTTGATCATTCCGCTGAGGCGGCGCCACATTGCCCAGTCGCCCAAATCTTCTTCCCGCCATTTCCTGGAAATGACAAAGTAGCGGACAGCAATCACAGCAAACGAGGCGAAGCACGACATCTGCAGGATGAGGCCTAGGATGAGGATGATGCGGCCTGGAAGCATCTTCTTCTCCGAGGTTTCGATGCTGCGGTCGAGGCTGGGGTCACGGTCATAGGCGCTGGAGATGAGGCCGCCGCCGACGAGCTGGATGAGGAAGGAAACGAGGTCGAAGATGACGAAGGTCGGGGTGATCCAACGGGGGAAGCACCAGAGGGTTTTGAAATCGAGGGCGTGGGTCGGGCACGAGAACCAGACGACGCGGCTGAAGGCGGTGTAGCAGGCGGCGGCGAGGAAGGAAGGGGCGAGCAGGATCATGAGGAAGGCCACGAGGAAGGGGAGGTCTTGGTGTTCGTGGTGGGCGGAGATGACGCGGCAGAGGAAGCCGGTGGCTTCCATGAGGACGCCGATGACAGCGGCCCAAAAGAACCAGGAGCGGTAGCGGAAGTATTGGTACACGAGGAAGAGGGAGACGGCTGGAAAGATGACGGCGCCTAGGATGGCGACGGGGAGGTTTGGGTCGTAGATGTAGGGGTTGAGAACGCCATTTCCTAGCGAGGTGGTCAGTTTGGAAGGACGGTATGGATTGGATATGCTATTAACGAGGGTTGACTCACGGAGCTGGACGGCGCGTCTCACGGGTAGAGGAGCTATATCTGGTGATTCTGAAGGGTCAAGGAAAGGGTGGGTCATGGTTGGAGTCTATGATTGGAATGGCGCCGTAGCGCATGTTCATGTCACAACGCCGTCGCCAGCGAGCGGTAGAGCCAACAAGCTCGCTCGGACAGGTCGGATGAGAGCAGAGTAGAAGAGGTGGAGCAATGATCATGGCGGGAGAGTGAGCGGGACGAGGGCTTGTTCATCTGTTTGGAGGCTAAGAAGTCAAGGCTTGGCTGCTGGCGACGGAGTCGTCGGAAAGGATTGCCAACCTGTCTCTCACGCCTGGGCGGGCGTTTGGGTGGTGGTAGACAAGCAGCACATCAAATGCACGAGAAGATCCGCACGTGAAATGGATTGGCCCGGCGCAGAAAGCCCGGGGCGACGAGGGTGACATGGCGAAGTGGTGAAATGGTGACATGGCGAAATGGTGAGATGGTGGTGAATTGGTGAATTGGTACGGAGTAGTGACACTATAAAAGGGTCGAGACGGCGACGTTCTGGGCGTTTTGTCTTCGGGCCTTGGCTTTCTTGGCATTAGATTAGTCACGTAACCTCGGAGGATACTTTTCCCATCCCCGTCGCCTACACACCGTCTCTGCGTCTCTGCGGGAACCAACCGACGCAGCCTCTACTGAAATTACCTACCCCACACACTAGTGAAATGATACCGCATAATCTCGAGTAAAGCGGAATCAGCTATCCCTTTCCTAGGAGGACCAAGGCTTGTACAGCAGAGGGAGGAGGGCCTACAGAGAGTAGGAGCAGCTAATCAAGAAAAGAAGTCAGCAGATCAACAAGCTGATGAAGCAGGAGGTTTTAACCGTTGGTAGAAGTGGTGCAAGGTCAGATCCAATTGCGACACCACCCTCCGATACTCAAACTTCGGTAAAAGCACATGTACTGTGTTATATCCAAGAACCTGGGCGTATCCCCAGCTATGCCCGCCGGGTTACCGCGCCAATCGGCCTCATAGGCAAAACCCCCATCAATATAAACACAGTGCTTATACTAACGCTCCATCTACCGCAAATTCCATGAATGACTTCGGTAATCCAAGCCCGGCATCATTGCGGCAAAAAGATGCCAAAAAGCAGATAAAGCACGGCAACCCTCCCCTCTCTCGTCGAGATAGATAACGAGAGAAAAACCTCAAGGGGGCAACAAGGGAAGCACTTTTTTTCTCCACAAAGCACACACGTTTCTTATGCATACACCCTCGGATTTCCAACCATGATGATCAAATCCCTCCTCCTCACGGCCGCCGTGGCCGCCATCACATCCGCCATCCCGCTGAGCGAACAGCTCTTTGGGCGATCCATCGACCTGGGCGGCAAGCTCGAGACGCGTCAACAGGGCTCGGCGCAGGGCTACGGATTCCACAGCCACTACTTCTACTCCTTCTGGTCGGACAACTCCCGTGGCAGCGTGACGTACACGAACCTGCAGAACGGCTCCTACACCAGCAAGTGGACCAACATCGGCAACTGGGTCGGGGGCAAGGGGTGGAACCCCGGCGGTGCGAAGTCCATCGCCTACAACGGCACCTGGAACGCCGCTAACCAGAACTCGTATCTGGCCCTCTATGGGTGGACCAAGGATCCGCTGATCGAGTACTACATCGTCGAGAGCTATGGGTCGTACAACCCCAGCAGCGGGGCCCAGAAGCGCGGAACTATCCAGAGTGACGGCGGAACTTATGATATCTACCAGACTCAGCGGGTTAACCAGCCGTCGATTATAGGTCGAGCAACCTTCTATCAGTTTTGGTCGGTGCGCACGCAGAAGCGCGTTGGCGGCAACATCACCACGGGAAACCATTTTGATGCTTGGACCAAGAATGGTTTGAAGCTAGGGAACCACAATTATATGATTATGGCTACCGAGGGTTATCAGAGCAGCGGGTCGTCTGCCATTACGGTTCGTGAGATTGGAAAGGACGAGGCCCCCTACCCGGATGAGCCGGACTCGAGGTACGACAATAACTGAATGCCTTTCAAGGTTGTATGTTGTGAGGGATCACTTAGGGGCTGTACCAAAGGAGCGATATCTTGTCAGGAGGATGGATATTGACCAAGGCATTGGAGAGGTCGCTAAAATGCTTGCCGTTGCACTCGATGGTATGGCCTTTAGTCCTCGCCCCAGGTATATGACAGAGCTTCATACCGACGTCTTTCCGCTGAAGTGCTTTCGTCTCGCTCTCCGAGGTTCAGTATCTCCACGAGTTCCAGCGTGCATCTGCTTTGTCCATCGCCCGTTCCTGGTTCGATGACAAGAATACGAGTGAACTCTGGCTCAAGCTCAGTGTAGATGTCGATTTACTTCAAAGTCGAGATCTTCGCGGGCACATCACAAGCTTGGGATGCGAGTTTGGAATTGAAGACGCTTGCTTTAGCCAGCAATCGTCTTCCCACATTGGATACGCTGGAACGACGCGTCCGAGCTTCCAGGCTCGTACGCCTGTTCCTCGTCGTGCTCTTTGCCACTGTCTTTCCTGTCGTGGCCGAGAGGGACCAATGTCCGCATAGGAAGCTGTTTCCCCAATCGCTCGAGCCAAGGATCCTTGTCATGATTCATCAAGGAATGGTACCCGCCTTCCGGTAGTAGTATTGTACACTGTACACTGGACACCGTCTTAACCCATTTCCCTACATTCAGTATAATCGTTTCCATTATTCATCAATATACTTTTGGATCCTACCTACTCGTCGTACTTCCATCCAATTCGCCAACCATTGACCAACAAGTCGCTATGCATACGAAGAGACCAGTCGGCTGAACTTCGCCCTTCGGATTCCAAACATATATCGACATGTCGGAATATCAAACTTCCACGGAGGAGATTCCCACCAACAGGCTAAACCATGTACCTGCCTAGTAGTACCGAGTACGGTGCCCGATTCTCGAAAGCCATCTGCCTTATATTAACCCCCTGCGGGGATGGGAAAACCAGAATCCAAACTCCGCAATCAAACCCCATGCATCTTGCTGAATTGTATCTGGAAAAACTAAAAGAGCCCATGCCTGGCATCCAAATCGGATCGCATATCTCCATTGTTGAAATTATCACCGTGCTAATTCTCCGCACCGCACCGCTCAACATTCGACACTTATATCCAACGTCCATCCCATGGAGGCAGGACAGCTCCCCCTCTCATGTGGTGCGACATCTCATCACCGTCGTACGCCATGTTCAACCCTTGCCGGATTGGGTTCGCCCTGCTCCTGGCGACAGATGCGCTGTCTGCTGGAGCGCTTTCCATCAACCAGCCGTCCACACACGCGATGGCAGCAGCAACAGGCCGTGAGCGCCTCAGCCTGAACCAAGGATGGCGTTTCTCCCGCTTCACGTCGAACCCCGACTCCCTGTCTTACGACAAGCTGAAGAACTGGATCTTCCCCTCGGCCAACGACTTCATCAAAGGAACCCCTCGTCAGCGGCCCTCGGGAACTCCTCCAGGCAACGATGTCAACTACGTGAAACCCACATTCGACGATAGCGCCTGGGAAGCCGTCAATGTACCCCATGATTGGGCCATCAAGGGCCCTTTCAATGCACCGGGCATCAGCGGCGGCATGGGCCGCTTGCCTTCCAACGGTATCGGTTGGTACCGTAGGAAGCTCGAAATCCCATCCGATGAAATTACCGCGGGCAAGTCCATCTTCTTGGATATCGACGGCGCCATGTCGTATGCCGCGGTGTGGCTGAACGGCCAGTTGGTCGGTGGTTGGCCATATGGATACAACTCGTTCCGTCTGGATCTTACCCCGTATGCGAAGGCGGGGGACAACCTGCTGGCGATCCGCCTGGAGAATGCATTGGACTCTTCGCGTTGGTATCCCGGCGGCGGTATCTACCGGAATATTTGGCTCGTCAAGGTCGATGCGACCCATGTGGGCCAGTATGGCACGCGCATTACGACATCAGCAGTCTCTTCGCAGTCCGCTACTGTGAATGTAGTCGTCGACGTGGAAAATAAGGGCAATACGAGTCGAAAAGTCGATGTCGTCACTGACATCTTCGAACTGGATCCAGCCACTGGCAAGGCCAAGGGGAATGCCGTTGCTACCCTTGCACGAGCGACTGTCGATGTAGCTTCAGGCGCAAAGAAGGCCGTCAATGGATCGACTACAGTGTCGAACCCGAAGCTCTGGGGCCCAGTGCCTGCGCAGAAGCCGAACCTCTACGTTGCCATCACATCGCTTTACGGGAGCGGATCCTCAGCTCCAATAGACACGTACGAAACTCGCTTTGGCATCCGCACAATCACGTATGATGCGAACAAGGGCCTCCTCGTCAATGGCCAGCTCGTCCGGGTCCAGGGCGTCTGCAACCACCACGACCTGGGCTCTCTAGGCGCAGCATTCAACTACCGCGCCGCCGAGCGCCAACTCGAGATGCTGCAGGAGATGGGCACCAATGCCCTCCGGACCTCGCACAACCCACCTGCTCCCGAAATCCTCGATATCGCAGATCGCCTGGGTATCCTGGTGCTCGACGAGATCTTCGACGTGTGGAACAGCCAGAAGACGAACAACGACTTCCACCTCATCTTCACCGACTGGCGTGAACCGGACTTGCGATCTTTCCTTCGCCGCGATCGCAATCATCCCTCAGTCATTGCCTGGAGCGTTGGAAACGAGATTGGAGAGCAGACCAGCGCGGCGGGCGGCACGACCGCAAAGCTCCTTCAAGATATCGTTCGCTCAGAAGATACGCGCCCAATGACTGCGGCCATGAACGCTGCTTCGGCCAACAGCCCCATCTCCGCCGTCGTGGACATCATCGGGTTGAACTACCAAGGCGAGGGCATGGGCACCTCCACGTCGAGCAAGTATCCGGAGTTCCACTCCAAATTCCCCGAAAAGATGTGCTGGGCCAGCGAGTCCTCCTCCGTTTTAAGTACGCGCGGCACCTACATCTTCCCCGTGACAAGCGGCAACAGCGCTACCGTCGGCGGCGCAAACGCAGGCGGCGACCCCAACTCACGATACGTCTCGGCCTACGACCTCTACGCACCCAGCTGGGGCTCCGCTCCCGACAAAGTCTTCGGAATGCAAGACCGTTACCCCTACGTAGCCGGCGAGTTCGTCTGGACGGGCTTCGACTACATCGGCGAGCCCACGCCCTACGACCAATCGCGCAGCTCCTACTTTGGCATCATCGACATGGCGGGCTTCAAGAAGGACCGCTTCTACCTCTACCAGGCGCGGTGGCGTCCCGACCTCCGCATGGCGCATATCCTCCCCCACTGGACGTGGCCGGATCGCGTGGGCCAGGTCACGCCCGTCCATGTGTATTCCTCGGCCGACGAGGCGGAGCTGTTCGTCAACGGCAAGTCGGCGGGGAGGCTCAAGAAGGAGCAATATACCTACCGCTTCCGCTGGGACAAGGTCGTCTACCAACCGGGCGACCTCCGCGTGGTGACCTACAAGAACGGCAAGGAGTGGGCGACGGCCACCAGGAAGACGGTCGGCAACGCGGCGAGGCTGAACGTGACGGCCGATCGCACCAGCGTCGCCGGCGACGTGCTGGCCTTTGTCAGCGTTGCAGTGACGGACGCGGATTCGGAGACGGTGCCTAGGGCGAATCATTCCATCACGTTTTCCGTTTCCGGTCCTGGTCAGATTGTAGCGACGGATAATGGCGATCCGACGGATATGACGGTGTTTCCGTCAAAGGTGAGGAAGGCGTTTAATGGGTTGGCGTTGGCTATTGTGAGGGCTACGCCTGGGGCGTCCGGGACGATAACGGTGTCGGCTGCTGCCGAGGGGCTTAAGGGGGCGCAGGTGACGATACAGGCTGGTTAGACGTTGGGATATGTGCTTAGGGCGAGGGTTGGATCCTTCATATGGGAAATCAATCCCACAGTGCTGTGCTTGGCTGGCCGTGATGTTCCTGTGAAGATTTATGTTTTACTCCCGTCAAAGCAATCCAAGCAATCAAACCAACAAGCGTCAAGGTCATGGTCACAGTCCTGGTACCTTGTACCGGTCCATTGAGACCCCATCGATACCTCCTACCAACAAACCCTTTCCACCACCACCTTCCCATCTCTGCAGAGCAAAACATGAAAATGATCAAGACGTCATGTGATGCAACAGCGCCATCTCGTTGAATATCCTCCTCATAGCACTGCGGCATCGGCATAATCAAATGGGGCGGATGTCCTTACCAGGTAAACCCGCCTTACTGAAGGCCAAACCACTGTTCAAACTTGAAAGAGAGACAAGTGACAGACTAATGCCAGAGCAAGCGAAAATGTAGTACCTAAATCCTCATCAAATCCACAACAGAGGCAAATGGACGAGTGGAGTGAGAGCAATAATACGCGAGGGGTGATAATACATTGGATTAATAGCCTAGCGTTTGTTCATCTCAAGATTCAACATGTCCTACATCCGTCCATCCATGCCATGTACCCAAGACCCCAGGGTATATCCATTTCGCTGAAGAAAGGCGAAGGAAGAGAAAATAGGGTGATGGAAGGGTAATAAAGTGGTTAGGAGGCGAGGGTATACAATACTTCATAGGGGTATTACAAGGTCAGACATGAAACCGCGAAAAATGAACATCCCGTCATGTCCAAAAAAAGAAAAAGCATCCAACTCCCATCAAGAACATGAGACATGCCAGCTCCTTACCAGAACCCGTCAAGACGGCTTCATCTCAGAAACGATGCTCATGTACGTAGCTTGTCGGCCGTCCGTCGCCGCGAGGCACTGCGGTCCCTGTTCGTCGTCTTGGAGATGGCCGCGTTCCAGTCCTCCCAATCGCTCGCCATCTCGGTGAGAACATTGCCCATGACCTGCGCGCTCGCCATCAGGCCGTGCTGTTCGCCGTCAAGAATGCGCACCTCGCATCTGCGCATCAGCCGACCCAGCCAGCGCACATTGTCGACAGGTACTCTGCTGTCCTTGCTGCCGTGATGGATGACTACTGCCCGGCTGATATCCTCGTACCGGAATCCAATAGTTTGCTTGGTCTCCAGACACACAATGAGATCAGTAGCTGGGTTCGCGTTCGTGGTCGCTCGATCCCAGATGGCGAATGTTAGCCGTTCGTCAAACTCTTGCTGTCGCTCGCGCTCTGCCTCGCTCAGCGCATCCTTCATTCGTCGTGCTTCCTCGTGGTCGGAATCGTTGGGATTCTTCGCCGCCAAGGAGAGCGAACTTGCGTTGGGTAATATTTGGTCCATCAGCATGATGGACTCTCGTCGCGTTTCTTTGATGGGCGGTCGAGATTGGGCCAGCATCTGCGTGTTCATGGTCTTCCGTCTCGTCTTTGGCGAGTTCTTAGGACCGGTCCGCTGTAGACTTGCACTCGTCGCACTGAGGAACGTCGAGTTTGCAATCTTCAACAGGGAAGGTGGTAGAGTCCGAAGGAAGCGCTGTGACCTGGGAAGCTGTTGCTGAGGAGGTTGATCTTGGCTTACTCCTATTGGCGCCATCTGCGAGGGTGGGATCCAGGGTGCTAGTAGGTGAACGCGACCCCGGATGTGCTGTGGCATGCGCAGCGAAGTCGCAAGCGCATATATTGCGCCAGCTGAATGAGCCAGAAGTGAGAACTTGGTAATCTTCAAGGCCTGGCAAATGATAAGGACGTCGTCTGGAGTACGTCAGTATAGAGACCCTCGTCGGACCGGTATCTACTCACCTGGCCAACTCAGAGGCGTGCCATTGGGGTCCGGTTGACTGCCGCCAACTCCTGGCCGATCCGGTGTAATCAGTCTCAGCTTCAACGTCATTGCCAGCTGGTCATAGAAGGCCATGACATATCTTGTCAACCCCATACCCACACATACAAACACGGCAAACCCATGAGGGTCACCCACCTCAGAGAAGGATATTATCCTTCCTGTTTGCGGGTGGCGAATCCTTTGTGAGAGCCGTGGTGAGTTGAGATACCTCTCCACGTCCATGTCAACCGAGTCTATGCTTGCCGGACGTTCCTCCATGACTGGGTGATTGGGAGGTTGCACCGCATTGTTCGAATTCATCTTTTTTTCAACTCGATCGTTATGTGCTCTTTGCGCCTTTGCAGGTAAATCCGGATGCGACCACCGATTCTTCTTCAAAGTTGGCTTGCGCTGGGGTGCCCCAGAGGCAGTAGACGACGAAGTCATCTTCAAGGACAAATGTCGACTCGCAAGATCCTCGCTGACAGCTCGAGTTGAATTCTCGTCATGAGCGCCACTGGTGACACTGGGTGAGCGCTTGTGTGCCGTCGGCTTGGACAATACCATTGAACGTGTAGTCCGACGGCCCTCTGCAGACCTCTCGCCGAGCGCAGCAGCGGCGGCGACGGAGCGGGGGCGCACCGGGGAAGTGCTACTGGGAATGGCGCCTTTGCTGGGGCCAGGAGGAGGAGTGGGCGACGACGACTGTGCAGAGCGCTCGAGGGTCTCCAGTGCGAGTCTGTAGTCAATGGGGAGCGGGGTAAGTTCGTCCCCATCATTCACCGTCAAGCTCCTGGAGCGCGCATGCACAGCCTTGGGCTGAGGCTGGGGCTTCTGGACAGCTTCAACATTCAGGGATACCTGCCGCGTTTCTGGTCCCTGGGATGGCCGTCCGTTTGGTGCAGGCAGAGGGGAAGGCGCCAGCGTGATACCGAGGACTCTATGGGCTTTCGCGGGGTCCTGGGCTTGTGGTCGCCTTTCCGACGTGCTTGACACAGTCGAGGTTGGGGATGGCTCCGCGCTCGTAATTGGTGAAACGCCCCATCCGCTCGGAGAAGCCCCTGCATCCACATCCACTGGGAGCTTCCCCGCGATTTTGTCTCTCAGTAACTTTTGCTTCCTCAATTCTCGGATCCTGCGAGCAACCTCGCCTTCTTCGGCCTCCAAGTCCTTCAATATCTTCTCCTTTGGTACTACATCCTGCTCTACAGTTTCATCCACTTCTATCACCGTACTCGTTCTGTACGAGTCATGGCGACTGTTTTTTCGCCCATGATTCTTGCGGCTTTTCCTCGACGGACTTGTGTGCTTCAATGAAGATCCTCTTTCCGGTATGAGCCCTTTGTCTGCAGGGTCATCGACATCACCTGCTTTGAGCTGTGTAAATGTAGTCCGGAGCGGACTACTCGCGCTGCTCGTGCGCGACTGCGGCGCCCGGGATGACTCCGCCACTATAGGTTCCTCCTTGATGGTATCCTCGGAAACGACAAGATGTGGAGTTGGTTTTCGCGGAGGATCCTGCGACTTCAACACCTCGGGTCCTTGAATGGTGGCGCGCTTCCTTTCCTCCTTGACCCTCAAGTGCTCCCGCGAGCTCATATACATCAAGCTCTTGTGTGCCCTTGTGCTTCTTTTACTGTCACTAGATGTCCGGTTGCTGCCGTTGGAAATCTTGCGCGGTATTCCTGGCTCGATGCTGATTGCGCCAAAGCTGCTGACCGACCTCACCGAGTGTGCCGAGTGTACGGACGCCGAGCTCCCACCCCCTTTGCTCATATAGCTCTTCAGAGAGTGCTCCTTGTCCTTCTTCTTCGGCGCGGTGATTGGAGATAGGCCGGAAGGGGGCTTCGAGGTACGGATGACAGGAGGTTCGCACGCATCGTCTAGGAATGGGTAGGGGTTGGGTACCAGCGACTGGTAGTGGGCCAACTGGTCCATGCCATGGCCATTGGGAACCGTCAGCGAGTCGCCGAAGTGTGTCTGGAGGTTTGGGCTTGCGGGGGTTGACGCGCTCGCGAACGGCAGGTTCTCAAAGTGGCTATGGGTCGATTGCGATATGGCGGACAAAGATTCGATAAGGGAGGAGATGACTTCGGGAGAGGTCGACTGAGCGCGCACGTAGTTGGGCGAACGCTTCTTGGAGTGACTGTCGGTGGGCAGCGTCGTCGGCACCGACGGCAGCGAGCTGCGGCGACGGGATCGCAGGCCTCGTGGAGGCAGCGGTGGAGGAGGGTCAGCGGGGAGGGCGGGCACCGGGGGATGAGGGTCTGGTTGGAGACCCATTTTGCCTGATATTCCTAGCGGCGAGCTGGCGGGACGTGTGCCAATGGGTTGAGGTTGGCAGGAATTCTATGTATAGGCAGGACGCGGTGTGATTGTGCAGACGGATGTGAAGATCAGTGCATGGCCGGATGCTGAGCACGCGCAGCGAGTCCGGTCGCAGCCAGCGAGGCGAGACTGCGGTCCGGCCCAGTACAGATGAATATGACGGGGGAGAGGCTGTGGGTTCGCAAGGGGAGTGTCCAAAAAGTTGTGCCGCCGAAGAAGTGAAGTTGCTGGAGCTTAGGGGATGAAGGCGCACATCTATGGACTTCCAGCCCGCACTTGCCATGTTCGGCTTAGCGCAGAGCGGCTACCTCCCTACGGAAGACTTCTAGGTATCCAGGGAAATCTAGGAAAACGACAAGCGCAGTACGGAGTGGTCAGTAGTAAAATCCATGACGACGCAACTCGAAGGAGAATGTATGTTGCAACATGCGCCGACTCCCGAGTGCCGCATGCGGGATAAATGAAACCGCGTGTGGCTCGTCTACTACCCGTTTTTGTGCAACACTTACACCCGTCGCATTTACACAGTACCATCCTTGAGTCCTGGAAAACCGAGGGAGATGATAAACAGGTCATCGCCGTGGCGGTGAAATACGGTAGCCATCCTGTACTGTGTTAAAGGGGCCCATTACTCCAAACTCCGCAGATGGTATGATCGTCTGCTATGCTCCCGCATACCATCAGCTTAAAGATGGTACTTCGCGGTAGTAAGATGAGCAACATAAAGACTATTTGGTGAGGGACACTTCAAGAGACGGCCTTTTGAGCTACGAAGCAACCTTCTAACTCGGTACTTGGAACAACTTCGGTTGCTACACTAAGTAGGTTATGGGAGAAACGGATGCAGGGTCTAGCAACCCCATCAGACAATGACGATTGACTCGTGGCATCATGCTTGGACTCAATAGACAATGTCCTTGCTTTTTCCATGCCCTCAAAGACCTTTGGTTTACATACCTAGAATGTCAAAACTCAAGAGCGTATCAAAAGATGAGATGCAATAATGAACGGTGGTATACCCCCCTGTCGCCCACCCGCACCCGCGCATCCCACTACGTCATCGCCCAATCCGGCTCCCATTTCAACACCATGCTGGACATCATCAGACCGCAGCCTACCCTCCCTTCCGCAACACATTCCCAACCAGCCAGAAAGATGCGCCAGCAGTCCACTTCATGAAAAGAGCACATTGACAATCGAAAAAGCCATGTCCATACTCACCTCGCCCCTAACCGCCCTGCCACTGGCGCCACTCCTCGTCCTCCCCTTCCTCTCCTCCTGGTCCACCTCCCTCAACCTCCTCTTCTTCTCCCTCACCTGGACCACCATCGCCGCCACCTACTCTCCCCTCCAACTCGAAGCCTTCGGGCCCTTCGTTGTGCGCGTACTGCTTTATCTCCTCCCCTCCGCCCTATTCCTCTTGTTTGACCTCGGCGTTCCCAGTCTAGCCGCGCAGGTGAAGTCGCAGGGGGAGCATGCGCTACCAGTCCGGGCGGCCGGGGGAAAGAAGAAGGTCTGGCGGATTGTGGGGTGGAGTGTCTTTAATGTGGCGTTGGGGTTAGCGCTGCAGGCGGGGTTGGAATGGCTCGTCACGGATGTGCTGCATTTCAGGAGCTTGCTGAAAATCAAGGGGAGTAAGTGGAGTCTGAACCACCTGCCGAATCCGTGGAGTATGGTCCAGCATGCTGTGCTCGGGTTGGTTGCGCGGAATGTGAGTACCCCACCTCCTGTTGAAATGGCCCAATATATCTCGGGGAGAATGAACTGCGCTGACATGCCAATGGCAGGTTCTCCAATACTACATCCACCTCTACCTCCTGCACTCGGCCGACGGCGGCATTCTATCCACATGGCACGAGACGTGGCAGCACAGCGTGCGCATTCCCTTCTCCTTTGTCGCCGCCTACGACCATCCCGTGTGCTATCTCCTGCATCGCTTCTTACCCTTGTACCTGCCTGCCATTGCCTTCCGCTTCCACATCCTGACCTACATTTTTCTCGTCGCCGCCTTCTCGCTCGAAGAGCTGTTCATATACTCGGGCTACAGCGTGCTACCGTCCACCATCATGTTGCGCGGAATGGCGCGCAGGACCGAGGCCCACTTCATGAGTGGAGCAGAGGGGAATTTCGGCCCACTGGGAGTGCTGGACTGGGTGCATGGAACGACCCTGGGGAAAGATGTCATGGACGATTTGAAAGCTGAGATGGACAAACATGACGTCCAGGAACGGGCGGGAAAAGCCATTGATGATGCTGGGGATGCTGCCAATGGGGTGGCGGCAAAGATGAAGAGGAGGGCTCGTAAAAGGAGAGGATAGGATATGTCGAATGGCTGAAGGGCGCGATTTGTTGCCTCCGGTATTATGCTCTGGTCAGTTCGGAATTGGTTCAACTTTGGCGGACGCTGCTGCGCGGCAGGTTATGGCTGTGTTGCTTGATTCGCAGATACCCTTCTCTTGCTCGCTGAAAATATTTTCGGTTTCTGTTATCGTTCTGTAATGGTTATAATTCGACGGTAAACCTAGTCAGTTGGAATCCACCCAATATCATCGCTTGTCTGTGGGTATAACCTGTCTATTGCGAACCTGTAAACTTGCATGTCATCACAGCAATCTGCCAGCAATCTGCCACGACTTCACGATCGGACCGGTTCGAATTCGCTTTGCCTGTTACAGAATGTATAGGAAATGCAGACCGAATCCTCCCACGAGAAAATGGCTCGCTGTGCCAAAGTGTTGTGGTTTCTGCTATTACGGCTGCAGCATGCCGAAGTCATCTTTCATCCATCCCATGCACTTGAACGCCGATTGCCCGTTTCCACGTTTAAAAGACCATCGCATGTGGCCTGTCGGAGCTGCGCAGGCTGAAGGTAGACTTGAGGTAGTCGGCAAGGTGGGCCTCCTTGCGAATCGTAGCAATCAGAGCCTTGTCGACGGCCTTCTGGTCCTCTACACGGTCCTTGGAGGTCTCCTTCTTCTGTGCACCGAGTCAACTCCGTCGCATCCAACGTTGCGCAATCGACCTACCTCGGGCTTCTCGCCCTGCTTGAAGAAAGCATCCTCGCCAGGCTTCTTGGTCTCCTTGTCCTTGGTGAAGTAGCCGTCCTCGCTGGCCTTGTTGAGGACGCTCTCATCCACACCGCTCAGATCCACCTTAGTCGACGTAGCAATGACATATCGGGCGTTTACCCTTCGCAGGGGGACGCCGTTGATCTTGTACGGGCCGGTAACGAGGAGGACACCCTGGGGAAGGTGCTTGAGGAGGACGACGCGCTTACCGCGAAAGCGTCCTGCAAGAAGGATGAGGACAGTTCCGGGTTGAAGAGAGGCCCGGGGCTTCGCCGGCCGAAGTGACTTTCGCGCCTAACTCCAACTATCAGCGTCTGTATTCTGGCTTCGTCGAGTTATGGCGGCGGCGCCTTCCCCCATGGCTCTTTCCTTGCGCAGTTCTTCTTTCTCTCCCTTTTGCCGGTGCGTCAACTCACCTTCTTGGGCTGGCGGACGTCCTCCGCGGGATAGTACTTGCCAAACTTCTGCGCCATGGTCGACCTGTTGAACTCGTCTTTGGTGAGGAGCCAAGCTGGACGGGAGACGGATTTTGCGGTTTGTGGGATACGCGGTGATGACTAATCAGGCCTGCTGACTCAACGCTTTGCAAAAAGGCCAGATGCCAAGAAAGGGTGATTGTAGCCGAACCAGAAGACGACGATGAGGAGGAGGCTGATGAGGAGGGTGAGAACGAAAAGCCGCGTTGGCGGCAAACCGTCTGTAGACTACAACTACCATTAGCAAATATCCAACAACACCAAGCACAGCCCAAGATAGGAACAGTCCAGGTAATCACAACTCGAGATGAAAGGGTCATGGAAGTGACAACTCGAGATGAAAAGAGTCAAGGAGGTGACAATTCGAGATGAAAAGAGTCAGGGAAATGGCAACTCAGGATACAAGGAAATGGCAGGTCAAGAACAAGGGAATGTCAGCTCAAGATAGGAAGAGTTACATACCAGAAAACGGGCCGCGAAGCCAAAGACGTCGGTGAGGGCAGAAGTTGTGCTCCACCTGGGCAGAGACGTTGAAGCATGCAGGTGGTTACAGAAGAGAAAGTTGCGGGGGAGCGGACCTTCTTATATACTGCCCAGCGTCGAGGTGGTTCCTTCCTCCTTTGGATACCCACGTGGTCCCACCAAACACACCGTCACCCCCTCCCGAGGTCGTCATGGACAGAGCTGCAGTATCTCCAACAAGTGCCATTGGCTTTGGAGATGGCCTGTAGACGCATTTCCGCATTTCCTGCGCCGGAGAGAGCCGTAGGAAGCGGGAGCGCGAAGCGCTACTCCCCTCGCCGTAGACTGTCATTCCTGTGTTTCTCCGCCGTCTGCTTGTTAAGCAACCTGACAATGAGCCAATAGCCCGGTTGTAGACTTTGATGGGTTGCTTTCTGTTCTGGATGTCCCAGGTTTGCTTCTCTACATCCACGCAGACTCCTGACGGTCTGTTCACTAGGTATCTCAGGCTTACTTCTCCACGTCCACGCAGACTCCCTCGAGTGGGCGGTTCCGTCCTCTGGGATCGCGTTGGTTACATCTCGAGAGGTAAATGATGAGTTATGATGGAATCGTGTGGCGGCCACAGCCTCGAGAGTTCACTGATGAGTACGATCAGATCGCGTGGTGATCACATCCTCGAGCCGAGTTCACTGCATCAGGAACCCGGCCTTACAAGTATGAAGCACCGGAAATCCATGACAGATATTCAATGCGCAGTCCTCACAGAAGTCCGACATGTATGCCTTGGGATATATCTGTAGAGCAGCCAGATAAAGACCTGGAGTGAAACCATCCGATATTTCCAGGCACTATTCGGTGAATGTACCATCCCCAATTAGCTCCATGCTGGGTTATGACAATTTTTAATCACGTTGGTAACGCTATAGTTACCGTAGAGCGCGACTATCGCTCCGTAGCTGGCATGGTCGTTCTTCGTGTTGCTAAGTGAAAATACAAGCTGAAAATACAAGCCAAAAGCTTCTTCGGGTTGTCTTCAAGTTTGATAGCAGGCCCATCGATCACCAGCTCATTCTGCACGGTGCCCGCTCAGCATGGAGCTAATAACGAAGAGGGCGTCGGCCGAGTAGTCCCTGGAAATCTTGAATGGCATTATCACTCCAGCAGTGCTGCTCTAAGCTCGGCCTAGGTTCATATGTAGCCTAAAGAAGCGTTTGCCTTTTTTAGTGACAGTAGGTCGCTCTCCACGGTCGTAACTCAGCATTAAAGTTGACAAGGGAGAGGATATACTCTGTCCACTAAGTATCCCTGGAACTGTTGGACCTACTATGGTACCTAAGTAGGTGGTGTGTGGCACAGGTACGCCGATGACTAATACTATCCGCCTTGGCATCACCTGGAGCTCCAGGGCTCCGACTTCACCTGGACAAAGCTCCTCCCCGCAAACATCACCTCTACAGTTCCGAAAACATGTCGATCCAGCCGATAATCACTTTCAAGGCCGGCGTGTGCGATCTCAATGTATGTACACACTCAGCACTGTCCCTTTCTTTCTCCCGCTAATAGTTCACAGTCAAACCACAAAGTCAAGCCTAAGGACACGCCCGGATACGTCTATCTCTACGAGGAAGATGGTAGGTTACTATCCCTGCGTCGAGTTCACAGGTCTGACTTTCCGCAGGAATGCTACACTTCTGTTGGCGGCCGAGAGACCAGCCCGTCAATCAGCCCGAACTCGACTTGCTTATGATCCCTGGCGATGCCTCCTTCATGCCCTACGTCGGCGAGGACGACGACACAGAGAATGTTCGATCGCCCACCAGCGGCCGCATCTGCGTCCTAAAGTTCAATTCCAGCTCCCAGCGGTACCTCTTCTGGCTACAATCCAAGTCACAGCACCCAAGTGGCGACCCGAGCTGTTTCAGCGAGCGGGACTTGAAGATTCAAAACATAGTAGACATGCTACTGGCTGGGGAAGAGATTGACGTCCAGGCGGAGCTAGAATCCCTCCGCAACCTACCGCGCGGGCCTCGAAGGGACGGCGACGACGACGAAACAATGGAGGATGTGGAGGGCACGAATCATTCACAAGGGCACCATGGCGGCGGCGCCGGCGGTGCAGGTCCCGATGCTACAGGTGGAGACTACCGAGAAGAAGGCGAGGAGGCTCGAGAGGGCGGTGCTGATGGCGCCCGAGCGTAGGTTCACCCTTCCCATCATACTTCGGCGTCGTGGCGCGTTCTAGCATATCGAGCATTTGGCGACAACAACAAGCATGGCGATGCAGCAACCCAGGCATGGCGTTTTGGAAGGTCCAGTGTGTCTTTAAGCGACTGCGTATAGCGCTTGCAGCTCAATATATCTGTAAAACTATATAAAGTCCCTTGCTCTGCTGTTCGCGCCACGCCGTCTGCCTTTTGCTCCTTGCCTACATGTAGATATATCGCTTGCTGACTCGATGCAGAGCCGCAGCAGGCACAACGGACGCACAACAAGCCGTGCAGAACTTCCTCAACTCGCTCAGAGGAGCAGGTCTTGGCGGGCAAGAGGCGGGCGGAGACGAATTCACCACGCTCATGGACCTCCTGTCGCCCAACATCACGATCCCAGTCATTGACAGAGCACCAGCTTCTCTCATAAACTCACTTTGCTCCCACCTCCCGCCCATGATCCTTCTCCTTGCCCAAGAGATCGACGATGTCGCTGAAGTGGATCCTACCTCCGAGACAGCACAGGCAGCCATCGAAGCATTGGACCAGGACAGCAAAAAGGATGTGCTGAAGAGAGTGCTCAATTCCCCGCAGATGCGCCAGAGCCTCGCTAGCCTGACTGTCGCGTTGAGAGATGGCGGTCTTCCGAACGTGAGTCAGGCGCTCAAGATCGATGTCGCCAACGGTGGGTACATACGAGGTGGCGCCATGCCGATAGGAGGCGGCGACGCTGTGAAGGCGTTTCTTGAGGGTGTTAAGAAGACGGTACAGAGAGAAGCGGAAGGGGAGGAGATGGACACGAGTTAAGCCTGAGTCATCAAACGACGAGGGCGTTTGTACGACATGAGTGAGACATGGGTATGAATCAAAGAGTTGACGAGCTTGTCTCTGCGACCTAGAACGACAGACACATGCATGCCGTCCATTCACCCTGCCACATCCATGTGAAGGCCACGCAACGAAGGTGAAGTTGCGACAAGGAGTTACTGGGTCCTTCGTCATTCATCGTGCGTGTCACTTGTCCTAAACCGCATTTCTCTCGCCTATCTTTCTCTTCATATCTTCATTTTTCTGGTTACATTCTTCTTTTGCTTTTGCCTTTATCATTACTAGCTCTACTCGTCCGTTGTATTTCCGCTTTGGTTATCGAAGAGTTCAACTTGACTCCTAACCGTAGCATCAAGATCTCCGGGATTAAAGATCAGACTCCACAGTACAAACAGCCATCCATGTGCCAAATCCTCATCCAGATCTACGCCTGCGGCCACATGCGACCTATCTGCATAACACCCTGCCTGCGCGCCACAGCGGCATACCGTACAATGACCCACGAAGCACAATCCCGCTCAACATCACGGCCGCCGTCACCAAGTACGCTCCCATCCTCACCCGCCACCATACGTCAAGGGTCCCCAAGGAGACCCCAATCATCACCAAAGACTCAGGTCCCCGAACTACCACCCTGGTTGACCCAACTCCCCTCCTACGTCCCCAAGTTGCCCTACTGCCAGGGCTATTTCCCCCGCAACCTGCCCCCGTCCAACTGGCCCTGTCTTCAGTGCTACACGCAGCCCGAGTGGAGCCGGTATCGGCAGTCGTGGATCAAGAGGTATCGGGAGCATCATCCGGAGGCGGTGAATCTGGAGGAAGCGGAGGAGATGAGTGGGGTGGCTCTCATCCCGGGGAGGGTCGGGTTGGTCAACGTCGTGCGGGAGATGGGGAGGATGGAGGGGGTAGGAGGGGGCGAGTCGGGGGAGTTGCGTGGGAGGGGGAGGGGTGAAGGAGATGGGTGAAGAGAAGAGACGGATTGAAATATCTGTCGACACCATCAAGATCTAGCATTCGAAAAGTCCCACTTTGTGGTGCAGCTTGTGTACGTGCTAATTTGACAGCAAACGAGCCTTGGTCGGCGACACAAATTGCTCAACAACGTCCCACACCCAGAGAGAGGTCAATATCTCAAATATGTTTGTACCTGAGTCACCATTGCAGTCACACGCTGCCTCGCAGCGCCATTGGCGTTCTGAATCGAGGACAAACAGTCACAGCCCTGGGTCAAGGGATACTGGAACTTTGTCCATATCTGCGGCCACCATGCTTCACTTCACTCTCTTTCGAACCTGGGTCTTTACAAGAACTGGCAACACTCCAGTTCCTATCCAACAAAGAACCCGCGTTGACGGTGTAAGGGCGACTGCGATGCTCCGACATCACGAACTCCTCGCCCTCCTTCGAGCTCTTATGCTCACCCGAGGCGCCAGGGCCTCCGAGCAGCGCTGCTATTACGACGTCGATAGACTCGCTCCTTCAGAGTTTCTACCATGCTACACCAGCGCTGACACCTCCAAGCACACATGGTGCTGCAAGAAGGGAAACAAGTGCATGGAGGAAGGGACGTGCTGGGATCGCGCTACGGGGGTCACGTATCAGTATGGCTGTACGGATTCGGAATACAAGGATGCGAAGTGCCCGAAGAAGTGTGGGTTAGATACTTGTGAGTGCGAGATGCACAGTGCTTGGTTGGAATTAGGGAGAGCGGATGAGGCTGACAATGTGAAAGCGATAAGCAATTGGGTGGGGTTGGTATTCTGCGGAAGCAATGAGTGGGTAAGTGGAGACTCCATCAGGTTCAAAAGGAAGACGCTGACTTGGTGCCAGATATGCCACCATCCTGACAACTGTGGCGATAGTAGCTCATGCCCTTCTCATTGGGCCTGGGATCCACTGCTGGAACGGCCTCCGGGGGGCCAATGCTATGCGCTAAATCGAGATCTCAGGGCCTTCGAAGCGGGTTCGCCCCTACAAGATATCATGTTCCTGCCTTCCTCAGATGACAAAGTGGAGAGTTACCTGGCAGAGCATCCGATTAGCACTACTGACGAGCCTGTGGTCACGACGAATAGCAGGACGCGCAAAGCCGGTTCGACATTTCACACCTCCACGACGGGGTCTACCACCGGTAGCGAGACAAGTGGGTCAGACACGCTCTCAGTGACGTCGACGGTGTCGACGAGCGCAACGGAGGCAGCTTCGAGTCTTCCTGTTAGTCCTAGTCCCGCGGGTGAGTTAAGGGCTCCATCCCACCCTAAACTGAGCGATAGGGCGGTCATAGCACTGGGAACATGTCTTCCTCTGGTAGTCGCAGGCGGTGGTTATATCCTTCTCCATTGGCTCAAGAAACGGAGGAAGATGATCAATCAACGTGCACCGCGCACTCCCAGTCCTGAAATGGACGAATATGTGGGAGGTGGCCGACCCAGTGGAGCGCATGCGAGCTCTCCGGACGCAAGATATACGCACAAGTCGGAAGATGCATACGGAGAGTCTTTCCAGCAGACCCTTTGGCCTGCGTCTGCTCAGCCCTCGGAGTTGATTGCTTCGACGATGGGTGAGCGGTCGCGGGTGCATTCGCGGATTCAGTCGCGTATCAGTCTTCACATCAGTCCGCCTACGAGTCCACCTACGAGTCCACCTACGAGTCCACCTACGAGTCCACTTATGAATGAGGGACAGCCTGTTTACGGGGACCCTGCTGTAAGTCAGGGGTTGGGCCATCCTAGGGCTTCGGCTATGGTATCACCCCTGGGATCAGAATACACGGGCGATGAGACGAACCGGTCGTCCAACTGGGGGTCCCGCATCAGTGGGTGCGACGAGTCTAGAGTGGTGTCCGGGATGAGGCACTATGGGGAAGAGGGTAGCCCATGTGATGTGCAGGCGGATGAGCATTTAAGGTCGCCGGCTAGCGCGCCGAGCAGTTCTGTCTATGAGCTTTCAGAGCTCTCTGCATAGCCGACACATGATTACGAAGGGTTGTTGAAACAACAGAGCTGTTGGATGAGGGTGGGGAATGGGAGGGTAATGGGATATCTTGGAGGCAATGCAATAACTTTGAACGCCAATGTAAGTTTATGGGAGGGGTTCCCTCTAACAAAGGCGCGAGAAACGAGAAGAAGTAAGCGGTAGGTGAAGGGAGGAAGGGCTGTAGTTTAAAGGAAGTGAATGGCATAATATCTGCTTTAGTACAGGTCCAGGGTGAATTCGGAAGCACGACAAAAAGTGATTGAGGATAGACTACAGAGTAGAAATCTTTCCACGGGACCTGGAGAAGACGGGACCTGTGCAGCAAGTCAAGGGGGAATTGAGAATGGGGAGATGTTGTGAAGGGGTGTGGCGCATAGATAGATCGGATAGAGGTTGTGGCTAGTGAGGGGCTTCTCCCCTTTCTCATCCGGATGTAGGGACCAAACCAACAAATCCGCCTCCCTTAAAAGAAGAATGTCAGTCTTGTTTTGCGTGATTGTGAAGTGACAGCAGATCAAGACTAATCGAGAACTCGCACTGCATATTACTGTATTATGGCTGAGGAGGATATCAGGAGATATCTTTCCAGAAAGCTAGAGTGACGTCAAGGCAACCCCAACCCCTCCCCGGCCCCCGCGGTTCCAGACCGAATGAAACCTTCACTTCGCACCACCCGTAAGCTACATACACCACAACACTCGTACCACCACCACCGGATTCCCATGGCAGCCCGGCAGGGTAAAGCAACCGCGACTAACAGACTGGACCGAGTGTCAGCTAGCATCAGGCCACCGGCACTCTACCACCCCTAGTCACCCTCACCCCTCTCCTCGCATACCACATGCACTCCCAACACGGCAATGGGTGAACCGTCTCACTGCTCATGGCATCGCCCTTGCCCTCACCACTGTGTATATAACCCCTCGTCACCGGCCCCTCTCCTCTCCTTCCCTCACTTCACTTCTTTGATTTCGTCCTGTCTTCCGCTCTACAAAACCAATTGACCTCGACTCACCAAAAACACACCAACACACACTACAACACAATGTCACAACCTGAGATCCCCAAGGAACAATGGGCTCAGGTTTTTGAAAAGACGGGCGGCCCCGTCGAGTACAAGAAGATCCCCGTCAAGACCCCCGGCCCCGATGAGGTCCTCGTCAACATCAAGTACACTGGCGTCTGCCACACCGATCTGCACGCTTTGAAGGGCGATTGGCCTCTGGTGAGCTCCCTCATCCAATCCCACTCTTCGCTTGCTGACCAGAAAATAGGCGACAAAACTCCCCCTTGTTGGCGGCCACGAAGGTGCAGGCGTCGTCGTAGCAAGAGGCGAGCTCGTCCATGACGTTCAGGTAAGCAATCCCGCTTCGCTGCAACCTTCACGCCGAGTGGTAAACCAACAACGTCTCATCACCAGATTGGAGACCATGTCGGCGTCAAATGGCTCAACGGCTCCTGCCTCGCCTGCGACTTCTGCATGCAGGCCGACGAACCCCTCTGCCCAAAGGCTCTGCTCTCCGGCTACACCGTAGACGGTTCGTTCCAACAGTATTGCATCGCCAAGGCGGCGCATGTCGCCCGCATTCCCAAGGAGGTTTCCCTCGATGGAGTGGCGCCTGTCCTCTGCGCCGGCATCACTGTCTACAAGGGATTGAAAGAGTCGGGCGCGAGACCGGGCGAGACCGTCGCCATTGTCGGTGCCGGCGGTGGGCTGGGCAGTCTGGCACAGCAATATGCAAAGGCCATGGGCCTCAATGTCATCGCCATTGATACCGGCGAGGACAAACGGAAGATGTGCCTGGAGCAACTGGGCGCCTCCGCCTACGTCGATTTCGCCAAGAGCAGCAACGTCGTCGAGGACGTACGGAACGCGACCGAGGATAAGACCGGTCCCCATGCCGTTCTCCTCCTCGCCGTCACAGAGAAGCCCTTCCAGCAAGCCGCCGAGTACGTCAGGCCAAGGGGCAGCGTCATCGCCATCGGCATGCCTGCCGGCGCCTATCTGCGCGCACCCGTCTTTGGCACCGTCGTCAAGATGATCTCCATTAAGGGCTCGTACGTCGGTAACCGCAAGGATACCGCCGAGGCCATTGAGTTCTATCGTCGCGGACTCATCAACGCCCCCTTCAAGGTTGCCGGTCTGAGCGAGCTGCAGTCTGTCTTTGATAAGATGGAAAGGGGCGAGATCGCCGGGAGATATGTGCTGGATACTTCGCGCTAGATGAGGCGATATCGGGGCGTGCTTTGGTGTTTGGCGTTTGATAGAGGCGGTGCTGGGCTGCTAAAACGGCGGCATGCTTGATGAATTGATGATGACGAGGGAAAAGGCGTGGATACCGCCTGTGATGGAAGTGCGGATTGGCGGGATTTCTGACCGACTCTGATAGACTGCTGCGTCGGTAATGGAAATGTAATATGCAATGTTCAGAAGTAGAGCTTGAAAAACAGTGCTTGATACAACCTTGCCGCAGTATGCCAATCCTTTCGACAATCAAAAGGCCCATGCTATGACCCGACGACTCCATATACACTGCGGTCCGTCTCCTTTATATTATGCATCAATCTGGATTCGCCAAACACGCTTAAGCTTACGTTTGGACCTGCCGAGAACATATCCACAAGAAGGCAACGACGTCAGTACACTCTTCTTGACCACGCCTAATGATCCTTTCACTTCCTACTCCTACTCTTCCTCCTCCTTCCTCTTCCTCCGAAACGGCCGCATCAATAACCTCAAGCTCGGAATCGGCGTGAGTATCAAGGGTACCCTGCCCACCCACGTCAACCCTTCCGACTCCACCTCGAGCCAATCCTTCTTCTCCTCTTCCGCTCTCTTCTGCGACCGCACTGCTCTTCGCTTCGCAGTTTGAGTTTCTGCTTCCACTTCCTCCTCCGCTCCGTCATGTTTGGCAATGCGCGGAGTCGGCGCCGATATCACGGGCGTCGCAACCCCAGTATTACCCTTGATCACCTCCTGGATACTCGGCGCCTCCTCCCTCACTGCCTCCCTCGTCGCCTCCTTCTGCGCCTGCGTCTCCGTGCTGAGCGCCACCCTCCTCCTCCTCCTTCTCTCCTCCAAAACCTCCCCTTCCTTCCCCCTGTCTTCCCGTACCGATATCCTCCTCATGCGCAGATAGGCCTTGACGACTTCGGCCTTGACCTCATCACTGTGCGGATCCTCGCCCATCAGCGCGGCGCGCAGGGCCGGTACGCGTGGCGAGAAGAAGGTGTGCGTGCCTGTCGAGAGGCGGTAGGTTTCTTGGCAGAGGAAGACGGAGGTTGCGAGGAGAAAGGCGGTGCGGGGGGTGAGGCGGGGGAGGAGATGGACTGGTTGGGGTGGCATTGTTCGGATCTAATGGTAGGGTGGGTCCTTTTGGGAAGGAGAGATAGAGCGAGAGAAAGGAGAGACACCGGTCGAGAGGTAATTGGTTTTGAAGTTCTGTTTAGGTGCTCGATTACACAGTAGAGGTGGAGGTGCGTCGTGGAGCGGAGCGAGGTGCGGAGGTGGCGTCGGTGGAGCAGCAAAGAATATACAGGACACAACACCAAATACAACTTGTATACAGAAGCCAATGAATAGGACGGAGTGCAGACAAGTGCAGTAATGTGTCGTCTGCTCGTCTAGCTCAATGTTATCAAAACCAGCTATGTAGTTAGTCGTTTCTCTTCATCAACGAACGTCTGCTGCCAAGCCTCGCTTTTCCCCAATTCCTGCGCCGATCTCAGCCCTGCCATCTATCCATCAACGCCAAACTTTCATCTTCCTCCTCAATACTTTACGCGCCACCACGCGCCCCCACCCCACACCCCCCCCCCCCCCCCCCCCCCCCCACCGGCGACGGCGAGAAGAACCATGGACACCGACCTCGCGAACCTCGAGCTCCTCGCCCTCGTCTCCAAAATCTCCTCGGAAATCGAGAACCACCTGGGCGTCTCGGACAAGACGCTCGCCGAGTTCGTCATCGACCAGCATGGCCAGACCAAGAGCCTGGCGGAATTCAAGCAGCGTCTGGTGGACCTGGGGGCCGAGTTTCCGGAGAGCTTGGTGGAAAGTATCGATAGGCTTTGTTTGAGGCTGCATCCGAGGTATAAGAGGGAGAAGGAGGGTAGTAGGGATCATGGAGAAGGGGTGAGGGAAGAGGACGAGCAGGTGGATGAGAGGGAGAGGAAGACGAGGGTTTTCAAGGGGTTGGCGATTCCGGATAGGGAGGTGGTGTTTGGAGACGACGAGGATAAGCCTGGGATGGAGAATGGTGCGGATGCGGAGACCAAAGGCGATGCGCTGGATGATACGTTTGCCATGTTGGAGGGCCTGGCGGGGAAAGCGGGCGGTGCTTCACGGCCGAAGAAGCAGAATGGATCGAGGAAGCGCAGTATAAGTCCCCAGAGCGATGATCTGGCCGAGGACAGGGATCGCAGCAACCGGAGTAAAAGGCACAGATATCGGTCGGAATCGCGATCGCGGTCGCGCAGTCCGAGGCGATCGCGAAATGACGAGTTACTGTTCGAGGACGAGTTTGGGCGCACGGTACCCGTAAGGAGAAGTGATAGGGATGACAAGCGGAGGCGGAGCAAGTACAGAGACGAGGAGGAGGAGGAAGAACGGAGGAGGCGACGGAGACGGAGAGATGAAGACGACGATTTTCGACGACCGCCAACTCCCGAGATCGACGACGAGCCCGTCCTCTACAAGATCTACAATGGCAAGGTCACGGGCGTCAAGGACTTTGGTGTCTTCGTGAATCTGCAGGGCGTCAGGGGGAAGGTGGATGGCCTGGTGCACGTCACCCAGATGCAGGAGGGTGCCCGGGTCAACCACCCCTCGGATCTCGTCTCCAGATGGCAGGACGTCAAGGTCAAAGTCATCAAGTTGGAGGGCGGGCGCGTGTCTCTATCTATGAAGGAGGTGGATCAGGTGAGTGGCCGCGATTTGGCGCCTATGCGGAGGATTGGGGCAGCTTCTGGTGCCAATATGCAGGCCCTGGGCGGTGCACCTGACGTCGTACCCATTATTGAAGACGATGGGTTGTATGGCAGAAAAAATGGCATGAGGAAGCGGTTGACGTCGCCTGAACGGTGGGAGATCAAGCAGTTGATTGCTTCGGGCGTGATACCCAAGTCGGAGTATCCGGACATTGATCAGGACTATAATGCTGCTATCAATGAGGCGGGTGAGATTGAAGAAGAGGAAGACGTCGACATCGAGGTCAGAGATGAGGAGCCACCTTTCCTGGCGGGTCAAACAAAGCAGTCCCTGGAGCTGTCACCCATCCGCATAGTGAAAGCTCCCGAGGGTACGCTGAATCGCGCAGCCATGGCGGGCGAGACCTTGGCCAGGGAGCGTAGGGAACTGCAACAACAAGAAGCGGCTGAGAGAGCTGCGAAGGAGGCAGAGCAGGTCGATCTCAGCAGTCAATGGAACGATCCGATGGCGCAGAAACGACAGTTTGCCTCTGACCTGCGACATGCACGAACGAATCAAAAGACGGAGGAGATGCCCGAGTGGAAAAAGATATCTACGGGGAGAGAGTCGTTTGGCAAGCGCACGAACATGAGCATCAAGGAACAGAGGGAGAGTCTCCCCGTATTCAAATTCAGAAAACAGCTGTTAGAAGCTGTGGCTCAGCATCAGATCTTAATCGTGGTCGGCGACACGGGAAGTGGAAAGACGACGCAGCTGACGCAGTATCTGGCGGAGGCTGGATATGCGAATGAGGGCATGATCGGGTGTACGCAGCCGAGACGTGTGGCTGCTATGAGTGTAGCAAAGCGTGTTGCGGAGGAGGTCGGCTGCGTGCTGGGTGAGGAGGTTGGATATACGATTCGGTATGTATTTCATTCCATTTTTGAGATATGCAGGGGACTAACGTGAGTTCAGATTCGAAGACAAATCCAATCCCGCCACGACACGCATCAAGTACATGACCGACGGTATCCTGCAGAGAGAGATCCTACTGGATCCCATGCTATCCAAGTACAGCTGCATCATGCTTGATGAGGCTCACGAGCGCACCATTGCCACCGATGTCCTGTTTGGGTTGCTGAAGAAGACGCTCAAGAGGAGACCGGACATGAAGCTCATCGTCACCAGCGCCACCTTGGATGCCGACAAGTTTTCAGAGTACTTCAACAAATGTCCCATCTTCTCCATCCCAGGACGGACTTTCCCGGTCGAGATCATGTACAGTCGCGAACCGGAATCGGATTATCTGGATGCCGCCTTGGTTACTGTCATGCAGATCCATCTGACGGAGCCACCTGGAGATATCTTGCTCTTCCTCACGGGTAAGGCGGAGATTGACCAAGCATGCGAGATTTTGGAAGAGCGCATGAAGGCATTGGGACCATCGGTCCCTCATCTCGACATTCTCCCCATCTATGGCGCCTTGCCGTCCGAAGTTGCAAGTAGAATTTTCGAACCTGCAGCTCCCGGCACCCGCAAAGTCGTCATTGCCACCAATATTGCGGAGACCAGTCTCACCATCGATGGCATCTACTACGTCGTCGATCCTGGCTTCGTCAAGCAGTCCAGCTACGACGGGAAACTGGGCATGGACCGACTGCAGGTAACGCCCATCAGTCAGGCCCAGGCGAGGCAGCGGAGCGGACGAGCCGGTCGGACCGGGCCGGGCAAGTGTTTCCGCCTGTATACTGAGCAGGCTTATAACACGGAGATGCTGCCTACGACTGTCCCCGAGATTCAAAGACAGAATTTGTCGAACACCATTTTGATGCTCAAGGCCATGGGCATCAATGATCTCCTCCACTTTGACTTCATGGATCCCCCTCCCACCAACACGATGCTTACAGCTTTGGAGGAGCTCTACTGTCTCGGAGCACTAGACGACGAAGGCCTCCTCACTCGCCTTGGCCGCCAGATGGCCGATTACCCCACCGAACCCGAACTCTCCAAGACTCTCATCAAGTCGGTCGAGTTGAACTGCTCGGACGAAATCCTCACCATTGTCGCCATGATTTCAGGCACCCAGAACATCTTCTACCGCCCCCGCGAGAAGCAACAGCAGGCCGACCAGAAGAAGGCCAAATTCCACGATCCGACGGGCGACCACATCACTCTCCTGAACGTCTACAACGCCTGGAAGGCCTCCAACTACTCGACACCCTGGTGCATGGAGAACTTCATCCAGCCCAAGAGCATGGCGCGCGTGCGCGACGTGCGCGGCCAGCTGCACATCATCATGCAGCGGCACAAGCACGCCCTCGTGTCGTGCGGGCGCAACACGCAGAAGATCCGGCAGGCGCTCTGCAGCGGCTTCTTCCGCAACAGCGCGCGCAAGGACCCGTCGGAGGGATACAAGACGATTGTCGAGGGCACGCCCGTGTACCTGCACCCGTCGTCGGCGCTCTTCGGCAAACCGGCCGAACACGTCATCTACCATTCGCTCGTCGAAACGACCAAGGAGTATATGCACGTGTGCAGCGTGATTGAGCCCAAGTGGCTGGTGGAGGCGGCGCCGACGTTCTTCAAGGTGGCGGGCACGAAGCTGGGGGAGATGAGCAAGAGGAAGAAGGCCGAGAGGATCCAGCCGTTGCATAATCGGTTTGCCGGCGAGGATGACTGGAGGTTGTCGGCGCAGAAGAGGCAGGGGAGGGGTGGGGGTGGGACGTGGGGTTAGTGGTGTTTGTCGTGCTGGTAAGGTGGGAGATGTTTGGGTAGCGTTTATATGTTCAGGATACCATTTGTCTGTCGTTGTACCCTGTGTATATTCATCTTATACCAACTACGGGGTTGTGACAAGGGAAATTACATTCTCCGCAATCGTTGCACTGTTCATTAGTTACGAGCTGAGGAACCACATGTTGACGGCAACAGATATATACAGCACATGAGCAGTTCTTAGAATGTGGCATGATTGATTGATATTTCATTGACCGGTTGCCTTCGGGAAGGGAAAGCAGAATCAAAGACTTTTGATAAACGCCAAATGCATCCATCCATACTCGCCCGCTGAATTGCAGTGACAAAGTGAGTAAGGGGGACCCAGGAGCCCCATCGCAGAAGAGGGAAGGAAATGACAAAAAAGAAGAGCCCGCTGTTGCCGAAGGTGAGAGATTGGAAGATGCTCCTTCATCTCAAATTCACTCAGCAGAGTCGACTTCCAGATGACGCCTGCCGACTCAGTCGTTGTAGTTCACCACACCCGCACCATCCTTGTTCGCCTTGCGCAACCCGTACCTCTCGGCCAAATCGTCCTCCTGACTCTTACTGTTCGGATCCAGATACGGCTTCTCGGCCTGGCAGCACACGCGCACCGCGTGCCGCCGATGGGGCGCGAAGCCGTAGGAAGCCGAGTGATTCTATTTCCAGGCTGTTAGAATACATAATAGGAGGACTGTAGAAAAGGGGAAAAGACGTACGCAAACCCGATTATCCCAAAACGCCACATCCCCTTCCCCCCACTGGAACCGCACCTGGATCTCCGGGCTCGTGGCGACAATCTCATTCAGCAGGGCGATGATGGCGTCGCTCTCCGTCTTGGGGACGCCGACGATCTTGGTGACGAAGCCCGGGTTGAAGAAGAGGCTCTTCCAGCCCGTGACTGGGTTGGTTCTGACTAAGGGGTGCTCGGTGGTGACGGGTTCGCGGCGCACGGTGCGGCCCAGTTCGCGCGAGCCCTGGGCTTGCAGGTCGGCCGAGTGCAGCGCCGTGAGGGATTCGAGATATTTCTGCATGGCGGGCGAGAGCATGTCGTAGGCGGCGTATTGCGAGGACCAGAGCGTGTCGCCGCCGCCGCCGCGGGGCGGGCCCGTCAGGACTTTGAGGGATGTGTACGAGGGGGGTTGGACTTCGTAGGTAACCTTTGATATTATACTGTTAGTTTTTGTTGTTCGTCGGGGGATCTAAAAGCTACGTTGGTGGAAGAGGAGGCAGTGATCACGTGAAGGGACAATTCACACTTACATCGCTGTGCCACAAGAACGTCGGCGTGAACAACGCCCTCAGATCCGGACTATCCTCCCCCGTGTACACGACATGTACATCCTCCAGGCCCTCCCTCCGCGGACAAGCCGTAGTCGCATGCTTATGCAATTCCCCGAAATACCTGCCCAGCTCCCGCTGCTTCTCGATGTCGAAGTTCTTCTGGTTACGGAAGAAGACGACGCCCCGTGTGGCGATCAGACGAGCGAGATCGTTCTTCTGCAGGTCCGTGAGGTTGGCCAGGTCGATGCCGTGGATCTCGGTGCCGATCTTGGGGTTATAGTCGAAGACGTCGGTGGCCGAGGAGAGGAGGTGCTTGAAGTTGGGGTCGCCGAGGAGACCCTTGTCTGAGTAGGGGACTCCGGTCAAGGGAGGCCACTTGACGTCTGGGAAGCGAGGGCGGAGGTCTTCGTAGGGGTAGGTCTCGTCGTGCTTTTTGACAGGCGAACGACCTGGGGTATAGTTGAGGGCGTTGGTCCTGAGGGACGGTTTCAGCCCCACCAGAGAGGTGCCATTGGATTCGGGGACGGTAGGCTCGACCAGGCCGGGTGCCATGGTGCGGGATGTATGCAGTGGTCTCGGGAAGAAGCGTATTTAGTAGAGTAGGAGGGGAGTAGACAGTACAGTGGTACAGACGCCTGGAAACAGTGAAGGCGCGCTCCGTAGGGATGTAACAAGCCCGGTAGAAAATGACTTGATGACAGACAGAGGAATAGGAAAATGAACCTGAAGGTGGATTATTGGTTGGAAGTGTCTTATAGCAGAGTAATAGAGAGAAAGGGACAAAGAAGAACTCACACCCTCCTTTATAGCAGAGATAACACAAGTGACTGTACCTACCCAGAGTAAGCCAGGCATGAAGTCACTGAGAGTCATTCTAATCGATGGCGCCATCGCACACAATCACCCTTGAACTCTGACAATCCATGTCGGCACACTATTACCCTCATACCTAGCGGTCTTCGTTGCGGCGGCATCTAACCAGAACATGCAGGCACAACCAGACCGAAGTCTGGGGTACCGGGGACGAGGCCGAAGACGGAACATGCACGGTCATGCATCCGAGCATGCGTGCATCGAGATTTCAAAGCGTTGCTGTAACGGTCATGTAGGTAGGTCTATATCCGGTTGGGCCTTCGAGGGGGCTAGATATGGCCATCCGGGAGTAGTGTCTCTGCCGCACTTGCGTGACGTTGAACAGAACAGCAAAGGCTGTAGCCACCTTGCCCATCGAATGGAAAAGGTACAAAAGGGTATTCCTTCGGATTTCACGTCCCTTTCATCATCTCCATATCGATAACTGATTGTCCAACATGGCCATGGCCTCCCTGTGGCGGTGATGTGGCGGGTATCTCCTGTTTAGCGGGGGAGTTGAGAGCACGTCAGATGGCGCAATCCACCAAGTCCACCAAGTCCAACCTGACCCCAGTTTATCAAACGGGCACAGTCGCCGCCCGACAATCGAAGTCGAACTACCTGCAGATCCTCTTCACCGCAATTCCTCGAATCCGGAATTTCGCCGTCCAGTCCTTGTCGTCGTCCTATTTTCCCCAGGTGCTTGACCATTTCTCAGCATAATAATTCTATAGCCGTCAGCAGAAGAACTGCGGTCCTGGCTCGAACATCTTGCATATCTACTGTGCATGTCCTCTCCCATACTTAGTCCACGCTCCGGTAATCCAGCTGCTTCCCCTGTGGAGCATCTGTCATGGACGGCACTTCATGCAAAGGGCGGATAATACTGAATGCCAGCTGAATGTAAACAAATGCCTCTCCAAAGGACACAATGTGCGCAATATGCCCAAGACGATCCAGGTAAAGGCTGTAAACACAGGGTTCCCCCTCTGGAATGCATTCATACGTCGCCAATCACATGGTCACCGACACCGGAGAAAGCGGCGATAAGCTTCTCGGGACGAGAGGAGAGTTCCGTGCGGAGAGTAAGGTTGGGTGCTGAGTAGAAGCTGCAGTCGGCTAAAGAATGAGCGGTGCTGTAGCTGCGCCAATTTGGATTAAGATATACAATGAATATAAAATCCAATCACCTAGTCATGGCAGCGTACCAACCTTTTGCAGCCGTAACTGACCAAGCGCCAGAACACCCCTAGGCCCCTTCAACCGAAACCGGCGCCGAACGCACAAGATCCATTGATCCAACCTTGGGGATCCTCGAGTATCCCGAATAATGACATTCAATAACACAACAGCCACGCCTATGCCGCCCAGCTGTTTCTCTTTTGCCCAAACCAGACCCCAAACGCGGTAATGAGGAAGAGTAGCAATGCTACCCACCGGAGGGTCCACCATACCCACTGTGAGGTGGAGGAGGGGGCGCTTTGATAGACGTCAGAGATCCACTCATGCTGAGAAACCGCCGGAGCGAAATGAGAGGGCACGGTTCAGAGGAACAAGCTGTAATGAGAGCTGAAAGAAGAGATGGAAGATGTGAAAGACGGACAACTTATTGCTGTTGTTCTTTTTCGTACCCCGCTGGTTTCTCCTTTCCCTTGACTTCGTAATATCTGGACAGGCAAGAGTACCCATTCCAATCAAAGTTATCCTTGGGGTTGCAGTGACATTTGTGTTGCAACCGATATTCTTCTCCGGTAGGGCAGTGCGTGAAGGGAACGTGATAGTACGCGATATCGTTGAAGAAATGGATCTCCTCCTTTTTTAGCATGAGCGCAGCAGCGATGGAGTGCACCGGCGCATCGCCCCAGCGCTCGTAGAAAAACCCGCCAGCATGGTCGAGAGAGTTGAAATAGTCGAGATAGGCTTTGGAGCGGAGCCAATTCAGGTTGCCTATCTCAAAGTTGGACCACTAAACGCGGTTAGCGATTCATACTTCTCTGCGCATGGGACACACGAGGGGCGACAAACAAAGTGGCAGTGGTTATACGTCTTGCCGTCATCATCACTGAGCCAATTCATCATATTGCCCTCGACAATATGCTCTGGGTGAGCCTTGGTGAAGTTCTTGACCGCATCCCATAGCGTAGGGATCGTCTCGACGTACTCGTACAAGCTGAGTACAAAACTGTATTTCTTCTTATTGTCGGCCATATATTGGAACGGGTCATAGTCGATGTCGCAAAAGAACTCCACGCTAGGTTCTACGCGCCAATACCACTCATAGTCCAGCATCAAAGGGTGCCGGAAGAAGAATCCGGACTCGTAGCGGCACATGTGTCGGTAGCTGATGGAATCGCCATAGATGATCTTGGCTTCCTTCATCTGCTCGCGAACCTTGGCGGCGCGGTCCTGATCGATGAAGTCGGGGAACGACCAATGTTCGGTGGGAATACGCCCATATTTGGTTTTCCCAGAGACTAACGCCGAGGTAACTTTCTTGAACTCGTCATCAAAGTCGTCATCATTCAAAAAGACCCAGTCGTAGTTGAACTTGCGATTGAAGCGGTCTTCGACGTGCCGGATCGATTTGGCAATCTCCCAGAGATCGCTGTTGCGGGCAAGTGTCACAAACGTGGCATTCATACGACCGCCGGCGGCCGTGGCGGGAGGCGGCGAGGACCCGGTATTGGGGGTGGTTGGCGGCTTCTCCGGGCTGGTGATAGAGCCATTGGCAGCCGGGTTGGTGATACTCGGCCATGATGATGGCCCAGACGAGGAAGAGGATATGAAGAAAAGAAGAATGAGACACTGCTTAGCGTCAGCTGGGGAAAGTTCTTTGCACGACACCAAACTGAAAGGGCCACGCGTACGACGAGAGCGAAGACAATATATCGCAGATATCGCTGGGAGTTTGCCATGGCGCGGGGAGACCGAGGCGCGCTCGACGGCTGGGCCTTCTCCGGAACTGTGGGGTCCTCCAGCTTGCTAAGTGTGGACTTGAGCGTCCTTGGGAGGCGTGGATGGGGCGGAGAAGCTGTCTTGCGACGACGTGCGGCGCTCAATATCCGGCGCCTCCAGGTATTTGCGGTGCGGTGCTGGGAGGAGCTGAGGACCCGGAAATAGCGGGCAATTTAGGAAGTCAAGGGCGAAGCTGCACAGAAGCGGCGCATCACCGAGACGGCTGGAGGTGAAAACAGTTAACTGAAGGGGTTGCAAGGGAGAAGAAGCACATGTGGTAGAAAAGGGAGTCCGTCTGCTCGGTGGTAGCAAAGGGAATGTGGTTCAAGACACGAACACGAATGGCCACCGCCCATTTAGGACTAGCTCCGCCAAGCTCACCTTTGCAGGGAGCAACTCCCACTCCACCATGGTCACTATCACGACGTTGTTTGACAGAACATTCCTTGGGTGAGGTTCGACAGGGCGCACCCCTCCTACCTTCGCATTCTTGACTTACTGTTACTCTCTGTTGCGTCGATGCGGACATTTTCTCCGCGTCTTACGTCATTGCCCCGTTGCCTCCCAATTCTCACTTTCGAGACACCCCCTCCGCTATTACCCGTCTTCGACTACCTTTGACGCCCATCTGTCTCCGGAAGGCGCTGCCCGACATGTCCTTTTTCGGCTTCGATACGACGCTTCCCCGCGATCATAGCCATTCTGCCCGTGCGCCCGGCTTCGGCCAGCCCGCAGACCCTTTCGCAAGCCTCAGCGGTGGCGCTGCCGACGACGAGATGTATGTACCCGCGCGGAGCTCTCGGAAACGGTGCAGCTAACATCCTGTGCCAGAATCGACTTTGAGGATACTTATGACGGACTGGGCGACCAGCTCGACGATGCCGACGACGCCCTTAATGACGATACCTTTGGCGGAGGGCCGGCCACCCAGCAGACCGTTGGCAAGGACTTTGACTTTGCCGGCCAGACCTCCAAGATCGCCAACACTCTCCAGGAGGAGCAGATGCTTTTTGAAGCACGCAACCTGCGGAAGCCCCCTCCGGTCCAGGCATCCAAACCTGCCAGGACCGGCTACGAGAGCTACCATGACCCTGACTACATTCCACAGCTGGAGGCGCGTGCCGATATCTGGGGCCTGCAGCCGAAACAAGTTCCCCAGCAGAAGCAGCCCGAACCCCAGGCTCCTTCAGCGCCAGCAAAGAAGATGATGAGCCTGGATGAGGTCGAGGCTATGATGCGTGCTCAGACTGCAAGTCAGACGACTGCTGCCCCTCCGGTACAGCCCGCTCCTGCGCAGATCCCTCCATCTGTGCCGATGCGACACCAGCAGCAAATACAGCACCACGGGGCTCAAGACCAGTTTGCCCCGCAGATTTTGCAGGCCCCGCATCAACAACAGCCCAGTTTCAGTCAGCAGCAAGCACACGCAGAGTTGCCGGCCCATCCTGTGCAAATCCAACCTCCTCGCCAACCTGCCGCGATGCAGAGACAGAGACAGACGCCGGATAACGCAGGTCAGCAGCCTAGGTATGCGGCGCCCCTTCCAAGTGCTCAACGACCGCCGTCCCAGCCCAGGCAAATTCTGCAGAACCCGAATCGCCTTTCAGGCCAGGGATTGCCCGTCATGCCACCGCCAACGGGGCCTCGCGGAGCACTCCCAGTTCACAGTCGCGGACCGTCTTTCCCAAGCATGGCCATCACCCCCGACCAGCTGATGCAGATGCCCGAGGAACAGCGACTGGCTTATCTGGAAGAGGAGGCGAGGCGTGCTAAGCGGAACCATAAGATTGCGCTGCTATCAAAGGACAATGGATTGATGACTCCCCAGGACAAGAATTTCATCACTCGCATTCAATTGCAGCAATTGATGGCTGCAACGGGCGGTCTTGAAGAGGCACGGTCCGAGGCTGCGCTCGCCGAAGACTTCTACTACCACGTCTTTTCCCAGATTCGCGGAGCTCACAGGCAGACACCCCAACAACCGGCCAATCAGTTTGCACAAACCTATCTGTTTCAAACCAACAGCAGATTTGGTGCTGGTCGCCGTCATGGCCGTGGCGGGGACAATCATATGCAACGCATGGAGCAACAAGTCCAGCGTGCCGTAGAAGCTGCAAAGGCAAAGCCGAAAAATAAGCAGCTGGTCATTGAAGGCAGCTTGGGCAAAATCTCCTTCAGTAACTCGAAAACGCCCCGCCCCCTGCTGAATATCAAGCGAGCAGAGACTGGCGACAAACACCCCAAACCCCACAAATCGTCCATTGCCGATCGAAAGGAAGTGCTCAGGAATATTGAGGACGTGTATAGGGCGTTGATGGAGATCGATGACCACGAGCGGGCACTGCCCCCGCCCATCAACGAGGAGAGCAGCCCGGAGGCGATTCAAAATCACATGGAATGGCGAACCAAGTTCCAAGCATTGCACGACAAGCTTTGGGAAGCTACCAAGATCATGGAACCAATCAATCTACAGTGAGTGTGTCGTGAATTCATCCAGGGTCATATTCTTACGCGGACCAGATCTCCCACTCCACACCCTTTTATCGCTATGCTCTCTCATGCCAAGGGCAAGAAGCTCATTTCGCGACTATTCCGCCATATCGATGACCAAGAGCGTGTCACCGTCATCACAATGATTGTTGTGCACTTGGATCACCTGCCCGTTGTAAACCAGGCAATTGCAACACCCGAAGAGCCTCTGAGTCCGGCCATTCGAGAGCAGGTCGAGTTATTCGTCCATGCGGTGATACCACCTTATTTCACGCATATCCAGACTTCTCCGCTCAATATCGTCATTGGCCTTCTTGAAATTATACTTCAACGGACTAACCTGCACCTTGTTGCGCGGAGCAAGGTGGGTATGGAGATGCTGACAATCTTGCTCTCTCGAGCCGAGATACTGAAGCAGTCGGCGCCTGAGATGGATGTTACGGAGTGGGAGAAATGGACGGAGCTCTACAACCGACTCTTTGATACTGTCGAGCCTGTGCTCCCGGTTCTGTTCCCTGGGACAGTCAATGACACGGATGACAAGTACATCTGGCAGTTCCTGGCAGCAATTGGAGTGGGCGCCAGCCCAGAGCAGCAGCAGAGGCTCGTCCTTGGAGTCAAGGATCGGGTCATGGATACCGTCACGGTCAGCAGGGCACTTCCCCCGGATATGTCGGCGGCCAGATTATTCAATGTCAACCTCTTCATGAGGGCTATCGGTCTGGATGTAGAGTTGCTGGGATGAAACCCTTGCAAGGGACCGACTCAATCTCGAAGACATGGACGAATGTCACCAACACGATGCCCACTGGGCGGTAATCCGGGGCCACTGGGTCTTGCTCCGGTGCCGAGGGACAGTGCCGCAGCGCTTCTCGAGGAAGAAGCAGAGACAGGAGACAGACCAGGTCGGAAGCCTTGCCCAAGCTATATGCAGGTGGGTGAAGACGGCCGAGCGGACCAGCGACGCGCGATAGGGCAAGGGACCTCGAAGTCCGCATCCGCACATGTATTTATCCTTGCCTTGTGTCATTTCAACAAAAAACAGCTGATATCATTTGCCATTTACGCCACGGAAATAGAATACGCGTCAGTACTTGAGGGACAACGAAAGCCTACATCTCGGGCGCTCTAGTTCATTTGGTCACGTGGGCCCAACATACCGACTTGGGTAGGTACGAGGCACATTGCACCTGCATCTTCCACTCCTCTCACTGTAATCCTATTCGCCCACCCCATGAATCTGAGCCTTCAACAGCCATAATTATCCCTCAGCCCCCTTATATCTGGTCATGGAACTCGACCTCTCGGTTCCGGAGCCGTCGGTGATTGAGTACGCGAGGCTTCATGGTCTGTCGAGAGATTACAGTGCCGACCCACCACCTTTCGGCAGTGTCGTTGCTCCTTCGGACCATGACTTGAGCGAAACCCTAGGCGACTGTCCGCATGGTCCTTTCACTAATCCTGCTGACAATATGATCCGAGAGCGACTCACCGTCTCCAAGGATGCGGCTCTTCTCCTCAAATCCATGCTTGCCATGCGGGCTGTTCCGGAGGATGGGCTTCCTCTGGACAGTTGTTGGAAGCGGATGTCCCCCCTGAATCTCGAACTTCCACTTCTTCATAGTGACAATGAGACTGACCTCCAGGAGTTTGGGAATACCGACGTGCCCAGTTTCAGCAACATACGGCTCCCTCTAGAAACTGTGGATGACGAGAAAGATGAGGGGTTAGGGTGGCCAGCCGCTTACTTGGAGTATCCAAAGATCCATGATGCCGAATGTCAAGCAGAGAAATTGGCTGTCTCAAGGGGCGTTTTGTTATTCCTCCAGAAGGTTATCCATGATGACTGGGGTCAGACAGATATTGTTGATCTTGTTCATGGGGGGCAAAGTGGCAAGAGGGTTTGCGCACACAAACGTTTCATTCCCCGACAGCAACTGACCGTTGGTTCAGTTGGGTGTACAGCTTCTGACACCTCCCCTACTTCCTATATCCCCGCCCTTGACTCCTTATATTCCATCATCCCCTGGCAATCGTCTCGAACTTCTCTCAGACAGCAGCAATTCTCCGCTAGCCGAATTAAAAGTGCTGGAAGATCGCATCATGAAAGATGATACACTGTTACCAGGTCTCGATCACGAAGCCTCCGACGATTCAATGCTGCTGGATGAGGTCAGTTCCCTGCGAGAGGTTCAAGAGAAACCAGTCATGCTATCCATGAAACGAAAAGCACGCGATTGCAAAGTTGAAGGCCCACTCACGCCTCTAAACTCGGACTCTCCAAGCAAGAAACTGAAATCCGTTTCTTTCAAAGAGATGGTCTGCGAATATATCCCAGACATCACCATCGCCTTGGACTCTGGCAGTGGAAGCTCTGAAGCACTTGGCAGCGTTGATGATGTCTACAGGCAGCTAGAATCCCATGCGAAAGAAGCGACTCGAAGACTGGAGAGCGAGAAGTTATCCGAAGTTGATACCACGAAGCGTGTTGATGTTCCGCATATCGATTCCATATCCATCGTGGCTCCTTGGGATGTCTTTTCTCGGAAGGTGATGTCCCGCACCATGACAAGCGATGCCACCGAGCTGCAAGCTCAGAAACGATTCCTCACTCAGGTCAAGAGATCCGATCTCGGGGCCACACCTACGTGGCATGGGATATCCAAGCTTGATCGGGAGCTGAGCTGGGCCGTCTTCCGCAAAGAGATGGGAAGCATAGCGTTGGAAGAGAATCTGCATGGTGGGGAGCTTGTTGATAAATTGCTTACCGAGCTTACAGGAGGCAACATCGCAACGAGCTCCACTGATATCTGGCACAGAGATGGGTTGCGTATCCTTGAGGATGATAATAGTGTCGAAGAACTGGACCCTGCCGATTACGGAGCAACTGCTATTGGGAATCGCGAAGTAGGCTTAGGGCATCAATCGGCAGACGTGGAGAACCTCCGCCAGAAGACGTTTCTTGACGGCGATCCGGGTCAGAAGTCCGAATCAAGCAAGAAGATTTCTCGCCAAGGATCTTTGGCTGAGAAACCGGATGATAACACCCTCATGTTTGGGGGCAAGTTTTCTACCTCCACCGCTCTGCAGAGATTCATGGAGATACATGGAAAAGCCCGCGAGTCTCAGTCGGCCATGCAACAAACAAGCGCTCCTGGTGTGACGCCAACAGCGCCTGACCCTTCCAGCCGGAACCCGTGTGGTAGGGAGGTCACCAAACTAGTCTCACCAGAACCTCAACATGCTGGTGCTTCACGGAACCGATCCCATCAAGAGCCGAAACTTCCTCTAAAACTACCGGAGATACCAAAGCACCTGCCAGCCTGCTCGTACATAATGTCGTTCACGTTGCTCAGGCAGCGTAATCTATCCCGGGAAATAAAAGCGCTGTATCCTTCCGCTCACATCATAGAAAGAGACTTTACGCTACCCCACTCGCCAAGCGACGAGGCGGATCTGCTTCTCTCCCCTTCCACCGGGCTCATCTGTACAACACTGCAACAAATCAAGCAAACGGCACTTCCCGGCCAACCTGATCGAGCATTCGTCAAAGAGCGGCTGTCAACGTTAGCAGCAAGATATGAAAGGCTGATTGTGCTTATCAGTGAGGGATTGAGCGTGGAGGCAGAGTCGTATGGTCGTGGGTCTCTGCACGCTGTTGATGCTCGTGACAGAGACGCCATGGCTCAGTTTGGCAACTTCGCATCCAAGATGGATGTCGAGGTTTTCACTGTTTTCGTTCGGGGTGGGGAGCAAGCTCTTGCAAGGGCCATTGTCAACGAAATGGTAAAGTGGGGACTTCCTCATGGATTCAAAGACCTTGGTGATCTGAGATTATTAGAGGACGAGACTACAGTACGTCACTCGCCCCTTTGCACATTTACATTGCGTAAAACTGATTCCTTACAGTGGGAAGTATTCTTGAGAAGAGCCGGGTTGAACCCTTTTTCTGCTCAAATCATTCTCGCCTCCTTCAAGCACCCTTATGACATGCCGCTTCGTGCAGGTTCCCCCTACTCCGCTGGTGAATCCCAAGAAGTCCTCAAAGTATATGGACTCCCCGCATTCCTCCTTCTCGAACCAGAAGAACGCATCACCCGGTTTGAGGTTCTGATGGGCGGGCGCAGGGTGCTCAGCCGTATTAACGAGATGCTCGAGAGAAAATGGCCCAGTGCAGCAAATGGTTTCAAAATCTAAGGGCTATCTTCCACTTTCCGGAAGGGATCTATGTTGGAGGCATGTGCTCGATGCATCTACCGGGTTGTTACCTCGGGATTACTGCTCTTACAGTGAATATTTCTCTGTGCTCCTTCTGGACGATAACATATTCCTCAAGCGCATCAGGCGAGTTTTGAATCACGGCCCTGGCAGAAGCGTCGCGGAAGGCTCGGTGTCTAACGACTTTCGCCAAGTGTATTCACTTCTAGACCTGGGAGTAATTGGTTCACATTATTTTACCTTAAACTTCTACAGCATTCACTTAAAGAGAGCACCCGCGTAAAGGTTCACGTGCTGAGCCTCCTCGCAGTGAAAGTGCAACTTCACCATTAAAATTCGTATTTCAGCATAATGCCCTGCTTCCAACGTAAATGCCACCGGCAGACCACAACCCGGATCTCAAACTCAACCCTAATCAATACAACCCCAAGTTAATCACTCAACCACGCTTCAAGATGGGTAAGCTCATAGAGCGAATAGATGTTTATGAACACCGGCGAATGTCGCCAAGCACCCTCAGCAGGGCGGCTCGTAAAGAGGTGCTAATGGAGTTCCTTCGGCGAATGGGAGAGCCAATAATTCCCGAGAAGAGGAAAGCTGCCATTGCTTGTGATGTCTACCGGGTCATTCAGGACTATCATGGAGGCGTTCAAGGACGGAAAGACGGACATGATAGCGCCGTTAGCATGACTGGAATGTTAAACGCCCCAACTGATCCAAATCGTCGAAGCGTAGAGCCTGGAATATTGGGTAATGCGGAGCAAGGGGCAGTTCACTCCAATCTGGGTTTGAACGTTCACCCTGCCATTGCAAAGGAATATGCCCCAGCTGTAAACCAAGATCCCTTCACCGGGAGGTCAATGTGTAGGAGTAATGAGACGGCTTCCGAGGAACAGTTAGGCCTCGCTGAGATCGAATACCATCTAGAGCGAGAGTTGACTGCAGAGCTGGGCAGGGGCAGCCAAGCGCCAGGGGCTACGTCCCCAGAGACGGGCGACCAAAGCATGACTAAGGAGGTGACAGAAGCCAGTGCACATGGCACTTCTTTCGATCCTTCTCAGGACATTTGGCCAGCAATCGACTCACCAGCTGTCAGTCGCAAAGAAAGAGACTCTGGCGTCGGCTTCTGTTTCGGGCCAGAAAAGACACAACACCAATCGCCACATTTCGCAACCGTAGAAGTTCTTCAACTCCGTCACGGTGCCATTACAACATTACTCGACACCACCTCTGCGACATCAACGACAAATATGATCGGTAAGGACTATTCCGTCATTCAAGACGGCAACAGCTTGCCCACCCTTGAGGTTCAAAAGAACATTGAGGAGGAAATCAAAAACGACATGGCTTTCCACCGCCTCAACTCGCCCTACCACATCCACCATCTCTGCGGCTGCCGCCCCTTCATGGACCTTGCCAAAGTCCGCACCGCTCTCATCTTCATGAAACGCGTCATCGGTCGCGAAATGTTCCCGCACACCCACAACGAACTCCATTACGATGATGAGACTGTTACTACCGCCGATGAAGAAGCGCTGCTGGCGCAAGTGAAGCTAGTCAATGTCGACGACGCTTTTCCAGCAGTGTCGTTCGTTTTCGACGCGCATGGAAATCACATCATGAGCGAGAAGGCGCACTGGCTCGTTACCGTAATTCTAGAGCTACGGCAGGCTTTCCGCGAGAGGAAGAAGTATCGAGAAGAAAAGGAGGGTGCTTCCAAGGAGGTTGGCGTAGAGAAATTTGGATGCGCGCAGATTGTTGCTGCTGCGGGGGACGCACAGATGTTGGAGTATGAGGAGTGTATGCGGCAGTTGGTCGAGGAGGTGGTGGATAGGTTGCAAGTGCCGATTTCTACAAGGACGGAGATGAGGGAGGTGGTCAAGGCAATGGTGTTTGGTGTTCTTGCAGTTTAGGTGTGATGTGAACAAAGGTTTGAAGTATGAGTACGAGGGCTGTCCCAAGGCAAACATAGGTGCCACCTGCCTAGATATCTTACGAATATGCAGTACGCTGATATTTTTGAGCTCCTAGACACTTGAAACCCGAAGGGGAACAGTCTTGTCTTGCTGGTCTTCACACTTTTTGAGAGAGGAAGTTATTGGACTTAGTCGTGTTTTGCGCATTGCTAACCGTGCGTATATTTGGCCATCGATTGCGTATATTATAGACCAACGACGCAAAGATACATTTGCGTCCGGGAAATAGATATTGCGTAAGCAAAAGGGGAAGGGAAACATCTTGTTTATAACGCTCTGATACAAAATGGAAGTGAAGCGATAGAGTGTCTGAGATGGTTGATTGACTAGTAAATCTGACAATTCGTATGGCTGTGGATGAGAATGGCTCAAGCCGAACCGAATATCACTGATACACTAAGCCTCGGGCTGCCAACGACGTCTTTACACCTTGAAGTTTTATTTGGCTGCCAAAACAACAGTCTGAACGTCTACGCACTAGCTGAAACCCATGAGTTATGACGTAGGACCGTTCCTCGACATGCAGCTGATCACTGTCTAACCCGACTCAGATGAGTAGCAAATATGATTGCTCCGTTTCTTGAAGCTTCCAGCACAATTCCCGCCGCGTATCTGAGAGATGTTTACTACTGCAGTACCTGGAAATAGGAAAATAAATGCTACTGAATTTGTGAGGCAGGTGATCGCGCAGTGTCTCAGGTCGCACCGTGCACTTTCACCGCTGCCCGTGACTGCGCGATATCTTGTCCCCAGGGCGACAGCAGCAGGCTGTAAATGGAAACGGGAAAGCAAAACGCTCAGTCACTCATGACGGAGGTCAAGAAAACTATATACGCGAACCGAACACCCTACGACTTGTATAATTTCTTTCCCACGTCCCCCGCTGATTTCTTCACACACAAACACAACCCACCACAACCGCTGCTGGAACCTCTGCAGAAATCGTATACTCTAACTTTGTTTCATCACTACGTGGTTTGAGAACCCAACATGGGCTCCCATCGCCCCCATGGTTCACGAAAGAGCTTGAGCACTGTCCTCGACGGCGGGAAAGGACAACGCCGTCCGAATCTTCCAACTCTCCTAAGCTATACACTGCATCAATATCCATTCGATCGTCGCGGATCTGGTACAGCAGGTCTGAGTGGTCGAGGTACGCGCATCTCACCCACTTCTGCTCGCTCCCTGGGGCCTCTTCCACGAATTCAGCGCACAGCCGCTCGCACACCGTCGGTTGAATGTGAAGCATTACCACCAGCACTTCGAGGGGTAGCCAACATTGCGCACGAAACTCGTGAAGGAGCCCATCCACTTGCAACCATCGGTGGGGTGACCGGACGATTCGCGCGATCTCCCCGAAGGACTCGTGTCTTTGTCGCACCTCGCGAGGGTAAATCCAACGGTGACTTTGATGCCGATGAAGAAACTTCGTCAAGTTCGGATGAATCCACCCATTCCCGGACATTCTACCTCCCTCCCAAGCAACTCGAAGGATTCATGAACGGGAAACACCCGAACCCACGGGATAGACCTCCTAGGGCAGGCAGACTTCAGATTAATCTCAACATGGAACGAGCAACTGAGCGAGAGGGCTCAACCGACTCTGAAGGCTTTGCCAGCAAAATCATGGATACCTGGATAGAGATCCTATCGATACCTGGCGAACTTCAACGTGGTGTTGCTCGCGCAGCTCAGGAGGATGCTGAGGAAGCTGCTGCTGCTGCTGCTGCTGCTGCGTCTGTTGCTGAAGCAGACATTGATATGATGGAGCTTTCGGAGCAGAGCCAACTCGATGATCCCAGTTCAGCCGAGCAACCCACGCAAGCTGAACAACCTGATCTGACCCACCAATTGGATCCCCAAGAAAATACGACGGAAGCTACAACACTGGATGAGACCACCACCAGCAATGGTCAACAGCAAGATCAGACCGCTGACTCAACTGCTCAGCAGCAGAACGACGCTACTCAGACGGCAGCTGAGGAACAGCATGATATCACGCAGTTGATCCAGAAGTATTCCAACGCCTATCAAGCCCTCAGCACAGTTATACGCGCTGCCGAAGCTGCCATCCAGACCGGCGGGTCTACGCCAGCAGATGCAATGATTGATCACTCCGCGGTTACGTCCACCCATGGTCTGCAAGTCACCATCCTCTTCGATTCGCGCCGTAGACCCTTGATCACAGCTGAAGCTCAATCAGCAATCTGGGTCATCTTGCGTAGCAAACAGCGCTCGTGGACGATTAATCCCATTGGGATCATGCCGGTGCAGATTGTACGTGCCACACGGAACGTCCGGTCAGCTTGGGTTCAAGCGCGGAATGACCTTGCTAAGATATTGCGGGAACTCCCCGACTGAACCTGAAACAGCGGAGGAGGATTGCTGAACGCCTGATGATGCATGCCATGAACGTCCAGGAGCCTAAGTGCTTAGCGTATCATCTGGTTAAGGTATAGATCCAAATCCAAATATTATTTCTTGCAACGAGTGCTAACACCTTAGAGCTATTCTCCACGACTATACATGTTTCTTTTCAGAACACACGGCATGGTCAAGACTGCGGCAAATGCATACACCGGGAAATCCTTTTCAATTCGTAAGACTTCTGGTTCTAGCGACATTCGTATGAACTGGGGGCATTTCGCAGGCAGTATCCTATACGTGGATTGCTATGTACAATATTCATAGAATATCAACTCTATATCCCCAATTGTTTGTGCTTGCAAAGTTTCGGTGTGTGTGTTGCATCCTCATTTTGAGGTCAATACTTAGGCATAAATAACAGATGATCGAGTTATCAGCGTTAGCTGGCTTCCGTTCCGAACCGTTATTCCCCCGTCAATTCTCGGATATGGATCAAGTCCAGAAGGCGCTGTATTGTAATCAAGGCCTTTTTACAGCGAAGTCCAGTCGACTGTATATATACTTCCCTAAGTCAGACGTTCAGTTCTAGGTGTTGAGAACACGATTATTCACGCAATCACCGTTTTGATTTTCTCCCATCCAGCACCATACAAACTTAGATTTGTCGTTCGCACACAAGGCGAGGTGTTCGACAGTGGGCACTGAACGTTGCAGTAGCAGATAGCATGAAGCACCGGAGTCCTGGGGATAAGTCAGCTACGCATTTTAGCACAGCACAAAACAGGCCGTGAGAGCTCAAATCGGAGAGGGTGTGCTAGGTGGGATTATGCTAGATAAGTTCGAGCTGACCGTAGCAGTATTTTTGCTAATGAAGGGAGGAACAAGGAGGTGCGTGCGTCTATATGCGGATGCTCCGGCGAGGGATCGACTGTCATAATAAATATAAGCTCAAGCTCCAAGATTTCTGCTCGACTTGCTGGAAATATTCAAAAAGAGAATAACAAACACCTTATCTCAAAAGGCTTGTATTTCATAATATTGTGGCCCGGCGTAAGCTCTGCATGTCAACGCAATGTCTTCCCTATATTTCCGAGCGTCCATACACTGGCAAAGGCCTCTTCATGGCTCTTTCCTCGGTTGCCACAATTAATTCCCTAGTCATGTAATATCACAGCAGCACTTCATCCTTGAATCACTTTGAACCTAAACTGGTCCTTGCGGTCAAGGTAGACCACTTTGTGTGCAAAACCGGCCTCCTCAACCGCCTTCTTGAAATCAGCCAAGGGTGACAGCATCACGTCGTAATCGCTATATGTATCTTAACACACCTAGTGCGGGAGTATTAGGTCTGTACTCACTCGAAATGAATGGGAATAGTCAGGTCCGGGTTAATCAGTTGTATCAATTGTACTCCCTGCGTTTCGTTCATGCTCACCATCAAAAGGGGCATCTTAGGTGACGGAATCGTGGTGCCTCCAAGGTGGATCAACATCAAATCAATACCTTGGCCCTTATACCTTTCTGGTATCTCTTTTAATTCCGGGACCATCAGAGTATCACCGGAGATGTAGATCCGGTAGCCGCATTGGAAGCTGGAAACCGCGTTGTCAAAGTACCCTAGCTCTACCTAGTCTGGATTTTAGCAACAACGAGCATCTTGCTGTACTTCTTCCGGGTTACCACTCACCAGCCATCCATTGGTTGGGGGAAGGGCGGAAAGGATATCGTTGGCCACGGAAAGGGGACCTGGAGGTACGTGCTTGCCCGGCATCCCAGTGACTTTGATTGCGGGTTTCCGGTCACCCTCCCTCGTCTTGATATTGAGCAGCATGGAGTCAAAGAAGTCCAGATCGTACACTTGAGTAAAAGACTCATCTTCCCCTTTAGAGGTGAGGTGCCTCTTGGCATGGGGGGTGGTAATAATGGGAATGGAACGGCGTAGAGAGGCTTCCACTTCCTGATCGAAATGATCCGCGTGGTAATGGGAGAGTAGGATTGCATCAATGTGAGGTACCTCGTGGAGACCAATGGCAGGATTAGTGAGGCGCGCGGAAGTGACCCCAGGACCCAGGTGCACATGGTCGCCAGCATGTAGGAAGTTTGGATCCGTCAGAATCCGTACACCTTCCCATTCTCTACATATCATGAGAATCTAGGAAAGAGTAGGGTCACCTTGATACGCACATAATGGTCGTTGCTGTTCCAATGAAGAAGAGGCCTGCATTTTCTCCGCCTGTACTTGCAGGGGATACCTTGATTTCCTTCGCATCAGGGAGATGGCTAGGGAAGTCTTTGTGATCCCGCGTGGGGGGCTGCTTCTGTGAAGGGTCGAGTGTGAGCTGCTTCATCGTGAAGGTTTCCGGGACGCAGACGTGTTCGTATCAAAGTGAAGTTGTTCGGCTAGAAGCTACAACGATATCGGAGGAGGCCAACGAGGTCCGATGTGGAAGAGCTGTCATGGCGTCAGGGTTCCGTAATGCAACTCCGTCTCTTGACTGCTGCGCCACATGGTAGCAAGCCACACCTTTCCTAGCCACAGCTGGGAGACAACACAGATATTCCAGGTGGACCAGGTATGAGGCCCCATTTCAGATGACGAACTTCTTCGATAGCCAGTAAGGCGAAGCGTAGTCGAACGCATCTCAATGCCGGCCGGAGGTCCCATACATACATGCCTTAAGTACAGGTGCGCGTTTGGTAGTTCCCTGGTTTAGAGGCGCAAGCTACAGGGCGTAACTCCAGTCGTGTTTGAGCTGTTTGAAGTTGAACTGTAGAACAAGTATTAGCAGCTGTACCTGGTGCTCTATGCAACCAGCCGGGTCCCCAATCTTTTCAGTGATTCCGGCATCGGTTCCCTCTTTACGCTCAGCATCTGCGCATGGATGCGCAATCCCTCGATGTCGTGTTGTAATCCGCTATACCGTAAAGGTTTACTCATATATACCATCTTACAAGTTGAAAAAGCCCTCACAGAATTGCGCAAACCTACAGCACGGGGTGGGACAGATTCACGGTGAAGACGTGAGGTTGAAACAAAGTAATCTGCGGCTTAAGGTTCGCGTCTCTTGGCGGCCGCCATCGCCCTGGAAATTTATTGAACCCCAACCTCGGGACGTCGACTTGTCGTATAACCAGTCTTACCATACTCCTCCTTCATTTCTTTTGCTTATGGCGCGCAAAAAGAATGGTCCGCTGCAAGATGCGGCTGCGCATGCCAGCAGCGATGGGCTACCCACCGCCCAACAGCCCGGCACTCGTGCCGCGTCAACCAAGAAGCCGGCTCAGCAAGCTCACGAACCCTCAACTTCGGCACTAATCATCTGTCGCAACAAGTAGGTCCCTGTGGAGGCACGTTAATGAACTCATTCTCTGGCTGTTCGTCTTGTTTTGCATCCTTTACTGACTGCCGCACACTAGGCATTGGCGGTATATATCTTCGTTTCACGGTCCCTGGCTCCAGTTGCCTCCTGAGGTCCTCGAATCACTCGCGCATACCAATTACCTGTCTCAACGCCCTCATCCCATCGACCCAGCCGTATTCTACGACCTCGTCAAAATCCGGAAGAATGTCGAGGAAGCAACAAATCTCGCTGTTCGCGCGACGAGTGGTCTCACATCGGCGGCGTTGAGCAACTCCCTCAGTGCGAGCCACGGTATGCTCGGTAGCGCTGCGGCTCTAGGATTAGGCTATAACTACGGCGGTGGAGGAGGTAATGCGAAACTGAGTCGAGAGCGGAAACATCGCATGCGGGAGCTGGCCACAGCGAAATTAAGTCAGGCATACCGTCTGGATGAGATCGCAGCAAGCGTGGCCACCATGCAGTCTGCCTCGACGCTGGAGAACGTTGCCCAACTGGTTCTACAAAGAAATCCCAATGACGTCGAGGCCAAATACGTTCACTTTTTCCACGAGAAGATACCGTCGAGGATGATGGCGCAATGCACACCGTTGGAGGTGTTAGACAGTATAGTCGCCGAAAGACCGAGTGATGGCTCTCCTTTGAGGACTCGAGCTCTGACGCGCATCTTCAAGGAGGATTACGTCAATGCTGCAAAGGACTTGACGGAAGGGTTGTCGCGGGCCAGATATATGCTCGCGCAGCACCGTGCCGGCAAAGACCAGCTTGTCCTAGCGAAGCCACAGCAGGAGTTCCATGCGCGGGATTGGCGAGAGATCAAGGTCGCGGAGGAAGACCAACCGAGTTCCTTGGAAACGCAGCTGCTATTCCATCGCGCAGGGGTCTATTTTACGATTGCATGTCAGCATGTCCATGCCGCACTTGATGGTCTGAGGGAAGCCGAGGAAGCGAAAGCAAGAAGGGAAGCACAGGAAGAAGCTGGAGAGGAACCTACGCCTGAGACTCCCGCTGAGCAGGCCGCACGTCACAATCGTCTTGAAGCGCGTAAGCAAGTGCGCGCCAACGCGAAGCGTGCGATACGGGACTATACTGCGTTTCTTTCTCACTTTGATTACACTCCCGGTATCTCGCCTGAGGTGGCAGAAGCCTTACTACGCCATCTGAATGCTACCGCTGACGAGCCGATAAAAGGGTCCGAGGGACCAGTCGAGCAGCATCCCGACCCCTCAAGCCCAGCCACATCCACTTCCACTTCCGAAGCCTTGATCCCTCATCGTCGCACACATCAGTCTCATCACCAACCCCGTCCTTGGCCTAAACTAGATCCTCCTGAGGTCTTCAAAGTCAGCGAACTTTTCGAGCCGGCAGCACCCGCTTCTCTTCCCCCCTATCCACCACTCCCTGACACCCCCTCCTCACCTTTCGCGGAATCCCAAGAGGCCATCACATACCATCCTCTCCTAACCGATGCGCTTCACTCACTGCTCCTTTGCCACGCCCTTACACAGACCCCTCCCAAGGAACTTCTCCGTCACGCCCACAATGCCGCCCGCCTAGCCCGTATCTGTGATGGGTACCCCATCTTCCTGGCCGCTCGGTCACCAGCACGTGCCGACTGGATTGAAGTGCTTCGAAGAACAGGGAACTGGATCGGTCTAAAATCAAGCTGGGAATCCCTATGTCGGCCTGCGCCCTTACCCGGCCAAGGCGGCCGGCAACCTGCCCATAAGGCGTCTACCGCTGGGCGCACCACCGACGTCACCGTTGGCGGCAAGAGCTCAGACGGCGTGCTGCACGGGGCGCGTGAAGAAACGGCCGCTCAAAAACGAGAACGGCAAAAGCACGAAGCAATCTTGGAGGCTTTGGCGGATGAGCGGGTCGTGGATGAGGACTCGTTCCAGCGTGCTGTCCGTGCGCGGGAGCAACGGTTTCGTGAGGACGAGGAGCTCGATGCGAAGAACGCGGCTGCAAATGGTGTCTCTTCGATCAAAGCAACGGAAGAGGTTGATGCCACTGCGACTGCCAACGGCACCGACAAGCCCAAGCTCAAAGATCCTGGTGGATTGAAGGCTGCTCCTCCTCCAAAGGCGTCCACGTCACCTTACCCGTCTACTCCGGCCCCCAAGCGATGGGCGCAGGATGACGGCCGGGAATACCCCATTTCGACGGAGCGCGCGGAGGCAATTTCTCGCTGGGTCAGGGAAGCGCCGCTTAGTGGCAGTAACCCCGACGGCGCGGGCCCGAAGAAGACTCGCAAGAAGGGGAAACGAAAGGTCAATTCTGCAGGGAAGGGGGAAGGTTCTAGCAGAGCAGCTAGCAGTGCTGGGTTAGAGAACAGTGTGGAGGGCCTGGATATTGAGGACGACGAGGGGCTGGATTAGGGGTCCGGTGATTTTAGTTTTGGCAACATCAGCAGCTGCCACAGTGGAAAGTGTATTCCAGCTAGCATTGTCGCTTACATATGAAGCGTGTGGAATAATGAAATGATATGTCCCTTGAGAATCTCTTAGGAGTACTATGGAGATTGTGCTGCATTGACGTGATTTATGAGTTACACTAATGGTCTCTCTTAAGCATGATCTTGTTGCGCCGAACCGATCCTTTAATCGCAAGTGGCTGCATACAAACGGAGGGGCATGGTGCACATTGAGGGATGTCGGACGCAATGTCAGGAAGCCCAGTGTCAGAGAGCAACAGAGGGAACCATCTCACATGAGAAATGTTCTAAGCAGTCCACCATACTGAGTCAGATGGTCCCCCGAAGACTCCTTCGATCTGATCTACCTCGAAGGGCGCCGTACATTTGAGCGCACAAACAACTGGAATCGTAGTTTTCATGCCACCAAATCAAACAATTAACTCGCGTCCCCAGAGTCTGTCCATTGGCGAAGTTATCTAGGCTGGCGGGCAACTGCTTGTTAGTCATAAGATGCAAACTAGCATACCGGCATTTTAGAACACTCACCCAAGCCCCCCTCTAGTATCTACTACGGTCCACGCTATTACCGTCTACGCATAACAAAGCCCTCTCAAATTACAGGCGGCAACCTCCTAAAATGACACTATTTAGCGGCATTGCTGGGCAGGAACAACAGCACGGAACCGGGTGTGAGAGACTAAGAACCAACTCCATGTCGCACTCGACTGCTAGATACTGTACAAATGGAAAATCCAAACCCGTCATACCAGCCAATGTTCAGACTTGTGTGCGTAGGTTACCCACAAGCTGCGATGCGGAACATGTCCATGTTCTGGCTGTCCAAGCGACGAGAACAGAGCTCCGGAATCCAAGTAACCATTTAACACCCATCCGCAATCCTTGCGTCGCATAAATCAGTAAACATAGAAGAGCAACCACTTCGGCCACGCTGAACCACGTCTGTCAACAGCATAATGGCGTAGATGAGGCAGACATTGCAGCCGAGTGTTTAGAAGCAGAACCTTACCCACTACTCGGAGAAGCCGATGATCTTACATTCCGGGTGTTGAAGTTGTAGGCATGCGGCGTGTTCTTGTTCCGGATCTACTTCCCAGCCATCGTTGGTTGGCTCCAACTCCTCCGGCACCTCGTCATCTTGGCCGATGTCAACTGCCTCGGCCTCCGGAGGTGTTAGGCCATCGCACTCCTCGTTCTCGTCGTCGTCCCTCGGAAACTGAGACGAAAAGCTCCTCGTCGCGTCGTTTAGTAGTCCACCAAGCGGCTGAAGATTCGCTAGCAGCCAGTATGCTTTGTGGAAGCGGAGCTCTGCAGCGCGTGGCGGGAAGTCCCAGCGACAAATTTCCGTAAGGATGCCCATCTCACTGCACTGCAGAACCAAGTCACAGACGTTCGGAGTTATGGTCACCCACGTAATCCTAACCTCTGCATCCTTGTAAACGCCGAATGTAGTTGTCGTGTGAGGATAGGGGGATGGCGGAAAAGGATCCGACGCATTGTGCAGTACCACGACACTGTGGTAGTCTCCGTCTTTGATGTAACCATGTGTAATATGCCTGAACGTCTTGTAGGCTTTAGTCTGGTCTAACTCTTTCAATAGGCCAGGGATCGCTTCCACCCAATCGTAAGCGCTCTGAGACACCGTGAGTTCCGTGTTGATGCGGTAGGCAAAGACGGACGATTTGTAATCCTCATAAGTTGAGCCAATAGGGCGATATGGTGGAGGCTGGGAAGCGATTTGAGGTTGAGGCTGAGGTGTATGTGGATGTCGAAGTAGTAGTGGACGTTGTGGCGGATTTGACGGGTTTGGAGGATCCAGCCTACGAGCATTCTCATTTGGGTATGGAACCACTCGCGAGTCTATGTGCGGACCGCGCATATGGTTAGGACGTCCAGCTGCACACGTTAGCTGAAATTACTCTAGACTTTGCACTTTCCCACCGTTTCATGAACTACTGTCGATTGGAAGTGTCACATGCGGTAAGGTGCACTCACCCTTTCCACTGACTCACCTCGCGGGTACCCAGCCTTTTGTTTGTCCTCTTCACCAACGGTCCGCTCGCGCTCTCGAACTGCAAGGTATTGTCGAACTGCTACGCCCTTCTCGTGGTAGATTTGCTGTTTCATCCGTGAGACTTGGTCAAGTGGTTCCTGGTGGGCTAGGAAATGGCTAGAATTGCCTGGCACACTATTGTCACGCCCTTCAATGTTTGACGCTCTCGGGGCAATGCCTTGAGACTGCTCCTGGGACTGCTCTAGGGGTTCGGGTTGGGCAAGTGAATCCGCAAGCTTAGAAGACTGCGCGTGGGCAGCCGTGTCTGGGTCTCCCATGGCGACTGGTTCGCGCACAAAGTCATAAGCCCTTGGCCTTGTTGGCTGCGTATATGGTGGATGAGGAGTCCACCCAGGGTACATGCCAGCGTCAACAGAAGGGCTTTTCGTTGGCAAGACTACTGGTCCATCGGGCAAAATTGAATTGCTCAACCTGACGGTTGGAATGTGCCCACTTTGAGCAGTCATCGCTCGCGGCCGGATCATAGACGTGCCTTGTGGTCTGATTTCGTTATCTGGTCTCGTGAGCTGGCCAAAAGCGCCGGTGCTGAAAGGCTGAAGAATTTGCCCATTTCGCAAGTTTTCAGTGCCGAGCGGAGGGATGTGATATGGGGTAGGTGTCTCCAATGCCGCACCACGGCGAAGAGCAGCCGCGGGGTCGTAGGCGCCGTTGTCCGGTCCGTAGTAATTAACGAACGTGTACTGTCTATGGTTATTGTATGCCTGATGCGATTCCAGACCAACAGGTCTGGTGTTGCGATGCCCGGGACCGGATTGTCGCACGCTATTCGTCGCTTGATTCGGCATTGCGCCCGGCCACTGCCATGGAGCAGAAGTTGAAGCCATGGCGGAATAGGAGGGTGGCGCATGACAGTACTGATTTGCCCAGCTGAGCAACAGATGCCTGTTGGAGATGGGATACTGTGGCAGAGTCGGCAAGCCATTGAGTGGAATCCGGTTTGGCGTCGACGGGAGGCCGGACACAGGGTGCACTGGTGCTGGTAGAACGGGGCCCAAAGGTACCGACCCGTAACTTGGTACGCTATCGTGCGGGAAGTGTGCAGGTGGTGATGGCGGCTGCGCACGTGACTGGTAAGGACCTTGGCTCCCAACTCCCTGATCTCTTTGCGGGTCGACATCTTGCATAGCTATGTCCGGCGGGATATCTTCTCTTTTGCCGGCCATGGCGCCTGATTGACGGATTGACTGTATGGGATGGATGGGATGCCCAGGTGGTTGTGCGGGTGCGGGACTGCATTGGGAAGGAGAGTGCAGGTGGGGAGCGAGGGGGTTTTTATATCTGACACGAAAAGCAATGAAAGAAGAGTAAAGTAAGTGAAGGAGGGAAGGAGCGATTGCCTAGGTCAATCTAGAATCCCATATTGGGCAGGAGCGCTCCAACCCTACCTAGGTAGGCACGCTAGTTGCGTCCACCGATTGGTGCTTCTTTCACCAGCTAGACGTAGAACTGAGAGTAATCAAACGGCCTTTGAGTTGATCGGAATCATCCACAACCTTCTCCCCTCCATGGAGAGTCATGGGAAGCGTCGTTAACAACAGAGTCTACGTGGGAAGGAGGATGTGGCAGGACAGAACAGGTAACGGTCTATGCAACCATGATCGGAGACAGGATTTGGGATACAAGAAAGGAGAGACTGTGTCCCTTCTGGCAAAACGGACGAGCGCAGTAAACTCCGACTAACTGGAATCGATGAGAATGAAATCCTTGAGAGAGGGCAAACAATGTGGGTATGACACTGATGCAGAGAGAAGACGAGGTTGTATGCAGCAAGGAAACTTGTTTCCTGTGAATGAGGATCCCTGTTATGCGCTCTGCGAGTTGCTAACGGCCACACCCTCAGAGCAGCCATGTAGGCATCCCTACATTCAACACGGAGCTACCGTTCCCCATGTATGCAAGTAATAGGTATCTTCACGCGTATCTTCACGCTACACGACGCGCTTGACCTACGAGCGAGTCAGCATTGAGCAGAGATTCATTGGAGCAGGGCATGGACGAAGCGACAACGCACCTCGAAGAATCTCTTCAGCCACCAGACCTGGAATATGCCCACCCCTACCAACACAAACATTTGGAAGATGCTCCACCACTTGACTCGAGTGTTGGTGCTCTCCGCCGTGTTCCGGTGTGTCCGCTCCCGCACAATGATGTAGCTTTGCTCATCCTTGACCTGCGCCACCAGCTCCGAAAGGGATCGTACTTTCAACAGTCAGTCATGGCCACGATTGATGTTGACCTCGCCACATACCCTCCTTCTCCAGAGGATCCTGCGGGGCTTCCGACTCGGGAACGTAGACGATTCCGTGGACGTTGAATGACACCTCCTTTGTGTTTGCGCCCCAATGCTCATTGTTGAAGCAGTATGTATATGTGCCGTCTTCCTTGGCAGTAAACGAGTGATCTCCGGACGATACGCCGCGTTCGTGAACTTGGTAACCGCGTGAGGGAGTCTCGATCTGGCCAGATGGCATTAACGTAAGATCCAATGGAATACAAAGGTGGGGACTCCATGTACCCAAAAGTCGATATCCAGATTCCCACTACCTCCAAACTCCCGGTCGCCAACTTGAAACGTGACTGTCATCTGGTCGTCTTTGTGGAGCTGTTCGTGGAAGCATTCCCGCATATACGCCTTCATCTGTATGTTATGGGCCGTCGCGAGGGATAACAAGCTGCTCGCCGCAGCGAGGAGCCCGAAGAGAGGCAACAGCATGTTTATGGAGTTGCTTCACGCTGCACCCACTGCCCACTGCTGGCTGTTTGCGAAGTTCGAAGTCTCTTGTAAGGTTGGGGTCGCATTCCAACAGGCGGACAGGATGCCAAGGCGGGTATTGGTCATAGATTAGTCATCTCAACGACGTTGGAGTGAAGCCATTCGCCATTTCCAATGACTACCTAGGTACATACTTATTGAACTAAGTATATCCTCTCCGCTTTTAGCTTAATGCTCAGTTACGACCGTGCGGAGCGACCTACTGTCACGAAAGAGAGCAAGCGCTTCTTTAGGCTACATAGTTCGAGATATCGTCACGACTTCACTCGCTCACTCCCGAGCTCTTTCCTCCGTGTAACTGCTATGGGTGTCAATATATTCTGTGAGTCGGAAAAGCTTTGTCTATGGCACACGCCATAAGTACGAGTGTGCTCCAACCTGCATCGATATAACGGTGATAGCAAACACCTGCCTCCGGATCCGCAGTTGCAGTCAACTGGTGAATTCGACCCCACTGCGCCTAAGTATACGCAGTCTTTAGGAGGGCTACTATGGGATTCTATTACCAGCGTATCTAAAATTTAGTTTCCTTAGGATAAGTATCCCCTATCGCTTTCAGGCGGTCAAGCGGGACTTCCAATTTGAAAGCATCATCTTCGCAGTTCTTCGTCGTTCGTCTTTCACCGTCTCTTCAGTACTCATTCCAACTTCTGTCTGCCTAGCTCGTTCGCTACGTTCGTTTGACACCGCTCTTTCTCGGTTGCCAAGCCAACTCTCTCTGCCTCGCCGGACTCATCCCAGCCATTGCTCCCTCAGTTGCCAGTTTCTTCCTTTCGTCTAAGCAGCCTCCTGTGGCCCACCGCCTGGCCCTCTTCTTTGGTAGGTTGCTTTGAAGAAAAACCGCGTACTTGCAATACAGAATGGCGTTCAATAACGGCGGAGCAGCCCCCAAGATCTCCAAAAGCTTCCTACTCGGCTGGAGCGACGAACCTTTCAAGAAATCCAAGCCGCCGCCTCCCGGGCCGCAGCCCAAGCTACCCAGGGTGCGCCATGAGCTCTCATATGCCACTCAAAATGTTGACAATGTCTGCAGGGCCCTGGGGAGATCATCGAGTGGATAGCTAGCGACGGTCGCAAAGGCAAGCTCAAGGTCTCCGTCAACCATCCGCTCAGTCGAGGAGCCCTCACCGCAGCTAACCTCGCCAAGGTTGCCGACAAGGCAGGGAAGACTGAAGAGCGGAGGCATACACTTCCAAGCAACCCGCCCGCGCCGCCTGGAACCATGGACAGGCTGCATGGTACACCCGCTAAGCTTCACGGCACGCCTGCGAGGCTGCATGCGACACCTGCCCCAGCCGATCTCCAAGCTGCGCTCTGGAATGCCTTTGGCGGACTTGGTGGCGGAAACACGCCTGTGCAACCGCCAATGGCCCCTGTAGCAGCCGTTCCAGGAGGCTATGTGCAGGCTATGCCCCCCGCCGCTGCAGCCGGAGGCAACAATCCCTCCTTGTTCACTGCGGCCCAAGATGCGGAGTTATTACGCAGGAAAACAGAAAACGAAACATGGGCCCAAATCGGGGAAGCTCTCGGGAAGTCCAAGCAAGAGCTCATGGAGCGCTTCAAGCAAATCAAACCGGCGGACTGGAGGCCGAAGGCTGCAGAAAAGGGCAAGAACAAGAGTAAGAACAAAGGCGGGAAGGAAGAGAAGAATGAGCCGGCAAACGAGGCCTCTGGACCCAACAACAGCGGCGGGGATGATGGCTTCTGGGGCGGCGGCTGGGGTGGTGCCGCTCCGGAGACTGCAGCGCAAGCCGACCAGGCAGAGAATGCATGGAACAAGGATAACACGAATTGGAACTCCAACAATAACGCGAACTGGGAGACCAAGTCTCACAAGTCGGCCAGCAAGAAGGAGGGTTCTGCTGCCGGCCGCAACAACAATGGGAATGCCAATGGCTGGGGCGATCAATTTGGAGCCACTGCTCATGCTACCAACGACGTCTATCCGGATGACACTTTCTCCATGGACGATCTAGCTCTGATTGCCAGGCTTCTGAAGCGCGACCACAAGCAGGTCTGGTTCCGTCTTTCTTGCGCCTTCAAGGATAAGACGGGTCGCTACATATCAGAGGACGTCTTCCGCGAGAAGCTCACGGGAAAGAGTGCTAAGTGAAGGAGGTTTCTCTTTGCCGAGGAATCGGGATACAAACGCACGGAAATGGTTTTGGGAAGGATCTGGGACGGATACACAAAATGAATGGTTATGGGAGGGTTTCACGGAAAGGGTTTACACAAGTAGTGTGGAATCTAGGCGGAGTATACGACTCCATGATGCCTGATTTTCTTGGTGGGTCTCCGGGCAGGATATGCCGTGAGATGCACGAGCTTGTTTGCCATCAAGGTGAATTACTGTTAACACGGAATTTTGCCGTTGATGGCGACGAGCTACCCAGCATCTCCAGCTATCAATATCTGGGTACCAAGCACACTACTATGATCTACAGGCTTTTCGAAGGTTCTAAACCTGCAACGTGATATCTCCTTCCTTCCGTTGCCGTTTGGAGTCCTCCTACGTATACAGTGACGCAGTAAGACCTCAGTAATGCCCGCCTACTCGAATTGAGAGTCTACCATGTAGGACGCAACCGACAAATCCCCTGGGCTTGTTGGTATACCCCTAATCCGCTTTTCTATTCGCTCACTAAGCGAAGCCTACAATATACTATGGCAGTACTTGTACATCTGCCATTGACACGATTGCCAGACAGCAACTCCAGATGAACCTGCCGCAAAGACTATATCTGAGTGTCGTGACGGTCCAGTTGTAGTGAAACTGTTCTTTGATGCTTCAATGACCCGCGGATTTCCCAAGTCAATTCGGCTTTTGATTTCACCGTCCTTATCACGCTGCAGAATAATGGCGGGAGACGTACTGGGGACGTCTGCGGCTCCGAAGCAGGCTTAGCACCGGCTCTCTCATCGGAACTGTTGCCGAGGTATTCCGAATGCAAGCTCCCCCGCCGACCTCGCACCACTCCTGTGACTCCGAGTAATCACATCAATTCGTGTCAATTAAATTCGCATCGTGGGTGTTTGATACCCTGCTTAGGTACTGCCCGACTATTCTGGGTTCTCCGTACATGCCGTTCTTCTCTCGTTGTAACAGAAACATCATCTTTCGCTCAACACCCAGTCTCTTCGCACCCCGCGCCAGCACCCCTCTCTCGTCTCATATACTTCGACATACAATTGCCCAGCACGCCAAAATGTCATCCTCCATGGCAGCCCGCCTCAAGGGAAAGACGATCCTCATAACAGGAGCCTCTTCGGGCATTGGCCGTTCCTGCGCTTTCGAGTTCGCGAAGACGAGCCCCGAAGACCTCAAGCTCATCCTCACAGCACGTCGCATCGACACCTTGAACGAGGTAGCGGCGGAGATAGCCAAAGTGGCACCGGGCGTCAAGGTGCACCCTGTGAAGCTTGATGTCTCGAAACCAGAGGAGGTCAGTTCGTTGGTCGAGAGTCTGCCGCAGGAGTTCAGAGCTGTTGATATCCTGGTCAACAATGCGTAAGCCCCCTTCAAAAAGTCCTTTTTCTTTGCAGAAGGATGGTATGCTAACATATCATGAGATAGAGGCCTCGTCAAAGGCATGGACCAAGCCCCCAACATCAAAGCCGAAGACATCGACATCATGTTCTCCACCAACGTCACCGGCCTAATCAACATGACTCAAGCCATTCTCCCCATCTTCAAGGCCCGTTCCGACGGCGGCCGCGGCGACATCATCAACATTGGCTCCATTGCCGGTCGCGAACCCTACCAGGGCGGATCGATATACTGCGCAACCAAGGCGGCAGTACGATCCTTCACGGATGCTCTGCGCCGCGAGCTCATCTCGACGCGGATACGGGTGATAGAGATTGATCCGGGGCAGGTCGAGACGGAGTTCAGCATTGTGCGGTTCTACGGGGATAAGGAGAAGGCGAAGAAGGTGTATGAGGGTGTGGAGCCCCTGACGCCCGACGATATCGCTGAGATAGTAGTGTTCGCCGCGGGAAGGAGGGAGAATGTGGTTATTGCGGATACGTTGGTATTTCCTAATCACCAGGTACGTCATCATCCCTCTTCGACTCCTGCAGAGAGGTTAGGGCAGCGCTGACTCCCCTGCTAAAGGCTGCAGCAACGGTTATGCACAGGAAGTCATGATCAGCAAGCCATGGAACTGACAGTGTATATACAGGCCGGGGCCGGAGGAGGCGCCCTGTATCGGAAGCCCCCTGGGTATAAGCTATAGGACGCATGTGCATATGTCAAGACGTTTTGCAGTTAGACACGAAGTCAGCATCCGCATCATACAAGACAAGACTCGTAATGAATAGATCGCGTTCCATTCATGTCATCTTAAACCATCCATTGATATATCGTACAGAGTCCAGCTAATAGCAGTTGAGACGCATACATCATGCAAGCCAATACCCCCGACGGCCACTTTTATTTACTTCTTGCCCTTCTGTCTGAGGTGCTCCTCGTCCTCCTCCCTCAACTCCTGATCGATCCTCGCGCCTCTGCTGGGTTCATTGCCATGTGCCCGGGCCGGTAGCGTCGCATCCTTCTCGAGCATCTTGTGCTCCTCGCTCTTCCTTGCACCCTCACCCGTCTCCTTCTCGCGGGCAATCTTGTTTGCCGTGGTGCGGTTGTCTGCTGTAGCGGCATGTGTTAGCAGGTGCCTGGCGACCGCGGACGCCGTGGGTTTCACATACTGGGATCTTGCTGAAGGTGGGCCTTGCCCCCGCTGTAGCGCTCACGCTCCTTGAGCTCGGATTGCGAAGAGGTGCGCTGGTCGCCAGCCTCGTAGATGTTGCTGCTCCCGACGTTGCTGGACATGATGGATTTGAATTGACGCGAGTTTGGAAGTGATGAGATGTAGTGATGACTTAGGATTTTGAAGAACGAGAAGGTGGATGGTTAGATTGAGGTTGACTGCATTGCGTTGGTTCGTCCTGGCGAGATTTATCTAGTTGTTGCTCCCCACCCCTTAGCACTGGTGGCCCATATAGCGCATCATGACGTCAGTTATGAACTCAACAGTGGGTCAAGTAAACTGTGCTAGATAGCAGAGGATAGTACCATTGACGGTAAGCTGAATGTTGATCTGAGTGCTGTTGAGGATTGTTCTCAAGACCTGGCAAATAACCTGATTACCTGGCTGCTTCCCTTCGGCCCGCCGTCTCCTGCACAATATTATTCCTCATTCCTGAAACTGGGCATAGGGAGTGATTCCCACTCTCCGTTTCGTACGACCTATCGAGGAGCTGAACCCTTCTATTTCTAACTCTATGCCAAATATGAGAAGGTAGGGGTTTCCAGGTGCCGGGTATCGTTTCACATAGTGCAAACATCTCTTTCGTATAGTCGTTGTTTTGATCCATTCAATCATGTCCCCCGCACTACTCCATCTCAATGGTCCCAGGGGGCTTGCTCGTAACTTTTCATCATCAGCAGGGTTCTATCCGGAGAACGCAGTTCAACTCACCGTCATATACCACACGGCAGACGCCGTTGACTTCGTTTACAATCCTCCTGCTCACCTTCTTCAGAAATTCGCCATCGAATGGATACCAGTCCGCCGTCATGAAGTCGGTCGTCTCCACAGCTCTAAGCGCAATGACTTGATCGTGGACACGCTTGTCTCCCATGACACCCACTGCTTTGACGGGCAGCAACGCTGCGAACGCCTGACTTATCTTTCTGTAGAGGCCAGCAGCCTTGATCTCTTCGATGAAGATGTGATCGGCCTCCCGCGCGATGCGGACCTGCTCGGGTGTGACCTCACCAAGGATACGGATGGCAATGCCCGGGCCTGGGAACGGATGGCGCCAGACTAGGTCCTCCGGTATGCCGAGGTTGGTGCCGAGTTCGCGGACTTCGTCCTTGAATAGCTCGCGCAAGGGCTCAATGAGCTTGAGAGACATTGTGGCCGGAAGGCCGCCGACGTTATGATGTGTCTTGATGGTCGCAGATGGTCCTTTGAACGAGATACTCTCGATGACGTCGGGATACAACGTGCCCTGAAGGAGCCACTCGATCTCTCCAGCGTGCTCTGAATTGTGGGCTGCCGCAGCAATCTTCTTAGCCTCCTCCTGGAAGACCTCGATGAAGGTGTTGCCAATGACCTTGCGCTTCTTCTCCGGATCATCCGTAATGCCTTTGAGACGGCCTAAGAAACGCTCTGATGCGTCGACGACGGTAAGGTTGATGCCTAGTCCTTTGGTAAGGGTCTCCTTCACGATCTGGGCCTCGTTTAGCCGCAGGACTCCGTTATCGACCAGCACAGCATGGAACCGATCGCCAATGGCTTCTTGCATCAACTTTGCGGCGACCGTGGAATCGACACCACCACTGACGGCACCAATGACCTGTCCCTTCTCGCCAACCAGAGCACGAATGCGCGCAATCTCCTGATCGACGAATTTGCTCATTGTCCAATTCGTCTTTGCCTGGCAGATATCCACGGCAAAGTTCTTGAGCAGAAGTTTGCCCTTGGGCGTGTGTGTGACCTCGGGGTGGAACTGGATGCCATACAGCTTCTTTTCCCTGTGTGCGATGCCCGCAAAGGGAGCATTATCCGTCGTGGCGACGGTGACAAACCCCTCAGGGATATGGCTCAGCTTGTCACCATGACTCATCCAGACCTCCATATCGTCCTCCAGGTCTTTGAACAACGCGTTCACATGTCCACCGGTGCTTGCATCTCCGTGTCTTTCCACCTTGAGATACGCATGCCCGTACTCTCTCTTTTCTCCCGCGAGTACATTCGTATTGTCATGGTTCCATGCGATCTCCTGTAGTCCATAGCAGATGCCCAGAATCGGGATATCGAGCTTGAAAACCTCGGGGTCGACGTGCGGCGCATCAGGCCAGTATACCGAGTAAGGGCCTCCGGAGAGAATGACGCCCTTGGGGGTCCAGCCGAGCTCGGAGAGTTTCTGAGTACAAGGAAGCATTTCACTGTAGACATTGAGCTCGCGCAGGCGACGGGTGATCAAGTGCGAGTATTGCGACCCAAAGTCGAGCACCAAGATGGTGTCGAAGGTCTTGTGCGGGGGAATTGGATCGCTGCCGTCGGTGGCCATGATGAGTACCGGAGCACTTGGGCTCTTGGATTGGGTCTGAGAAAGGAATAAGAGGTATTCGGTCCACGATCGAGGCAATCTTCGAGTCGTGACGAGGGGAGAGAGGGGTGAAGATGAGTCCACAAAAAATATTTTGGCGGGGCAAGTCGCGTCTGTAGGGCTGAAGGCGAGGCCCGTGCTTTCTGCGGGCGGGCAACCAGACCTCCGCAGCGGTCCCAAAAATTATCTCGACACTTCTATCACGATAACTTGTTACAGTAATGGCAAAACGGAAATCGAAAAGACAGCACGCGGACGCGGAGGAGCTTCCTGATGCGCCTCCAGCTCAAGATCAGAATGGCAAGCGCAAAAATGATGATTCGGAGAGTGACGAGGTAGGCACACGCCCAAGGATTGAGAACCCGCTTTGCAAAGTATAATGACATGTAACTAGGATATGGATATGGTGAATGTGGACTTCGAATGGTTCGACCCGCAACCCGACGTCGACTTCCACGGCCTGAAAACCCTCCTTCGCCAACTCTTCGACATCGATGCGCAGCTCTTCGATCTATCCGCCCTCGCCGATTTGATCCTCTCGCAACCGCTGCTCGGAAGTACAGTAAAAGTAGATGGGAACGAAACCGACCCATACGCATTTCTTACCGTGCTCAATCTCTCCACCCACAAGGACAAGCCCGTGATACAGCAGCTCACGCAATACCTCTCGAAGCAGGCGACCAAGCGCGGCGGGGATATCGCAAAGGTCCTGCCCCAGCTACTGGCGCCGGAGAACGATGCACAAGTCGGACTGATTTTGACCGAACGATTCATCAACATGCCCCATGAGATTGTACCGCCCATGTACACCATGTTGCAGGAGGAGATTCAATGGGCGCTGGAGGAGAAGGAGCCTTACAACTTCACACACTACCTTATACTCTCCAAGACGTACAGCGAGGTCGAGTCATCCTTGCGGACGGATGATCAACCGGCGTCCAAGAAGAAGAAGGGTGGTGGCGGGGTTGAGCCGGAGACGTTCTACTTCCATCCCGAAGACGAGGTGCTGCACAGACACGCGGTTGCCTGGAGCAACTTCGAGTACGAGACGCCTGTTGATGCGGGCGCGAGCGACAGCAAGAGAGCCTTCCAGGAGATGGGTGTGTCGTCCAAGGGCCATATCATCTTGCTCGAGGCGGACAAATTCGCCGGAGCTGTGGACGCTGTCAAAGAGTTCCTCAATGGAGCGCAGTGAGATGGCCGCAGGTTGGTCTCCGGAATCTACTCGACTTAGGTAGGGGAATCTACCATATTTCCCTCTGGGTAGTTGCTGGCCATTACAAAAGAGAAAATATACCCCACATTCAATTTGAGAATACCTGCAATGGTTCTTGAACATAGGGACCTGTGATGATACATTCCTACTACACATATGGGATCTATATCATGCAGTGACGGAAGTTTCTGTAAGGAAATTCGACTTGTTACACTTCGGTAACGACACACGACGCTCCACCAGACACCAAGACCATGCCTCTATATTTACAAAAGCGGGATTCCCTTAACCAATGACGACCTTGCCCTCCTCTGGGAAATCGTACTGGGGAATCTCGAGGTTGAGCGGGGCGGGTCCCTTCCTTATGCGGCCGGAGATGTCGTAGTGGGAACCGTGGCAGGGGCAGAACCAGCCGCCGAACTCGCCGGCCTCGCCAATGGGCACGCATCCCAGGTGGGTGCAAACACCTATCATCCATTAGCATGCCTCGGTTCACCTTCGGGAGTTGCGTACGCACCCAACATGATCAGCCACTCGGGCTTCTTGACACGGTCTGAGTCGGGCTGAGGATCACGGAGGGCTTCCCACTTGGTGTCTTCTGCCTCTTTGATCTCCTCTTCGGTGCGGTGACGGATGAAGACGGGCTTGCCTCGCCACTTGATGATGACCTGTAGCAGTATCAGCTTCTGGTCCGGGTTGCGGCGGGGGGAAATTTAGCCTCACGTTCTTGCCCTCCGGGATGGCAGCGAGATCGATCTCAACCTTGGCCTGAGCCAGAACGTCGGCGGAGGCAGACATGTTGACGAGGAAATCTGGACAAGCGAACGAGTTAGCTGAAGCGCATTTTCCATCTCGCCGCGCAACCAATTCATCAGCCAATTCATCAACCAATTCATCAACCAATTCATTCCCCAATATGCCAACCGCGCTTCCAAGTACAAAGACACTACTCTCCTGCGCATTTCAACTCTTTTCCAAGCTCCTCCAACAGCGGTAGAGTTCCCGTACCTTGCACAGTCGCCTTTGCTCCCATCGCAGACAGAGCTCCCATGGTGCCGACCATGAAGTACTGGAACAGCTTCGGTCCATGCTCGCCACCCTTGGTCCTGTACGCGGCAAAGCTGGGGATCTTGGTCGAAGTCGCGGCACCCTTGAAGGGGCTGTCGAAGGACGGAGTGGCGTGGGCATCGGAGACGTTGCGGGTCTGAATCAAGGCGCACGACGCCCGCGCGACGGGCAATTGGTGCGCCGTCCACGAGCGGGCGAGCGCACGCGTGGTGTTGGCGAGAGCGGGCATCGCGAGGACGAAGATGCGGAGGTGGGATGGCGGGAGGATGGGAGGATGGGAGGACGCTGAGGATGGATGGGTTGGTCCGTTGAGCGTTGAAGTCAAGGAAAAGCGAAGTTGGAGTTGAGCGGCTGTGATCTGTTGTATGCGTTAATCCGAGTTTTCTTGGCGCTTGCCCGTCGCTCTTGGTACACCTTCTTTCTCGACAGGCTTTTTTCTGCACTGCCTGTACTGCAACAACTACGCAGTAAAATACGCTGCCACTTATAGAATATTGCCTTTCTATAAAATAAAGCTTGCTCTATAAGTTTTAGCTTATTTTATTATATAGTTGTTGTAGTGTAGGTACCTAGAGGTAGGTCTAAATTCTAGCCCTTACGCAGAGTTGCAATCCTCTGCGCAACTAGACATAAAGGCTAGAATATACCTCCCTATATTGTAACAACTACGTAATAAAATAAGCTAAAACTTATAGAACAAGCTTAGTTTTATAAAAAGATAATATTCTATGGGAAGAACTTTTCGGAGACCCCCCAAATTCCCTGGCGAAGACCCCCCACTCAGATGTACGCAGTCGTCACTGAATATTCGCTGTGCTTAACCATTTGCAGCAAAAGCCTCAGCTCGGAAAACGTTTTTCTCTCCCGGCTGTACGCCCCCTCCGATTTTTTGGCAGAGAGCCTCATGCCCATGCATCGCCCATCCGGGCGTAGTGAATTGCCCAAATTTGCGACTGCACAAGGCACTAGACCTCGCTTAATTCACGCTAGCCAAAAGGGTGCCTTTGGCGGTGCAACACCAGACCCAAATTTCATCTCCACAACTACACTCTACAACTGCAACACTATTACTACTACCTTTTTAAGGCTTAAATTTACTCTCCTTACTGCACGCTTTTATTTGCTACCTTCCACGCCAAATTTGGGCGCTGCGTTGTGGTTCTGTATTGGGTAACAGTAAGTCTAGCAGTTAGCCCTAGTCCTGCATGGGTAGTGGCAGCACGCCATCTCCACATTAGCAGGTCAGAGAGCTAATGTGCCCGATTAGATGGCGAATACGAGCCCATCCCCACCACCAGGGATGCCCCCTGAATCTCCGAGCACGCTAATTGATGAGGCCAATGAGAAACCAGATGGTGTATTGATTGAAAAGGAGGACTACAAAGAGGCAGTAGAGGAGGTCAACAAGCAGCTGCAATCTCAGGGTTACGCGGTCTCCATTGACAGCTTCAAGAAGTATAAGGGCAAGGCCACCAAGGATCTCATCAAGATTGTACATCTCCGCTGCGCACACTCCCGCAAATATCTGCCAAAGGGTGAGAAAGGCAAAGCTACCCGAATGACGCAGTGTGAATACCGGGCAAACCTCCACCGGGATGGCCTCATTTGGAAGCTCCATATTCGAAACCCCATCCATAACTATAAGCCTACAATAAACAATTACGTCCTGCCACACTTCCACAAGCGATCAAACTATGGAGATAGAGTTATTCAAGAAGGCTTTGAGGGCAATCTCCTTGTTAAGGAAACTCATCGGCAGCTGCTCAATCTTGGAGAAAACACCACCATAAAAGATATATACAATCAGTGGAGGAAGCTTGTTCAGGTGGAGCTCGGCTCTCGCACTAAAATTCAGGCACTCCTTGAGACCCTGGAGGAATACACTGACAGTGAAGGAGCTAAATACTTTCATCGCCATGGCCTTGACGAGCAAGACCAACTCTACTGGGTATTGTTTGCCCACCCAATCTCTATGAAGATACTTAAACAAAACCCCGATGTCATTATTATCGACTGCACTTACAAGACCAATCGATTCAATATGCCCTTGCTGCATATAACTGGCGTAACTGCTCTGGGTACTACATTTGACATAGGGTACGCTTTCATGCCTGGAGAAACAATTGAAGATTACGACGCAGTAATCCATGGCTTCCTTGAGCTTGTTCGGGAGCTTGAAGTTGCTCCTTGCTGCTTTCTTGTTGATCAGGAAGACGCTCTCATCTCTGCCCTCAAGCACTACTTTGCAGGAGTCTCTATATGCTATTGTATATGGTATATTAACCAGCATGTTCAAGCTAAGGCTACAAAGCATGCGTGGGACGTACGCCGAGGAGATACTGATGAAGAGAAGGAGGAGATTCAACAGCAGAGAGAGACTTTCCTTTCACAGTGGTACGAGCTTGTAGGCTGCAAGACTCTTCCTGAATTTTGGGACGTACGGGCAGAGCTCAAGGAGGACTACAAGGCCTATCCAAAGCTTCTTTCTTATCTTGAAGAGCACCAAATTCCTCACCAGAAGCACTGGGCCAACTGCTACACCAAGGACTATCCTGACTTTGGAGAAACTGTAACGTCACGTGGTGAGGGTGCCCATAGATCTCTCAAGGCAAATCTCACCTCATCTCATGGTCACCTATACGACGTTTTGAAGTCTATCAATCATATGCTTGTTACTCAGTACAATGAGTATAAAGCTATCATGGGCAAGGCACATAGTCGAGTCCCACAGAGATTGAATTTGCCAGAGTTTCGGGTACTCCACAATAAAGTAACGCCTCCTGCCCTAGACCTTTTGAAAGAGCAGATCTCACTTGCCAAAAACGAGCAACAATACAGGCCTGGCTGTACAGGCTCCTTCACAAAGAAGTACGGTTTGCCCTGTTGCCACACTCTCCACCGACACGCCCATCGAGCAGTCGAAAGTGAGATAAATATAACCCTTGAGGAGATCCATCCTCACTGGCACTACTACCCAAAACGGAGCAGCAGTCAAATACTGCCTGCTGTCGTGCCTCGTGATCCTGCAACAGTCAAGGGCAAAGGCTACCCAAAGAAGCAGAAGATGAGTGCCCCTACCTACCGACCCTCCGCACTTACTGACAGTCAGCGAGAGCCTTCCAGTTTTGAGGTAGTTGCAGCAAGCCAAGTCACAGCTACCCAGCATTCCCATGCCTCTTACACTCCAGGCCATGGCTGTGGGGGTGATGGAGGTCAATCCTCGGTTGCTCTCACTGCCAATTCCACTGCCAAACCTAACCATGGTAGCACCGCCAGCCAACCTATTGAGATCGACGGCTCTGCCCCAGGTGCATCTGGAGGTGAGTTATCTTCAACTCAGGTGACCGCAGTGGCTATGGGGTACAAGCCTGAGGAACTTATGGATCTCTCACAGTTCAGAGAGGAGTTTGCAAGGAGGAGCAATGCGGCTTCAGATGGCAAAAGGAAGCATGGGAGACCTGTTGGCTCGAAAGATAAGCAGCCGCGCAAGCGCAAGTCAACTGGCAAGGCTCTTGAGGCAGTAGGTGAGGTGGAGGAGGAGGGTAGTGTTTAAGTTTGGTGTTCTATCCCAGCTGCATCACGGGTTTTGTGGAGTCCCCACAACAGTGAGCTATTGCACCACCAAAAGCGATTGGAAAATTCTGAAACTTGGGGAGACGGTTCTGATAGTGTATAACTTCAATTTGAATTAATTACTTTATCTGTGGGTTGCGTGGAGTTGAGTTTTGCAAGGGTGATGGGGTGAGAGTCGCGATGTTCACCAAAATGGCTCTCAGGACTGTTCCTTGGCGTAGGCGCTGCGATGACTGTCGATGCCCGGAGTTGCGCTCGGATCAGGGGACTGGGTATATTTGATCACGGGGTGTAGTTTGCATCCCTGCAGTATTTTGGGTCACGACTGCGTACATCTGAGTGGGGGGTCTTCGCCAGGGAATTTGGGGGGTCTCCGAAAAGTTCTTCCCTATTCTATAAGTTACTGCTTATTTTACTGCGTAGTTGTTGTAGTTCTTGTAGTGCAGGTACGTGTAGAAAAACAGAGGGTGATTAAGACGCGAGACAACGCGCCAAGAAAACTCGGGTTAACGCATACAATAGATTGGTCGGGAGTTGGGCCGAGCTCATCCGATCAGATAATAACCTCTCCTCAACACCACACGCAACTATCGCCATCTCACCGAGTGTAAGATATCATATTGCGCGGCATCGCTCTGCACAATTCTCAGATTACGATGGTGTTCCAATTCTGCCGGTAGAGAAAGCGCCTGCTGGGTCATGATGCTGTCTGTCTGTCACTGTGTGCTGATTATTTTTCCAAAGGTTCTCTCTTCCATTATTCTGGGAAAGAGGGCCTCACTGGGGCTGTCGAGCTGCTGCCTCGTCTCTCGTGGCGCGTCTTCAAGTACTTAAAGCTGCTAACAACACAGCCTAACTCACAAAACCACAGCGAAGTCGGTGCTGGGAACAGTATTTTCCTAGCCCTCCGATTTGACTTTCTCCCTTGCACTTTCATACTCTCTCTCTCTGGCCAAAACGTCAACCAAATCACAACAGAAGAAGTATGTCAAACCAGGCAGCCACTGTCGGCACTGAAGTGCCCTCGTCAACGAAGCTCTCTCTCACCCACCTCAAACGCGATATCTTCTCCGCCCCGGCAGGTAGCGTGCTCATCCACGCCTGCAATGCTCAGGGCAGCTGGGGCTCTGGTATAGCCCTCGCCTTCCGCAACAGCTATCCCTCGGCCTATCAAGTCTACCGCTCGCACTGCCTTACCCGGCACAATCCACGCACAAATCCAGTTCGGACTGGAACATGCCTGTTGATCCCGCCCTGTGAGACCAAGGCCGGCATCCCCGCGCATTGGATTGCATGCCTTTTCACCAGTGCAAAGTACGGAAAAGCCAAGGACCCGCCGAGTGTGATCCTGCGGAACACGAAAGCTGCCATGAAGGACCTGCTCAGGCAAGTGAAAACCAGGATGGAAGCCGGCAAGGAACTGGGATCGCTAGTCATGTGCAGGATCAACAGTGGGAAGTTCGCAGTCAAGTGGGGGAGAACCGTCGATGTGCTGGAAGGCATTGTGGTTGAGGAAGGCGAGGCGAGCAACGTCGAGGTCTGGTCTCTTGACGAGGATTGAGGGTGCCAGGGATTTCACGTTCTCAGGCTGAGCCAGCTGGGAAGCCATCCGGGCATATGACTGCTTTCAGAGGAGCGTGTCACTGACGAGTTGAGGGAATCAATGAACATGTAGTACAAGATCCGCTTCAAATGATATGCGCGAATCCATAGGTCCATGAATATGCCCCTGATTCGTATCTCTGCACCCGTAACGCCGAACCATAATACACATGTCCCAGATGTCAACGCCAGCCCAATGCAGTCCCCAAGCACTATGCATCAACTTGTCCCATTCGCCTCAGCGATACCACTTGTGCGCCGCTCCGCCACGGGACCTGTTCCATTCGCCCTCCCGCCCCGCATCTCCATCTCCAGCTGCATGGCCGCGCCGTCCTCGTCGTCTTCCTCCGGACCACTCTCTGTCACATCACCGTCCAACTCCATCTTGTCTGCCGGCTCCTGCACCTCCTTCTCTATGCTCCCATTCCCATTCAAGGGAGCAGTAGTAGCAGTTCCCTCAGCAACAAGCACCGTCTCTGTCCCCACGGCCTCGCTCGTCTTCCCAACCCCTTTACCACTTGCCGCTACCTTCTGTTTATATTCCCTATACGTCATCGTGCGTGGGACCACATCAACGAGGAACTCGAGATTATCCGTCTTCGCCACGGCAGACGCTACATCGCGGTACTGGATGTTTCGCCGGGGTTTGCGCTCGGCTTTGACGACGTTGTGAGTGGTTACCGCCATGTGCTGGATGAACATCTCAGTCGCGAGGGCAATGGCGAAGGCGGCGTTTTTGGAGACATGGGGGCGTTCCGCATCGGCGTTGATGATCTTTTGGACGCGTGCGACTAGGGCAGTGTGTTAGTGGGGAAGGCGTTTGGAGGCATTTGCTCGAGTTAAAAGGAGAATATCTTTACGGAAAGATGCCGCTCCAAGGAATTGAGGCAGGGAACGATTTCAGGAGCTTTGAATCAAGCCGAAGGCGCCCACTTACGCGGTAGAGAGACCTGCCCGCTCACCTCCTGCGAGGGCGCAATTGGAGTATTGTTGTAAGGCATTCGAGCGACGTTCAGGTCGGGAGGAGCGGAAGAACGATTTTATCTACGGGGAAGAGTCGAACGCGCTCTTAAGTTGACGTATTCTTGGCTGCTTCTAAGCGCGAACGGCTGGACATATGGATATGGGTTGGCGGCGCGTCATACGGAGCTGGTTGTAAAAGTGTTTGCAGTGTTGTCAAACACCTCGGTCCGCATACTAAGTACGGTAGATTTGAAGACGACGTTTCAAGCGCTATACCGCTTTTGGCCAGTAACTTACACAACGTCGGTGCAGATGTGCAACAAACATCAACGGATCCTTTAATTTAGTCGGGTGGATAAGATTATATAACTATCGAGTCGTATCGCTGATTGAACCCACATAGGACCATATCTGACCTTGCTATTGAAAATAATGCCCGCCTGCCGAGCTTTTAATGGTCTCCTTCATCACGGCTCCAATATCAAGCTCTATAATGGACGAACTTCTGTGTATTTAATATCAAAGCTTCCAATTGCGCAACGAGGACCTTTCTCAGTTTCTCTGCATTGGACATTGATTATTATTCGTAAAGAATCGTGTTGCATATCTAAATGCCGTGTCGTCAGAGCGGAAAAGGATACGGGAAGTTCTCACTGGATCAAGCGACTTTTATAGGTCTCTCATAGAATGCTGGAAATATTATAAAGCGTTGGCATAACTATTGTCAAGGTTCAAGTTCGTTCTTGATGGGCGTGCGAAGTTGCCGGGTAGATGCAACTGGAATAACTTCCAAACCAATTCAGGCACTCTGCAATCTGTGCGTTCTCTGAGGTCTCTGCATTTGAACAAGGCTATATCCCGTCAATATGGCCTTACTAGTCTCAAGGACATGCAACAGATCACGCGGTGATACGAGGTTACAGTACCGGGTGCTGTGATATAAAGCGAACTGTGTGGCGCTACTATGTGGCGGTGCAAACGCGGTATTCAGCTCCCATAGCTCCGACTTGCAGCTATCATTGTTCTCGACTCCTCCACGCGTGCTGTGACCAGAAAATGATGCGATGAATCGAAGCCAGTCCCTACAGCCCCGTACCCGACCTCGCCACCAAGCCACCCGCTCGACCTCTTTCACTCCCTCCCTTCGGCGTCGAACAACCGCCGGCTCTCAAGGAGCAGACCTCAGTGACGATCCCGAGACCGCGCAAGCAGCAAGCTCAGAGGAGCATGCCATACAGGAGGAGATTGCGCAGATAAAGCGCTACGAGGACTTCACCACAATAGACTGGGTGCAAGATGCTGCTCGAGAACAGCTTCGACGCCGGGCCAGGCGCAAAGAGCGCGCGGGATTCTGGGAACGTGAGGGTCGGATAGGCTGGCGGAGGAAGATATCGGAAGCCTATGATGCAGGGCAGGCTTGGATCGTGGTTACACTCGTTGGGGCAGCAATAGGACTGAATGCGGCGTTTCTGAACATTGCTACAGAATGGTTGAGTGATATCAAACTAGGGTATTGCGAGACAGCGTTCTATCTGAATGAGAACTTTTGCTGTTGGGGAGCCGAGGACGGTATGTTGGGATGATCTATGCGCGACCCGCGGGATGGCAAACTGATATTGATAGGTTGCCCTGAGTGGCATCGGTGGAGCGGTTTCTGGCCGCTGAATTACATCCTCTACATAGCTTTCGGAGCGCTTTTCGCTTTGACTGCTGCCACGCTGGTCAAGTCCTTCGCACCATATGCAGCAGGATCGGGCATATCCGAGATCAAATGTATCATTGCTGGTTTCGTAATGAAGGGTTTTCTTGGAGCTTGGACGTTGCTCATCAAGTCGATTGGGCTACCGCTTGCCATTGCTTCAGGACTGTCCGTGGGAAAGGAGGGGCCCAGTGTGCATTATGCCGTATGCACGGGCAACGTCATATCACGATTCTTTGACAAGTACAGGCGGAACGCGGCCAAGACGCGCGAGATTCTGAGCGCAAGTGCTGCAGCGGGCGTTGGTGTTGCCTTCGGTAGCCCAATTGGAGGAGTTCTATTCTCCCTGGAGGAGATGTCCAGCCAGTTTCCGCTGAAGACGATGTGGCGGAGCTACTTTTGCGCTTTAGTCGCCACGGCTGTGTTGGCGGTAGGTGAACCACCGGAATTCTTTTGCTCAGAGACTGATAGCAGAGCAGGCCATGAATCCTTTTCGAACGGGGCAACTAGTCATGTTTCAGGTCAAGTATGACCGTTCGTGGCATTTCTTCGAAGTGCTATTTTTCCTCATCATCGGCGTCTTTGGTGGCCTTTACGGCGCCCTTGTGATCAAGTGGAATCTCCGTGTGCAGGCGTTTCGAAAGAAGTATCTGGCGCAATACCCCATCATAGAATCCGTGACTCTGGCTGTCTTCACGGCAATTATCTGTTATCCTAATATGTTTCTGAGGATCGACATGACGGAGAGTATGGAGATATTATTCAGGGAATGTCGTGGGGATCACGATTACGACCAACTATGCGAGTGAGTATCATTTTATGCTGGAGGTGTGAGATTCGCTGACGCGCCAAAGACCTCAGAATCGAGTGCATATGATGCTCTCCCTTTGTATTGCAACGGTCATACGGACGTTCCTGGTTATCATCTCCTACGGTTGCAAGGTACCGGCCGGCATCTTCGTCCCGTCCATGGCGATTGGAGCGTCTTTTGGAAGGATGGTGGGCATCTTCGTCCAATACCTACAGGAGTCTTTTCCCGAGTCGGCCTTCTTCTCCGCCTGCGAGCCTGACGGCCCATGCATCACACCTGGAACGTATGCTTTCCTGGGCGCGGGTGCTGCTCTATCGGGTATCATGCACATAACGGTTTCGGTTGTAGTCATCATGTTTGAACTCACGGGGGCTCTCACTTATATCTTGCCGACCATGGTAGGTTGTCCTCTGAAGTTCAAGGGCCTGGACTGATATGAGTTAGATCGTCGTGGGAGTCACAAAGGCGGTCAGCGAACGTTTCGGCCATGGCGGCATCGCAGATCGCGCCATCTGGTTCAACGGGTACCCTTTTCTTGACACCAAAGAAGAGCATACCTTTGGAGTACCCGTCTCCCAGGTCATGGCTACAGACGTTGTCTCGCTTCCTGCTACAGGGCTTGACATCCGCGCCGTCGAACGTATTATGAGAGAGAATCAGTACCAAGGTTACCCCATTGTAGAGGATTCGACGTCAAAGACCCTCATAGGCTATATTGGACGTACCGAGCTCGGCTATGCGATAGATCGTGCAAAGCGACATCAGCAGGCGCCCGGCAGCGCCGTGGTTTCGTTTGTTTCCTCATCTTCCGGGTCTCACACGGATCCTCGAACCCCGTCCACGCTCATGCCCGCGGTTTCATTTGACACAATGTCAGCGACTTCTATTCCCAGTCGGATCGATCTGCACAAGTTCATCGACCCAACGCCGTTGTCGGTGCATCCTCGCCTCCCCCTGGAGACGGTGATGGAGATTTTCAAGAAGATGGGACCTCGAGTCATTCTCATCGAATACCGTGGGCGTCTCACTGGATTGGTCACGGTAAAAGACTGCCTGAAGTACCAATTCAAGGTCGAAGCACAGGATCAGCCCCAGCAGGCAGGAAATTGGGACGAGAGCGGTGAGGCGCTCTGGGGGCTTATCAGAGGGGTTGCCAGTTGGATGGATGGAAGGCTCAATGTAGTACGGAGACTGCTGGGACTTCGGAACGGAGACATTAGGTTGACGAGTCCGACGGCGCCGCGAGCACGGCCGGCGGGGAGGACAAGTGAGGGGAGTTCAGGAGTCGAGCTGGAGGATCGGCCGGGCGTGGATGAGCGGTGATGTGATACCTACTACTCTATAGGGAGGAGATAGTGCTAGACGGACACAGGTAAATTTGTCCAAGCCAACGACTGCCCTTATTCTTCCAATGGTAGCGCAGTCGGGCGGGATGTGTCCTGCGCTCACGTGACCTTGTCGGAACACGCGCCCGATTCTATGATCAAGGAAATTTCCTGCGAAGCCTCGGGTGGAAGGCCTCGTTTCATATCAATTCTTCCCCATTATTGTTTCTGCTGTGTGCGCAAATGTTTTCTTCGGCGGGTGTTCGACTTCTTTGTGCGTGCCTGTTGCCAAGCTCCTGGCGGCAAGGCGCTCCTGGCTCCCCTGGACAAAGCACCGTTGCCGCGTCTGATCGCGTCCTCCGCAATTTGAGAGGCCTTGCGTTCTGCGTTGTCAACATTCACCATTTCCCACCCACCACCCACCACCCACCACTCACCTTGCAACTTCACGCCGCCCTTCAATCTCGACCGGTTGTCGCCTCGTCTTCCTCGGATCCCGGACGCAGCGCAGCACATGTCTCGTTCCCAAACTGTCGCCTAAACAGCAGTTATGGAGGGACCACTGGCCCCTGGGACGTCCAACGGCATTCGAACCCCCAGTCCCGCCCCGTTGACGACAGATCCTCAGATTCTGCTCGACTATCTTACGAAGCTTTTGGAGGTGAACTTGGGTGCATCTGAAGCCGATCTACGCGCCCCGGGCAGCTTACTCTCACCTTCGAGGTTGCAGGACACCTTGCAGCGCTGCACACGATTTGCCCAGGAATCACAGACTGTGCTATACGTGTTGAAAGAGCGCCTGGATGAAACTCGTATAGATCAGCAGGATACTCTGAATGGTGAGATATCTGCAGCACGGAATGGGAGCCACTTTCCACTGACAGTGACCAGGGATTCCTGCACGCTATTCGTATACCCTCTCCTCCGAACTTACCTTTTCTACCGCATGTGCGGCGTTTATTGTGATTACGAAGCGAGCGATACCCATAGACCCTGCGATACCCCTCAGCGATCAAGTTCAGATTCATACTCTTTCCGGCTTTAATCCTTCGACTAATAATGCGTCTTCGCAAGACACCTCTCCCCTTGAAACCCTACATTCGATCCTCCAGTACTCGGTTGAACCCTACTTCGATGGCTACGCAAAGAGTCAGCGCAGCCTGGCTGGCGCATATAGCAAGGGTGACACTGACGCGCGCACCGGCCTTTCTGCGACAAAGAGGAAAATCGCCGAGTTGGAATTGAGTTTCCAGAACCTGCAGCAAAACGTTGAGATCCCGCAACTTCTATTGCCGCTCCACCCCATCATTCAGAATGCGCTTGAAAAAGCGCAGGAACGCAACGTCAAACCCGCCCCCGAGCTGATTGACCCCCTTGTTCTCGCGGACAGCACCTTTCTGAACGGACTTCAGTCAACAGTAAACGGTTGGATCAGGTCGATCCAGGGCATAACGAGGACTTCGAGAGATGTCCACACTGGTACCGCCACCCAGGAGATCAACTTCTGGCTTTCCATGGAGTCACGCTTGGAGGACATCGAGGCGCAGCTTAGCAGCCCCGGCGTCAAGCTCACCTTGGACGTGTTGAAAAACGCGAAGCGATTCCAAGCTACCGTGAGTTTCAGTGCCGATACCGGGTTGAAGGAGAAAACAGATACGGTGCAGAAGTATAATCAGCTGATGCGCGACTTCCCCTTGGATGAGCTTCTTTCCGCCACTTCCCTTCAGAAAGTGGAAGAGGCAATCCAACAGATCTTCAACCACCTGAACAAGAAACTTCGCATCTGCCCCTATCCCGTCCACAGAGCGCTCCCCTTTGTTGAGGCTATCTCGGGCGATCTGGAGGATAGACTGCAGAACCTCCTCCACGGACGGACACTGATGCACATGGAGTATCCCGAGTTCCAGGAGCTCATGGCCATTGCTGAGAGGATCTGGCGTGCATGGGAAGAGAACGTCAAGGAGTTCACCAACGTTGCTCGTGAGGTAACGAGACGACGTAATGAGAAGTTCATCCCCATCAAGATCAATCCACGCCACAAGCAAGTCGAGGATCGTCTGCGGTATATCACTACCTTCCGCAAAAACCATGAGCAACTGCGACGCACCATTGTCACTGTTCTTGGTTCCCAGTCCACCCTCTCTGCTCTTTCCGATGGACCCCAAGGAAAGGAGACGGTCATTGTGGAGGAGATCGGCGACGTAGATGCCGTGGAAGAAGTTGCTCTCGCTTATGACGCCTTGAAAGACGTGGATGTGCTGGATGTTACCGCGGAGGGTACTCGCTTGTTCGAGCAGGCCGAGCAGAAGTACAATGAACGTACCTCTCGTGTGGAGAATTCCATTATAGCCAGGCTCAGAGATCGCCTCGGTACTGCGAAAAGTGCGAACGAAATGTTCCGCGTATTCTCCAAGTTCAATCCGCTCTTCGTGCGCCCAAAGATCCGGGGTGCCATCTCGGAATACCAAACGCAGCTTATAGACAACGTGAAACAGGACATCTCTGCGCTACACGAGCGTTTCAAGCGCCAGTACGGCAACTCCGAAGCCCACGCCATGGCACAGCTGCGCGATTTTCCCCCTGTCTCTGGTGCTGTCATCTGGGCCCGGCAGATTGAAACGCAGCTGGACAGCTACATGGGGAAGGTCGAGGATATTCTGGGAAAGGACTGGGCTTTGCATGCTGAAGGGCAGAAGCTCCAAGCTGAGAGTAGCATGTTCAAGAAGAAGCTCGATACCCGGCCCATTTTCGAGTCCTGGCTGCAAGAGGTCGCCCGGCGGAAAATATCCATTTCTGGTCGACTCTTTCTCATTAGCAAGAACCGCGCTGCTGGCAACATCCTTGAGCTTGGGGTAAACTTCGATGCTCAGGTTATTGCACTCTTCAAAGAGGTCCGTAACCTGACTTGGCGTGGTTACCAAGTACCCCATGGAATCAACAACATCTCAAAAGAGGCGAAGCGTGTCTACCCATATGCTGTCAGTCTTATGGAGAGCGTTCGAACGTATACGCAGACTGTACGGTCTATCGGCGAGCTGTCCGGTGTTGCGCTTCTCCTCAACGGTTACGTCAATGATGTTCAGACCCTGATCGGCAAAGGCGTACCGTTGAAGTGGGAATCTTTCGTACATGCATATGATCTGCATATCCGACAATCCAACTTTCCTACTGGAGCTCCTGCGACGGCCCGGAGTGAGAGCAAGCATGTCCAGTTCGTTCGAGAATTTGCAGCAGCAACTTCTCTGTTGCAGACCAAGGTGGCGACGCTTATCGCAATTCACACGAATGTTGAGAAGGCGTTGAAGGACCTAGAAACGTGCCCTTATACTGTCGAGTGTTTTCGACAAAACCTGGAGACCATACAGCGCTCTGTCGACCAGCTCAATCTTGAAAACTACGCCAACCTCTCATCCTGGGTCTCGGGGATGAATGCTCGCATCGAATCGATACTGTTGGTGAGGCTCACTCGGGCCATCTCCCAGTGGATCGACGTCTTCAACAATGCCGATGATGTCGAAAGCGACCGAAGACCGTCAAGCCAACCTGCTCCAGTCAACCCCGATGATGTGAGACCTGTGCTCTCCAAGGTAACTCTGGAGATCACCATGCGCAACCAGGTCATCTACCTCAACCCGCCCATTGAGCATGCTCGGGCAAGCTGGTTGGACCAGCTTCAGCAATGGCTTGCCGTCATTTGCAATTTGCAAAAGGTCAAGGCATCGCGATATCAGATGCGTCTCGAATTGAATGAGGATGTTTCCTCTACGCAGTTTTCGAATCTGCCCAGTCGATGCACAGACTCGTTGGCAGAGGTCTATGGGGCTGTAGAAGGAAGACTACGCGAAATCTCGTCTTATGTGGACGAATGGCTCCAGTTCCAGTCTCTTTGGGATCTCCAGTCAGAACATGTCTACGAGATATTAGGGGAGGACTTGTCTAGATGGCTGCAGCTGCTACAAGAGATTCGTAAGACACGCGCCACTTTCGACAACTCCGATGTCAGCCGTCGCTTCGGGTATGTTACCGTCGATTATGAGCAGGTGCAAGTCAAGGTCAACGCAAAGTATGATCAATGGCAGCAAGAAATTCTGGTCAAGTTTGCCAGCCGACTGGGTCAGCGCATGGCCGAAGCATACGCGGAAATCGCAAAAGCACGCAAGGATCTTGAAGCACAGACGCTGGAGGCGTCCTCGACGGCACAAGCCGTTTCCTTCATTACCACCGTTCAGCAGTGTAAACGGAAGGTACAGGCATGGGAGCCCGAGGTCGAAATATTTCGGCAGGGACAGACTATGCTGGCACGTCAACGATATCAGTTTCCACCCGATTGGCTTCACATGGATCAAATAGACCATGAATGGCAGGCCCTTAACGACATCTTGGAGAGGAAGTCCAAAGTCGCGGATGACCAGGCCGATGCCCTTCGTGCCAAGATCATCGCCGAAGACAAGTTGGTCAACCAGAAAATATCTGATCTCACCGGTGAATGGTCTGAACAGAAACCGGTGTCAGGAAGCATTGCCCCGGCAGATGCATCGGCGACCCTTGCGACATTTGACCAGAAGCTCAATCAGCTTCGCACCGAATCCGAGAATATATCCAAGGCCAAGGAGGCGCTTGGCCTGCCCCCGTCGCCAGAGAACACTCTTGCTTCCTTGCTCGAGGAAGTACAGGACTTCAAGGCTGTCTGGTCGGTTTTGGACACGATATGGGGCAGCCTAAATGACCTCCGAGATACACTTTGGACTAGCATCCAGCCCCGGAAGCTTCGGCACAATCTTGATAACCTCCTTAAAATGACAAAGGACCAGCCCGCTCGGATGCGTCAATACGCGGCATTCGAACATATCCAGAACACGGTGAAGCAATTGCTAAAGGTTAACTCCCTGCTTGGTGAATTACGCTCGGATGCCATGAGGGAGCGCCATTGGGTGAGGTTGTTCAAACAACTAAAACCCCAAAAGCGGTACTCAGCCTCTTCCATGACCCTCGGAGACGTATGGGATCTTCAACTTGGTCCAAGCGAAAAGATCATCCGGGATGTGATCACTCAAGCGCAGGGAGAAATGGCATTGGAGGAGTTCATTAAGCAAGTTCGGGAGACGTGGCAGAATTATGCGCTCGAGCTTGTGAACTACCAGAACAAGTGTCGACTGATTCGCGGTTGGGACGACCTATTCGCCAAATGCAGTGAGAATCTCAACTCACTTCAAGCAATGAGGCACTCCCCTTATTACAAAGAATTCGAAGAGGAGGCATCAGCGTGGGAGGAGAAGCTGAACCGGGTTCACGTTCTGTTTGATGTGTGGATCGATGTCCAGCGTCAATGGGTCTATCTGGAGGGCGTGTTCACGGGCAATGCGGACATCAAGCATCTCCTCCCAATGGAATCGTCTCGCTTTCAAAACATCAACTCCGAATTTCTGTCGGTTATGAAGAAGGTATCCCGGCAGCCGTTCGTTCTGGAAGTCCTCAATATCTCTGGAGTTCAGAAGTCTCTGGAACGTCTTGCCGAGCTCTTGAACAAGATCCAGAAAGCACTCGGAGAATACCTTGAACGCGAGCGCGTATCGTTCCCCAGATTCTACTTTGTCGGCGACGAGGACCTGCTGGAGATTATCGGTAACAGCAACGATACCCTGCGCATCTCGAAACATCTCAGAAAGATGTTCGCGGGCGTGTCTGGTCTAATCACCGACGAGAATGGCACCATTATCGGGTTCTCATCGAAGGAGGGTGAGGAAGTTCTGCTTCGGAACGAAGTTTCTCTTGTGAAAACACCTAGGATCAATGAGTGGCTCGGAGCGCTTGAGCTAAGCATGAAGACAACGCTAGCTGAGCTGACGGTCGAAGCGTTTCAGGAGTTTGGAGCACTGATGGAAGCCGAAAGTATGGATACAGTCGCTTTTGACGCCTACATTTCGAAATATCCCGCGCAAGTCGTTGTGCTTGGAACTCAGGTTGCTTGGACATCGGCTGTGGAGAAGTCACTTGCGGCCGAAGGAACCACGCTGCCGCAGTTGTACGAAAAGCAGGTGAACATCCTGAAGTTGCTGGCCACGTCCGTTCTTGGGGACTTGGAAGCCATACATCGGAGAAAATGCGAGCATCTCATCACTGAATTCGTGCATCAACGAGATGTTATCCACCGGCTGCAGAAGGCAGGCGCTCGATCGATTAACCACCCAATGTGGCTGTTGTCAATGCGTTATGTGTATGAGGCCGACAAGGACCTGTTGCAGCGACTGAAGGTCAAGATGGCCAACTCCGTGTTGGACTACGGATTCGAATATCTCGGCGTGGCAGAGCGTCTGGTCCGAACTCCACTTACTGATCGCTGCTTTCTCACCCTTACTCAAGCCTTGTGTCAAAGACTCGGTGGCTCACCTTATGGACCTGCAGGCACCGGTAAGACTGAATCCGTCAAAGCCTTGGGCGTTCAGCTTGGACGCTTCACTCTTGTCTTCTGCTGCGATGACACATTCGACTTCCAAGCGATGGGCCGCATCTTCTTGGGCATTTGTCAAGTTGGCGCGTGGGGCTGTTTCGACGAGTTCAATCGTTTGGAGGAGCGAATTCTCTCTGCCGTGTCACAGCAAGTCCAGAATATCCAGCTTGGATTGCGCAAAGGCGCAGAAGATGACAAAGCTCAAATTGAGTTGATCGGTCGTCAATTGAGGGTCAATACCAACACGGGGATCTTCATCACCATGAATCCTGGCTACGCTGGTCGTTCCAATCTTCCGGACAATCTCAAGAAGCTGTTCCGGAGCGTCGCAATGTCCAAGCCGGACAAAGAACTGATCGCTGAAGTGATGCTCTATTCGCAAGGCTTCTCTCGTGCGAAAGAGCTCTCTAAGCAAGTAGTCCCATTCTTTGACAGCTGCTCTACGAAACTGTCGAAACAAGCACACTACGATTTCGGTTTGCGTGCTTTGAAGAGCGTCCTTGTCAGTTCTGGTGGTTTGAAGCGTGCGCGTATCGCCATCCAAGGAACGGCGGGGACTGATGAAGAGACCATGGAGCCACAGATCATCGTCCAGAGCTTGCGAGAGACCATGGCCCCCAAGCTCATCCGATCGGATGTTGACATCATGAAGACTATTGAAGAAGCGGCATTCCCGGGCGTCGCTTACATCCCCGCGCCACTTGATAAGTTGGAAACGGCGATTAGAGCCGCTGCAGAAGAATCCAAGTTGGTCGTTCGGGATGCATGGTTGACGAAAATCCTGCAACTCTACCAAATTCAAAATCTCCATCACGGTGTCATGATGGTGGGTTCATCTGGGTCCGGCAAGTCAACTGCGTGGAAAACCTTGCTGTCTGCCCTCCAGGCCGTTGAGGGCGTAGAAGGTGTCTGCCATGTCATTGATCCCAAGGTCATGTCCAAGGAGATGCTCTATGGAACCCTCGACAGTACCACTCGCGAATGGACAGATGGTCTGTTCACAAGCATCCTCCGGAAGATTGTTGATAACCTTCGTGGCGAAGATAGCAAGCGACATTGGATTGTCTTCGATGGCGATGTTGATCCAGAGTGGGTCGAAAACCTGAACAGTGTTCTGGACGACAACAAATTGCTTACGTTGCCTAACGGCGAACGATTGAATCTTCCGCCTAACGTTCGCATTATGTTTGAAGTGGAGACTTTAAAATACGCCACCCTCGCCACTGTCTCTCGTTGCGGAATGGTCTGGTTCAGTGACGATACCGTCGACGTGGAAATGATGATCTCGAATTATATCCAAAACCTAAGGACCATTCCTTTCGACGATATCGAAGATGACTCTGTAGCGCCAGGGCAGATGTCCCAAAAGACCTTGCAAGTGCAAGGTACGATAGCCGAGTTCCTTAGTATCAAGCTGACCCAGGATCGATTCATTGAGAAGGCGCTCAGTATGGCCCGGAAGTATAAGCACATCATGGAGTACACTGACATCCGGGCACTCAACACTCTCTTTTCTCTGCTGAACAAGGCATGTCGCAATGTCCTGGAGTACAACGTGCAGCATCAAGACTTTCCCATGGAGGACGAAGCTGTTGAAGCTTATCTTTCGAAAAAGTTGCTCGTGGCGCTGGTCTGGGCATTGGTAGGTGACTGCCCTCTTTCAGACCGCAAGTTGTTCGGCGATCAGATCGCCAGCCTAACCGATGTCGAATTGCCGGACCTGAATGCCAGCACTTCTCTGATTGATTTCGATGTCAAGCCTGACAAACAGCGATGGTCAATGTGGCAAGATGAAGTCCCGAGCATGGAGGTCAACACCCATTCCATAACCCAAACGAATGTCGTCATTCCTACTCTGGACACTGTGCGTCACGAAGATGTGCTCTATTCCTGGCTCGCCGAGCATAAGCCGCTCTTACTTTGCGGTCCTCCAGGTTCGGGTAAGACGATGACGCTTTTCAGTGCCCTCCGGAAGCTTCCCAATATGCAGGTGGTCGGCCTCAATTTCTCCAGCGCCACAACGCCCGACCTGCTTATTAAAACTTTCGAACAATACTGCGAGTACAAGAAGACGCTCAACGGCGTTCAGCTGACGCCAACCCAAGTTGGCCAGTGGCTCATCATATTCTGCGACGAAATCAACTTGCCTGCACCGGACAAGTATGGGACACAGCGAGCTATTTCCTTCCTGAGACAGCTTGTCGAGCAAAATGGATTCTGGCGAACTTCTGATAAAACCTGGGTCACACTTGATCGCATCCAGTTTGTTGGGGCCTGCAATCCTCCTACCGATGCTGGTCGTACGCCTATGGCCCTGCGCTTCTTGCGGCACTCACCGTTGATCATGGTGGATTATCCTGGCGAACAGTCCCTTCTCCAGATCTATGGAACTTTCAACAGCGCGGTACTCAAAATCATCCCTACTCTTCGCGGCTACGCAGATGCACTCACCAAAGCAATGGTCCAAGTCTACGCCGAATCACAGAAGCGCTTTACCCCGGACATTCAGCCTCATTACGTCTACTCTCCTCGTGAACTGACCAGATGGGTGCGCGGTGTTTATGAAGCCTTGCGTCCGCTGGAAACCTTACCTGTTGAAGGTTTAGTAAGAATATGGGCGCATGAAGCCTTGCGGCTTTTCCAAGATCGCTTGATCGCCGAAGAAGAGAGGAAGTGGACAGAAGAGTGTGTCCATCGTGTAGCATTGGAACACTTCCCCAATATCGACGAGGAAAAGGCCCTTGGCGGTCCCATCCTATACTCCAATTGGCTGTCGAAGAATTATGTACCGGTTGAGCGCGACCAGCTTCGCGAGTTCGTCAAAGCACGTCTGAAGACCTTCTGCGAGGAGGAGGTAGATGTACCGCTTATATTGTTCAACGATGTACTCGAGCACGTGCTTCGCATCGATCGGGTCTTCCGCCAACCACAAGGTCACCTGATTCTCATTGGTGTTAGCGGCAGCGGGAAGACCACACTCTCACGCTTTGTTGCTTGGATGAATGGATTGAAGGTGTACCAGATCAAGGTCCACGGGAAATATTCTGGAGAAGATTTCGACGAGGATCTGCGAAATGTGCTCCGTCGATGCGGTTGCAAGGGCGAAAAGATCTGTTTCATCATGGACGAAGCTAATGTCCTGGACTCTGGTTTCCTCGAGCGAATGAACACGCTGCTTGCAAACGCCGAGGTTCCCGGGCTTTTTGAGGGTGACGAGTACGCTTCGCTGTTGACTGCTATTAAGGAGGGCGCTCAACGTCAAGGAACTATCCTGGACTCCCAGGAGGAACTGTACAAATGGTTCACCGATCAGATCGTCAAGAATCTCCACGTGGTCTTCACTATGAATCCACCTGAGGAAGGCTTGTCTTCTAAGGCGGCTACTAGTCCTGCGCTGTTCAATCGCTGCGTCCTTAACTGGTTTGGTGACTGGTCGGACCAAGCGCTCTACCAAGTGGGCTCGGAACTCACGCAGTCTGTAGACCTGGACCGACCAAACTTTGCCGCACCCGATACACTGCCCGTCGTCTATCGCGGTCTTAGTCTCCCACCGTCCCACCGCGAGTCTGTAATCAACGCCATGGTGTACATTCATCATTCCCTGCATCGATTCAACAGCAGGCTGCTGAAGCAACAAAACAAGAAGACGCACCTCACACCCCGCCATTACCTAGATTTTGTTGCTCAGTATGTTAAGCTGTACAACGAGAAGCGTGAAGAACTCGAGGAGCAGCAGCGTCATCTCAATGTCGGCTTGGATAAACTGCGCGAGACTGTAGAGAAGGTCAGAGACCTTCGCGTCAGCCTGGCAGAGAAGAAGACTCAGTTGGAAAGGAAAGATGCGGAGGCTAATGAGAAACTGCAACGCATGCTGGCCGACCAACAGGAGGCGGAAGAAAAGAAGAAGGGCTCCATACAAATCCAAGCACAGCTGGCGAAAGCGGAGGAAGAGATTGCGTCCCGACGCGAGGTCGTCATGCAAGACCTTGCTGCCGCCGAGCCTGCTGTATTGGAAGCTCAGAAGAGCGTGCAGAACATCAAGCGCCAGCATTTGACAGAGGTCCGCTCTATGGCTAACCCACCTGCTGGTGTCAAGCTAGCCCTCGAGGCTGTGTGTACTCTTCTTGGCCATAAAAGCACGAGTTGGAAGGACATACAATCGGTTGTGAGACGCGACGACTTCATTGCAAGCATCGTACAGTTTGACAACGAAAGACAGATGACTGCTAGTCATCGCAGAAAGATGCAGAGCGAATATCTTTCCAAGGACGACTTCACATATGAGAAGGTGAACCGTGCTTCCAGAGCTTGTGGACCGCTCGTCCAATGGGTGTCTGCTCAAGTCAATTATTCCGACATTCTCGATCGTGTTGGTCCACTACGTAACGAGGTTGCTCAGCTTGAGGAGGATGCGCAGGCAACGAAGAACCAGGCCAGGGAAACCGAAATTCTCATCAAGAATCTCGAAGACAGCATCACGCGTTACAAGGCGGAATACGCGGACCTCATCAGCGAAACACAGGCGATCAAATCCGAAATGGCATCGGTGCAGTTCAAGGTTGACCGCAGCGTGCGTCTCCTGGATAGCCTGTCTTCTGAGCGAATCCGATGGGAGGAAAGCAGCAAGTCGTTCGATTCGCAGATTGATACTATCGTCGGTGACGTACTTGTTGCTGCTGCTTTCATGGCGTATGGTGGATACTATGATCAACAATACAGGAAGGCGATGTTGGAGGACTGGCTTCACCATTTATCGCTCTCCGGTATCAGTTTCAAATCACCGAACCCTATCACTGAGTATCTCTCCACCGCGGACGAGCGGTTATCATGGCAGCATAACTCCTTGCCCGTCGACGATCTCTGCACGGAGAACGCCATCATCCTGAAGAGATTTAACCGCTACCCTCTCATTATCGATCCCTCAGGACGCGTTACCGAATTCTTGCAGAATGAGTGCAAGGACCGCCGTCTTACGGTTACCAGTTTCTTGGACGATTCTTTCACTAAACAGTTGGAAAGCTCTCTTCGTTTCGGCAACCCCATCCTCATTCAGGATGCCGAACATCTAGATCCCATACTCAATCATGTTCTCAACAAGGAGTATCAGAAAACCGGTGGCCGCGTGCTTATCCAGCTTGGTAAACAGGAAATCGACTTCTCGCCTTCGTTCAGATTATTCTTGTCTACTCGCGACCCTTCCGCAAATTTTGCCCCAGATATTTGCAGCCGCACGACGTTTGTCAACTTCACTGTTACCCAGAGCAGTCTGCAGACGCAAACCCTCAACGAAGTCCTCAAGTCTGAGAGGCCCGATGTCGATGAGCGCCGCTCCAACCTCATTAAGATGCAAGGAGAGTTCAGCGTACATCTTCGACAACTGGAGAAGCGCCTGCTTCAAGCCCTCAATCAGTCACGCGGAAACATTCTGGACGACGACCATGTCATTGAGACGCTCGAGACCTTGAAGAAAGAAGCCGCAGAAATTTCCGCGAAGGCCTCTGAGACAGCCGGTGTTATGACAGAAGTTGAAAATATCACTAAGGAATATGCTGTTGTTGCCCGGTCGTGCTCTGCTATATTCGCTGTGTTGGAGCAGCTGCACCACCTTAACCACTTCTATCAATTCTCGCTCCAATACTTCACCCAAATCTTCGAAACGGTTCTTCGAAAAGTGCGAAACTCCAATACAAATGGGTACGCCGCTCGCATCGATCAGATCATCGCCGAGCTGTTCTTCGATACCTACCGCCGCACGTCATTGTCTTTGCTTCAGAAGGACCGCGTTACTCTCGCTATGCTCCTCGTCCAGGCAGCACCATATAAGATGGATAAATCGCTCATCGACACCATCCTGGATGATGACCTGCAGGGAGTTGACGTCTCCACTCAACCTCATCGGAAAGATGAAGCAATGGCTCGCGCGTACAGAGTCTCGGTTCTCAAGAACGAGTTGGAAATGGTTGACGATGAGACATGGAACGCGTTCTTTAGCGAGGAACTGGCCGAAGATCACGTGCCACCAGCCTGGCCTGCGGATATCAACAAGTACGATCGACATCTGCGTTCTTTGATACTAGTGAAGCTCTTCAGGGTGGATCGCTTTGTGCCCGCTTCAGAACGGTTTGTCAACGAAGTATTCGGCCATGGTCTTTCGGACATCGCGGGCGATTTGGGTGAAATTGTCAAGCAGGTCACGGCCATTACTCCTGTGGCGCTCAGCTCCAGTCCTGGATTTGATGCTAGCTACAAGGTTGACAATCTTGTTGAAAAGGAGCGTGCGACGTGCACTAATATTGCGATGGGTTCAAATGAAGCAGTGGCAAGTGCCGACAAAGCCATTAGCAACGGTGCCACGACCGGGAATTGGGTGCTTGTCAAGAACGTTCATCTCGCGCCACAATGGTTGCAGTCTCTGGAAAAGCGGCTCGAAGCGCTCAAGCCAAACCCCGACTTCCGGCTGTTCCTTTCCATGGAGTCAAGCCCCAAGATACCCGTCAACCTGCTTCGCGCCTCTCGTATCCTGTCCTACGAGCAACCAGCGGGCATTCGCGCTAACATGAAGGATTCCATGTCTTCATTAGCCGAGAAGGCAACGAAGCCGCCTGTCGAGAAGGGCCGAATCTACCTACTGTTGTCGTTTTTGCATGCGGTCATCCAGGAACGTCTGCGATACGCTCCAACTCTCGGCTGGAAAGGCTTCTGGGAGTTCAATGATAGCGATGTAGGTATCATGTCCAGCTCTATTGATGAAACTGCTAACTTTTTCTAGTACGAATGCTGCAGCTTTATCATTGACACATGGATTGACTCGGTTGCGCAAGGCCGTACCAACGTTCGCCCTGAGAGCATACCGTGGGACATTTTGCGCACACTAATCACGGAGATGTACGGTGGCAAGATCGATGACGATGGCGATTTCCGCACATTGTCGTCGCTCGTTGAAGGTTGCATCAGCCCGCTCGCCTTCGAAGACAATTTCAAGATCGTTAAGGACACGGAGCAAGGTACGGGCCTTGACTTGCCCAGCTCAACAAGCTGGTCGTCATTCTTGGATTGGGTAAACCGCCTGCCAGAGCGCGAGCCACCGACATATCTCGGGCTTCCAGCCAATGCGGAGAAACTCCTCCTTGTTGGCCTTGCCAAGGATATGTGTGGAAACCTGAAGAGAGTGCTGGATATGTTGGATGAGGGTGAGCAGATCATGGCTGAAGCTGAGGGATAGGCGCATCTTGATTTTCTGTTCTGGTGGTATACTGTGTGTTGCACTGTTCACGGCTATACGGCGGCGATGTTTCTTTTTGTTACAATGCATGATATCGGTTGGAAGTTTCTGATCCGGAGCATGACAATCGGTGTCCGAGGTATCGGGTTATCTACTACTGCGACTATTTGCTTCATCAGGTATACCCTTTTCTTTTCTACACAGCGTATAGCCTGTATTTGAATTGTACGGATATCCTAAATCCTAAATAACTAGCATTGGTTGACCCTGATATGAGCCAGGACTGGTAATGGTAGACCATGCCAATTGCAATGGACGGTTGCGTTGGGACGTTTGACATGTCTTTGGGGTGCGTATGTGTCGCAGCGGAACTCCAGTTACTTGGACCGAAGACTCTCACTTCGTTGGCATAAGGCAGAAAGGGAATCCAGAGTACACATCTTACACCTCCCCCCTTGCCCATTCAGATTCAGGCCCACCGTCAACCGTGGCCATGATACGGAGTAATCAGTCGTCTTTCAATCCATGCAATCTCTTGCACAGCTCGTACCCCTCTTCCCCGTTCATCTGGCACCTGATGTCCTTCATCCGCTTACAGCGCTTCTTATCATCCTCACGAAGCTGGTCCAATTTTCGCTTATTACTTGCCATTTCCTCCTCAAGTTCTTGCACGGATTTCCTCAGCTGATCCAGCTCTGTCTGAAGTAGTTTGGTCTTGTGAGATAATGTCGCATTTTCAGCTTCAACGGCCTCCTTGGCGGCGTGGTCCTGTTTCTGGTCTCGGTGTAGGTCGAGATAGGAAGCAATCAATCCTTCTCGCACAGGCACTGTTGGATCCTCAGACAAAGCTTGGGCGGTGATATCATGTCCGTGACTAGAGCCTTCATCTGAGAGTTTCTCACCCTGTAAGCCGGGAATGACCGATGTAAGTTTTGGTGAGTCTCCGGATGGCATGATGAGATCCGAGATTGGGTGTGTTATGGCTCCGGGATCTGAGGCGCTTGTGCCTGAAGTGTCGCTGTTTTTATGGCCATCGCAACTGGTTTGCTGGCCTGACGCACATTCTTGTGCAGGACCATCAGGCGAGTCTGGATTCGTTCCGTTTATATTTCCACCGTTGAAAACGATATGCTCCCTGGTTGTATCCATGCGGATACCCTGCATGTTACGTCGATGGTTCTTAGGGCTCGTGTTGCAAGAAGAAGTTGCTGCCTCACCTTGTCCCTTGCTCTTATCCGAGCCATCGGAATGGGGATAGACGGTATCGGCCGAAACTTCGGATTCGCTGGAAAATGGATAATCAGAATGCGCCGAAATATCACTCCCACCGGACGAGGAAAGCCAACTTTCGCTGCTGTCAATAGTTGGATTTTCGGAGCTTGCCGAAATGTCCGTCTCAGTGTCTTCTGGGCAAGTAAACGGTATCCTTTTGGGTCTCCTAGATTGGCGCAAGTTAGGCAGCTCCTGCGCTTCTGAACTCGCTTCCTCTGTGGGAGTCTTGCTTGTGGTAGAAGTTACCGGCTCGGGCTCTATCCTTCCTCGTCTCGGATGGTTGGCTTTCCTGCTGGTAAGATATTCGGAAGAGCGCCCTATGCCCTCGCTCAACTCTTCATAGGAATGCACCTCGAACCAATCGGAGCCGTCCTGGATCTTTCTCACTGCGCGTTCAAGTGACAGTATAAAATGACTACCCACATCCACTGTGAGTCCACCACCCATAAAGCCACGGACAAGGAAGCAAGTTTTTATAAATGCGTCTAGGTTCCTTATATTTTGCTGTTCAGAGAAATCAGGGTGCTTAATATGAGAAAACGGTTCAATGAACTTGACGTGCAATATCTCCTTCGTGAGTATCGGGAAGGCGTCCTCGGTTGGATCTGTGGGCTCGCACCGATACTTCGTGTATAATGTGTATATATGGTTCCGGAGAGCCCAAACTTCGTATTCTGGGAATAGGTAGGAGTAGACCGGTCTGTTGCCGTGATACCCGATCTGTAGCTTTTCTTCGACAGCATCGGGAAAGCTCGTCTGCGAAGTGAAAACCATTCCTTCCAATGAGAAAGAGGAAGATCCAGTCTCCTCTTCCAGCACCACAGCAATGCTTTCCATATACCAAGGAGTCATATCTTCGTTTTGCCGGAGCTCCTTTTCCCTCGAGAGACTGCGCCAAGAGAAGCTTCGGAGGATGCGATTGCTGGAGAAATAGTCCTTGCGAGAGTCCCAAGAGCGTTGAGGGTAGGAATTTGTTAGTTAGGATCCCAAATCTCGGAGAGAACGAGCTTTAGTAGTGGGAGTACCGTTACTATTAGGATAAGGTTTGGCGGTGAAGGTGATAGCGCACTGGGCTCAAGCACTTTTTGCGCTTAACGCTGTAGAATAGCCCCTCCTCACCTTCACGTAAAACGAAGCATGTGAGATTGTTACACCCCCTGTTGTTTCCTGTTGTCTTGAACATGGTACCTAAATATCTCCTCGAACCTTCTAGGAACTGTAGCCGACAGACATTCTTAGATTGGCGCTGCGCACAGCTTGCTTCGTGAAATTCGAACAGTCTTTGCACAGTCACTCTGATTATTGTTACAACACGCTGAGACCTTGGCGGTATAAGTAAGGATGTTAGAAGAAGGCCTCTTCGATTTGTTACCACCCTTGTTGAACGCAAATGACAAATTATAGGTACAAAGCCTTGACGCTTTCCGCTCACGGGCTATCACAGGGCATATCGTGAGCGAACAGTTCTTTGCTGGCCAAGGACATTGTGGAAATGGAAATCGTGGCTCTCGCCAACCGTGGTGAGGTTAGTGCGCATATGCAAGCGGAGCGCATAGGAAGGGTTCGAAAGGAGAAAATGCTTCCTTCGGGCGCTGAATTACTATATTGGCACCACCTATATTCTTTTCTGGTTGTCCAGGTCGCAACAGTTCGCGCGCATACGGGTTGGTACCTTACAGGAGATGCTCCATTACGAGTCTGGCTCCGGAATGACTTACAATGTCGTCATAACAAGTTCTCTCGATCCTTACGCTATATCTGAAGAATTCACATGTCGTGACGTATTTTGGCAGCAGGCTTTCTGCGAACAGCCGGATACTTTCAACAAGTCCACTGAACAGCTACAGGATTGTATGCTGAATAGCAGGCGGACTAATACCAACTCCTACTAACGTACCTCACGGGCGAGTCGGTCACACAGGCGAGTCGGTCACTATGCCAAGACCCCACCAGAATGTACTCTCACCTCTACTATAATCA